ATGGATTCTACTTCACAGGTGGCTGGATACTACAGTGCAAGCCTACACACTCACTAACAGGAAGAGTGTGGCGGCACAGGGAGGGAGATGGATAAACACGGTGAGTGGAAGGCTGGGAACATGGGATCAGCTTCCAGTTGCTTCCTCAGGGAAAGTGCGGCAAGGCATGGAATTCTGGAGAGAGAGGAGGAATCAACACTCTCGGGAGTGCTGGGGACAGCATGGAGGAGGAAGATGTTTAGTGCCCACAGAACAGCCATGTCCTCCTGGTACACACCTTCCCATCCTAACATACCACTCTTCATGTAAATCTGTAAATTCAGACCAGCAGCCATGGCTTAAGGGAAAATGTTATGGAAAAGAGTTTGTTTTAAGCCAGATCTTGGTCTTCATAGGTCGCCATAGCACCCAGGTCCAGGTGTGTCCACTCATGCACAGTTGGAAAGGGTAGTAAGAACAGGGTGTCAGTTCTTCATGAGAGTTTACAGAGGAAAATGACCACTCATGAAGGAGAGAGTGGCCAGCCACATTAGCAGGCACGGTGAGCTCCTGAAGTCCTAGTGGTCACTCAGCTGCAGCTGTTCTAGTCAGGGGAAGTCCCAGCTAGTTAGGAAACTGCTTCACCTGACTGCTTTGCTGGAGACTTTTCCTTTCATTTTTAAGGAAGAACCCCTGGAAAACACTAGCTGCATGCTGATGCTATAACCAAAGTCAAAGGACTTACATTCTACCAGTTCCCTGTCACAGCAGCCACTCCTGATAGCCAGAGCTCCCATTCGGCTTTTCGTGCCATGCATCTGTTTGTGTGATTCCATGTTCGGTAGGTTCTGGTTATCTCAGAAATTTTGGTACAGGCACACTACTTAGGAGTCTTGTGTCCTTTCAATGTCTCATGTTAACATATTAAAAAAAAACAAGCCATACTTCATGCTAGATTGTGATTGAGGTGGCATGAAAATAAAGACAGGCTGGGCGTTGGTGGCACACGCCTTTAATCCCAGCACTCGGGAGGCAGAGGCAGGCGGATCTCTGTGAATTCGAGGCCAGCCTGGTCTACAGAGTGAGTTCCAGGACAGCCTCCAAAGCTACAGAGAAACCCTGTCTCAAAAAAAAAAAAAAAAAAAAAAAAGAAAGAAAATAAAAGACAGAGGAGGCTGACCTCACACAGGCAGGCTGTCCTTTATCAGACAGTGAAGGGTGGCTGTCTCTCTGAGCAGGTGGAGACTGTGTGCTGTGGGACTGGGAAGGCCAAGGCTTCTAAGAGACAAGAGGGGTGGTGAGGTGAGGAGTTTTTGTGGCTTTTATGAGAACCGCTAGTTGGAGAGACAAGTGGGGTTAATCCAGAATGGAAAGTTTAGCTTGAGTTGGATTTCTCCTGAGAGGGAGGGGCAGGGGGGTTTTCACCCAGTGCTTGGGAGGCTGAGGCAGGAGGATCACTGCAAGTTTGGTTAGTTGGGTTACAGGTTGGTCAGCTTGGGTTATAGAAGGTGACTCTGTGTCAAAAACAAACAAAAATCCAAAGCAAAACAAAACTATCACAAGATATAAAAGCACATTTTAAGCCTCTCCCTGGCTGCTTACGGATGGATAGCAGTCCCTTTTCATCTGCAGTGTGCTGCAGGTTGGTCTGTCTGCAAGCTTTACATGGACATTTTCAGAAACGAGCAACTTGCAAGTTTTAAGTTGCATGCCATTCTGGGTAGCATGATGAAGTCACACTATTCTGTTGTCTTTCTGGCCCATGACTCATCCTGAGGAACAAATGGGAAGATGTGAAAGCCATTATCAAGGCAGCTATCAGAGCTGTGCTGCTGGTGCATACACGCCCGTCATCCCAACACTTGGGAGACCGTGTCAGAGCCATCCGGAGTTATGTCCAGCCTGAACTCTGTTGATCTTGTCTCAAAACCAAAGGAATTAAACAAAGCAACAACAATCAAAAAACCCCAGTTATGTTCCAGAAGAGAAAAATGTTCAACAGGGGCAGGAGAGGTGGCGGGCCCAAGCAGTCTCTTTGATTGTCTTAGATAAGAACCACCCGTGGGTGTGTCCTGTCACCTCCTACTCCAGGACAGCTTGGGGGAGATTGGACTTTCAGTTCGGACAGTGTTAGCCTCACCCTGAGATTCTACAGAGCCAAGTGGGTGGGATGAGAGCAGGCCAGCCATGCTGAAAAGCTGAGCGTTGGTGAGCGGTATCCGGATAGAGGGGAGGGAAGATTTTGCAGTGGAGTCTGCCTGGGGAGATGACAGGTGTTTGGTTGTTAGCCAATGGGTTGCCGAGTTACTAATGTTAGCAGTCCGTTCCTAGAAACAAAACAGCGATGTAAAGGACTAAAAATAAAGACGTGAGCTCTGAAGGGCAGAGGAGACCAAAGGAGACATGATCACACTGACACCATGAAGGGGGGTGATACAAGTTGAAAGCATCACATAAGAAGGGACTTACATAAGGCACAGTTTACAAAATGACAGATAAATCATGGCTCCATGTGAACCACAGATACAGTAACTAAACACATAAAGAACACACTTTGGTGAAACAAAGAAACTCAAGCTCTTTACTGACTTTGCATCTTATGTGTATATGTAGATACCACCAATTGCCCGGCATGAACCACTAAGTATTTGTTTGTTTATGTATTTATTTATTTTTGGTGAAGTTAAGTGTACTCTAGACATTTTTTTAAATCTAATTATGGGCTAGAGATGATTCAGAGGTTAAGAGCACTGACTGCTCTTCCAGAGGTCCTGAGTTCGGTTCTCAGCACCCACATGGTGGCTCACAACCATCTGTAATGAGATCTGGAGCCCTCTTCTGACCTGCAGCATACATGCAGACAGAACACTTTATATATAATAAATAAATCTTTTAAAAAATTAATTATAACCTAAAGAGCAATGAGAGAGACAACAACAATGCATTATAATAGGAGCACAAGTGAAGCTGTATTGGAAACAAGTCGGGAAATGAAACAGAAGGTTAATGTAACAGATCTTAGAAGAAAAGTAATCATCTTAAACTCCTATGAAAATGTGTGGTGGTGGCACACACCAGTAATCCTAGTGCATGGAGGAACCAAGAGTTTAAGGCCAGTCTGGAATACACAGTGAGACCGTGTCTCAAGCAAGCCAACCAACCAACCAACCAAAGAAACCAACAAACATGGTCCTTGTGAGGTAGCTTAGTGATTAAAGATACATACAGCCAAGCCTGACAACTTGATTCCATCTCCAGGACCCACTGAAGGGACCAGACCCTCACTCAGTCCCCTGCTTTAGCAGCCATGACAGGCTACAGAAAAGACACGTAGGCCTCTGACACAAGGAAACTCCAGATCTCTGGCCTCCCAGAGCCTAGGGCCAAAACTGAACACAAAGAAACTCCAGTGAAGACCAAAAACTCCCCTGTAGTCTCCAGGATATAGTTCTGAAAACTATTGGTATCTATGAACAACAGGCCACCTGCAAGTAACAAGGCAAAGCCATAGAAACCACAGAATAAGCCAGGCAGTGGTGGCGCATGCCTTTAAACCCAGCACTCGGGAGGCAGAGGCAGGCGGATCTCTGTGAGTTTGAGACCAGCCTGGTCTATCGAGCGAGTTCCAGGACATAGTCCAAAAAACAATACAGAGAAACCCTGTCTCGAAAAAAACCAAAAAGAAAAAAAAAAGAAACCACAGAATATTCCCTCTTAGAACTGACCAATGAGAATAACTGGTATACAGGTATTTCATGCCAAAATATGACTGAGAAATTCTCCTAATTGTTCCCAAATGTCAACCAGACAGAAACCAACCCAAACCTACTGATGTAATCCTGTAACTTTTGTCTTTAAAACCTAGCAGTAGACAGGGAACTTCACTCCCTCTGGAGGCTGCTGCATCAGCTTGCTTAGACAGGGTTCCTGTCATGGTTGGATGAGCAATAAAGCCTTGCTTTTTGCAGTTTGTTAGGTCTGTCTTCCTAGTGGTCTCTGGGGATCTTCGCAACTTGGGCACAACAATTTCCAAGCAAAATACAATATATCAGAATCCCAGAAAAACAGAGGTTGAATAACCCTGTTGTTATACAGGTGTTTTTGCATCTACACTGTAATGCATCTGTCATTTAAGACAGTGTTACACTAAGCTTTCTGTCAAACTTAAAAGGTTACTCTAAAGCTTCTTCTGTTTTTACAGATCACACAACAATATAAAATGCTCCTTTTTACCACTCTAAAGGCAGTGGGATCTGAGAGTAGAGCCTAAGAATGAGGCAGACTAAAGTCTCATGCAATAACCAACTTTATTCAGAGCATCAGACAACTTAAACGCTGAGGGTTAAGAGTCATCCGAGTAAGGTGGTCAATCACAGGGACAAGCCACACATGACAAAAGCATTTTTCCATAGAGGCCTATGAATAACAACAGCTGTAGTAAATTCACTCCTACCCACCACACCCGGAGGAGCGTGAAAACACATTCCAAGAACAATTTTGTGTTTTGAAGAAACCAAGGTCATAAGACTCTTGTCTTATTTTCTTGGAGTCTTCCCACAAGCACTCAGAATCCTCGAACGACTCTGCTCTGGGACTGTGCTCCAACACTCCCCAATATAAGGAATCTAAATTTAGATTAGAATTTAAATCCAATTTTAAATACTAGCGCTGAATTAATACCATAGAGCCATGGGCATGCATTTCAGTGTCACTCACAGGAGAGTCTATGCATCAGTGTACAGACTCTACTGTTGTCCCAAAAGAACAGCATACTTTGACCTGAGAGTTATGGGCAAAGACTTTATTAGTATTCTCATCAAAATGTTTTGTAATTCAAAATAGAGTGTCATCTTTAAAACCCTGACATTTCCCAGAAGAAAAGGCAAAATCTCCACCTATTCAATTTTTGTTTGTTTTTCTTTGTTTTTTGAGACAGGGTTTCTCTGTGGCTTTGGAGGCTGTCCTGGAACTCGCTCTGTAGATCAGGCTGGTCTCGAACTCACAGAGATCCACCTGCGTCTGCCTCCCAAATGCTGGGATTAAAGATGTGCACCACTGACACCGAGCTATGATTTTCTTTCTAAAAAGATGATAGTGATAAACTATTAGAAGCTTCAGCAAAATGGTTGCATAGGTTAATAGTTAAAACTTGTTATGTACCAGTAAAAAGTGTGAGAAAATGAAACCCACCCAGGTCCCAGGGATGACTCAGTGATGAAAAGCATCTGCAGCCAATCTTGATGATCTGAGTCCAATCTCAGGAACTCACATGGTGGATGGAAGGAAATGATTCCTGCAAACTGTCCTCTGACAGCCACACAGGGGCTTTTTAATTAAAAAAGAATCCATCTAAAGGCGCCAATATAGGATACCTATGAACATACTGAAAAAAGGTCTAGAGATTCAAGGTCAATAAAAAATATGGTTAGGATGACTCCCTAACCATAAAATTTTTTTCATTGCTACTTCATGACTGTAATTTTGCTATAGTTATGAATCATAATATATATATCTGATATGCAGGATACCTGATATGTGACCCCTGTGAAAGACATCCCCAAAAAGGTTGAGACTTAAAAGACAATTATTGTCACAGGAAAACGTAAATATCCACTTTTACTGCTAGTGTTCAACATGGTGGTGGATTTTCTTTGGGGAGGCAAAATCATCAGAAAAGAAATGAAAATATCATTTTCAGATGATATGATTTTCTTTCTTTCCTTCCTGTATTAAAGGGTTGAAACATTAGGATGGGCAATTTAAGGGCAGCATTTCGGGCAGAGAAGCTACTGTGTGTCTACACCAGGCTGAGAAAGCACAGGCCATGCCTAGAAAATGGGAGTGTGGTCTCACTGCATAGCCCTGGCTCTGTCCTTTTCTCCTTCTTCCTTCTTCTCACTGTGTAGTTCTGTCAGGCCTGGAACTCTCTGTGTAGACCAGTCTGGCCTTGAACTCACAGAGATCTGCCTCCTGAGGGCTGGGATTAAAGGAGTGTGCTACCTGTTGTGCCCAAATTCTGAACCCACCAAATCACCAAGGGACCCGTTCTGATGCAAAAGCAAAGAGTCTTTTGTTTATTGAGTTAACCCCATTAACCCGGGTCCTTGGTCCGTTCATCATTGAGGATGGCTGGAGAAGGACTCCAAGCGGGGAAAATTATGGGGCAGCATAAGGAGAGGGTCTAGGGATACACACAGTCTCAGGATTGGTGCGCTTCTGGGCTTGGGCAGCCTATCCTGTGTGGCATCTGACCTCCTAATGACTGAAGCAGGCCGGGCAAGGTCAGACAAGAGCTGAGTCAGAGGCCTACAAGTCTTTTCTACAGCCTGTCATGGCCCAGAAAGTTACATCTTAAATGAGTAAGAAAAATTAAGTGGGTTTGGCTCCAACTAGTAACAAACTAACATCTTTGCTTCTGGTTTATATATAGAACCCATACACCTTGGACTGCATTAAAACCCTTTCTTCTTTAAACCTGCTTTCACCCACCAAGTCTTGTTTCCTTATCCTGCTTTTTGCTTCAATTCTGGCCCCAAGCTTTAAGAATCCAAAGGAACTCTGTTTGAATTCATTCCTACAGCCAGCTTTTGGTTTGCATATTCCTGGAGAATTCTTGACATCTTACTGGGGGAGCCCCCGAAGTTTATGTCTTTCCTTCAACCCCACAAAGTAAACTTACTTGGAAATAAGGCCACACTGCACACGTGTTATACCGGAACAAGATGGGCTTTTCAATCCAAAAGGATTGATGTCCTTATTGCTGGAACCTCGGGTATTATGGTGACTCTACAACCTAATGATGGGCGGGGCATGGACACTGGCTCCAAGTCATCCCTGTCACGTAAGGACTCACTGCGCATGCTCGAGCTTTCCCTTTTAAGCTCGGTTCCCACCCCACCCCCCACCCCCAAGAAAAGGCAATGACCATAGAGGAAGTCTGCCTCTACCCAGATGCAAATGCCAAACAAGTCAGTCTCTCAGCATTTGAGGCCTTCTTGGGGTTGCCCCCCGTTAAACTAATCAAAAAATTGATTTTGCTTCTTAGACTCAAAATTAACACGTCCCTGACCAAGGAAGGCCGGGATGCTCTCCGTCCCTTTCTCGGTGAAGATGCATGGGCTTGCAGCCAGGAGGAGAAAAGAAGGCTACCGAGTAAAGGCACTGCTGGGGTTCAGTGCAGCCAGTGCTCGATAAGCAGGGTGGCGAAAGGCCGCGAGGAGTGTCGCTGGGGCGGGGCGGCTGGCTGCAGTCCCCGAGATGGCTCCAGCAAGGGGAGCAGCCCTCCACAGCCAACCAGGAACCGCAAGCCTGCCGGTGATTCTCCGACGCCCGGGGTCGCCAAGCAGCAAGCCAGTGATTGGCGACGCGCGGCTGCATGAGGCGGGACTTCCTCCCATGCCCAAGAGACAGGAAGTGGACACATTTTCCACCGGAAGGAGGGAGAAGCTACAACCAAAAGCCGTACACCTGATGCTGGCGGCTCTATTGCGGTGGGCGACAGTGGGGTTTCGGGAGGCTGGCTGCAGAGGCAGACGTCAGAGGAATGGGAGTAGAAGAGATGGGTAAGCTACCCGGGCCTCCATCCAACTTCTCTGTGCTTTTATTTTCTCCATTTCTTTTTAAAGAGGGTTGGTGACCCACGGAGCTGCGGTGGCGAGCAGATGTGCGAGAAGAAATACGCACCCATACTGACTAAACTTTAAGCACACACACATGCATACGTATGTGCATACAAGGGTACATGCATGCATACATACATACAGACGTACATATTCACATTCAAAGAGCTGATAAAATGTCTACCAATCCAGGCATTCAGAATCGACGACTCTTTTTTTTTTTTTTTTTGAGGAATCACCTGTAGCAGTAATTTTTTTTCCAGCTCGGAATTCTTGTACGTAGTAGTCTATGCAAATTGCTTTTGAATTGCTTTCAGATCGTGTGGGTGAATGGGAGGAGGTTGGAGTGAAGGGTTGGTGAGGTGCATTTAGCTGCCAGTTTAATGGCTCAGGAGTTAAGAGCATTCGTGGCTCTTACAGAGGATTGGACTTTGATTCCCAACACCCACATCATATTGCTCACAATCCATGACTTTGATTTGTGACGTGGGCAGAAGTACCACCTGAAAATGCAATAATATGGAAGTATTACATCTCTAGAAGCTTGTATAATTCTAAACACAAGAATACAAATGGACTTACATTTTGTATTTTATTTAAAGCTACTGTTGTCTGTCAGGAATTGATGCCAGGGCCTCAAACATGCTAGGCACAGCTTTCATGGCTTTTGTTGTCTTAAATAAATGGCTCACACCTATTTCTAGAGACTTCCCAGTTCATTGGATTGGTACATGGACCGACAACAGGTAGTTTCCATTTGTGCTCATTCTGTTGGCTAGTTAGCTGTGTCTCACCTTCTAGTGACCATCTGTCTCTGGCTGTTCTGCTTCCTCCTCCCTTTTCTCTTAGGGATGCTCATGGATTTTTAATTGATAAGTAACTGTACAAAAACATGACTATTACTGACTGTAGTTGTTATGTAAGTAGCTAAATGTTTAAAATTTCTTATATTGGAAGCCGGACATTGGTGGTGCACGCCTTTAATCCCAGCACTTGGGAGGCAGAGGCAGGCGGATCTCTGTGAGTTCGAGGCCAGCCTAGTCTACAAGAGCTAGCTCCAGGACAGCCTCCAAAAGCCTCAGAGAAACCCTGCCTCAAAAATCAAAAAAAGAAAAAGAAAAGGACTGTTGCTAAGTACTTAGTTACTTTGTTGCTTTTTGCCACTTTGTGAGGAAGTCCATAAAATGATTTTTAAAGATACTTCACATTTAAGAAGGGATCCAGTAAATAGCTGTGGCCTTTACAAGTTCGTCATTACAGGGTATAATTTCCTCTACGAAATCTTAGATTGTAAACTGTAGGGGTGGTCTCTGTAAACACCAGGCCAGCATTGTCGATTCATGTGAGGCAAGAAGGAAGTTGCGTTCAACATGACTCCGTATCTGGTGTTGGTTCAAACTTCTAGAGTCTGACCCCTAATGGTTTATTTTAGGCAAATTTAAGATAGTCACTTTGGAAAAGAGTTTCCTTGTGTGACACAATCAATCTGGTATGCACAATAAGGCATAAAATTACGAAACTCTTTTCAAAGTAGGAGTTACCTCTTATATACAGGTGGACTCTGCAGATAGCCTGCATATGTTATCCTAAGGGCCTTGGGAAGGAACTGATGTGGTTTCAGTTATATAGTTAGGGCAGTGGTTAGTTACTAGGCTGTTAGCAACCTTCAGTTGTGTTTGTAAGGGTTGTGGGGCAGGTGTGGCCTGGCCCTACAGATGGCACAAAGGTCACCTAGGTTATTAACCACCTTTGGTCCAGATGGTGAGTCTGGGGAAGCTCCTGGCCAGACTATTAACCATATTCACCCCTCTGGGCAGAAAACAGGTTGTACATCTCTTCCTTTGAAGACACAATCCTGTGTGTTTAACATTCCTAATTTCCCTAGTCCTTATTTGTGAGCACAAGGACTTTGTGCTTTCTACAGTAAACTAGCAGATAGCCATATTGTTATGCAGTGCTCAAAAAATGTCAGGCAGATAGTTAAATTTAGTGGGTCAGGGGCAACTTGCACACATTGGTCTCCAGGGATTATGAACCAAATTTGATCCAGAGCATTTAAAATAGCATATCATATATATTTGTGCTATTTTAGGAATAGGCAAAACTATACCGAGTATTAAATATGTCAGAGTTTTCTTGTTGTATTGAGGGGATCATTCTACACCACATCCAATACCACATTTGCTTCTTCTACACTCACTCTGCACAAATTAGAAGTCACCACAGTTTCTAATTGGACTAGGTCAGGCCCCTAGGTGTATTTGGACAGAAGAGAATTACTGGTCCACTTTTTTTTTTTTTTTTTTTTTTTTTTTTGGTTTTTCGAGACAGGGTTTCTTTGTGGCTTTGGCGGCTGTCCTGGAACTAGCTCTTATAGGCCAGGCTGGTCTTGAACTCACAGAGTCCGTTTGCCTCTGCCTCCCGAGTGCTGGGATTAAAGGTGTGCGCCACCACTGCCCGGCTTGGTCCACGTTTTTTTACCCTCATCCATCCTGCAGCACCCAAGAGCATGCACTTGACAGCTGCTTTCATTTCTAGTGAAAAAGCTCTTCCTTCAATTTGTAAGATAATTTGCTGTCTTGTTTCTGTCTTCAGGTATGTGAGTCCCGGAAAGCACACCATGCCTTTGACATGCATAATTCAAGTGGAGCAGATACAGGCCCGAGGATTCTGTAAACGGTGTGTGGCATGTAACGCAGTTTGAGAGAGGAGGGAATTAGGCAGTGCTTGGGGGTGGGTGTGATTCTGAGCTATACAGGCATTAGGAAGACAAAGAGGAGGAGGTCCACTCTAGGTGTCTAGAAATCAGTTGATGGTTTATAAAGTATAAATAGTAAAAGGACAGTATTGAGTGCCGCCTGTACTTTGGGATTTTGCTTCTTGTCTCTTCCTTCTCCCTTGCCATTTCTCCACCTTCAGATTAATGTATTAATGTTTAGGACGTGGAAGGAAATGGGAGAGCAGGAGGCAAAGTGACGGGTAGCCATATGGAAGGTAATGCCCACATCTAGTCGGTCCCTTTCTAAGAAGCATGTGCTTGTTTTGTTAAAGTAGACAACTGGGAACTGGAGTTTTGTTGACTGGGTGATTTTCCAGTGAGTATATTACATCCCTGTCTCTAGACCAGTCTGTTTAAATCTCTTAAATTCCCTTCAAGGAAAAGATCCAAATTTAGGCTCAGGAATGGGGGTGGGGGAACAGATTTGGGTCCTAGTCCGTACTATGGGAGTATTATGGCTTAGTAACCGCATGTTGTTTGAATCAGCTGTAACATGTTTAATTCTAAGAGCTCAAATAAATGATGGTTTTATTCCACCATATTTGAGTAAGTGAAAACATCAGAGACACCAGATTCTGCCAGAGTCTTAGACTAGGAAGAAAAGTTAGTCCAACTAAATAAGTTGAGCCTCATTTATTTCCAGGATTGGTATCAGCAGAAAACAGTGACATGATGGGACACAATGAGCTTGACAAGAACCATGCAGCAATAGCTGTTTTTGAGTGGCATTGGTGCCAGGTCATAGGTACCCTCCTTGCTAATGACAGATGCAGACTGGCAAACTGTCGCCTTGTATTTACCTCTGTTAACCATTGGCATTAAGGGAAGCATGTCTGCAATGTTCAGATCTGTGAAAGCCTGAAGTTTTGAATTTTCTTTTCTTTAATATCTAGGCATTTTAAGAACAGTGGTTTAAGAATAGGTTTGTAGTCCAGACTAGCCTTAGCCTTGTGGCAGTCCTGCTGCTCCAGCCTTCTAAGTGCTGAGATTACAGGAGTGAGCCACCATGCCTAACTTTTAGTTTAGTTTCTTCAGATAGGGTCTCATGTAGCCCAGACTGCCTTCAAACTTGCTATGTAGCTGAGGGTGACCTTGAACTCCTGATCCTCCTCTACTGTCCAAGTTCTGGGATTACAAGCATGCCCAGCATAATAACACTTTAAGTGGTGGATTTACTCATGTTCTTCTGGAGACTAAGAAAATAGAGTCCTTGAAGTCAAGCTGACTCTGCCTTTAGCCTCCTAAATGAAAAGGTAGATAGAACAGGTCTTGCTTGCAAAATAAATCCAAGACCTACTTATCTACCAACAGCCATCACCTACTTTCTGCCGTCTAACTACAGGGAAGAGTTAGAGCGAACTGATAGCCGGAGGAAGCCAGAGTGGACACAGTCTCACTCTACTAGTGATAAGGAGGTGCCTGGAGGTCAGACGGGGGTTTAGAAAGTTGAGGAGCTGCTCACTATAGTGCAGGGTTCAAGGGTCATATCATTTACAGAATGCCACATCAGAGTAGATTACACTGTGCGTAGCTTCCGGTGAGTGAGTCATGTAGGGTGGCGATTTTACCAGAATTCAGGGTGAGAAGTTGAGAATACCCAACTGCCGATAAATTTGATCTATTATGTACTGACAGCCAAGTACATGCTCAGAAATATTTTACTGCATGTGTACAAGTGACTACATCATTAACTGGCAAGGAGCCTATTATTTTTACTTTATAGGGGGGGTGAGTGAGGAGGGTGTTTATGTACCATGGTACACATAAGGAGTTCAAAGGACAACTTGCAAGCCGGGCATTGGTGGCGCACACCTTTAATCCCAGCACTCGGGAGGCAGACGCAGGTGGATCTCTGTGAGTTCAAGGCCAGCCTGGTCTACAGAGCGAGTTCCAGGACAGCCTCCAAAACCACAGAGAAACCCTGTCTCGAAAAACCAAAAAAAAAAAAAAAAAAAAGGACAACTTGCAGAGTCTCTCCTTCTGTCACATGGGTTCTGGAGATTGAACTCAGGTCATCAGGTTTGGCAACAAGTACCGTACCCGCTGAGCCATCTCACCAGCCCCAGATGCCAATCAAACAAGACTTTTTGCCATTCACAGTGGCTCACGCCTTGTGATCCCAGCATTTGGGAAGCTGAAGCAGGAGGATTGCCATGAGTGCAAGGTCAGCTTGGGCTACCTAGTGAGACATTGTCTCAAACAACCAAAACCAAACCACCACCACCACTGACCAAAAAAAAAAAAAAAAACCAACCAAACAAAAACCCTGTAAATAAAAACTATTTAATTTTCCCAGAAGTCGGTACTGTTTTATATCCCACATTCCTAACTACTTGTCATTTTGTCTGCTGAAGATGTTACATTCTGGACAGTCTTAACTACTAATGCTTGAATGATTGCTAGTTCCCACCAGGGTCCTGTGAAGCTCTACAGACTCGTTCCCCTTTGCCAGGGTGGGAAGCAGCACTTGTGTGATGACTCAGTCAGGAGTTACACACCGAGACAGGGCAAGCTGGGAGACGAGCAGGCGTTAGTGTAGTTTGGAAAATCTGCCCAGTATCAAGGATCATGGTCATAGAGGTCTATCTGTAAAAATACTTCTCTACCATGGGCGTGGTGGCAGGAGTTCAAGGCCAGCCAGCCTAATGTTTTTCATGTTCTTCTGTTCTGTTTTTCTAACAGATTTATCAGCAGGTTGCAGCTGGACATGGACATGAGGTAAACCCTGCCCCTGGTTGAAATTTAGTTTCATCAACTTCTGCACAGGATTGTAAGGACATGAACTATATCACAGAATCCAGCACGTTTACCCCCCTTTTTTAGATTTATCTTTTCTTCTTGAAGATAACATGCTTAAACAAAGGTTCTTTATGGTTAGTAACTGTGATTCTTGAAGTTGGGCAACCCCCTAGTTTAAGTATATTTTAAATGTCAAAGATCTAGATATCTTGTTAAATTAAAAGTATTAAAATCTTACCAGGTGTCATGTTTTTGCCATTTACCTATGCTTGTGCTCTGTGTGGTACATTCCAAGGATCCCACTAGAACTCTGAAGTCAAACTGGCCATGTCTGTGATCCACATTTCCTGTTTGGTGGTTTCTACTTCAGTAGCTGAGAATACCTTTCACTATATACATGCATATTTTATTAACAGTTTCAGCCAATTCTGTGTAAGGTAGGAGGCCCAGTTTGGCAGAGCAGGGTGTGTGTGTGTGTGTGTGTGTGTGTGTGTGTGTGTGTGTGTGTGTGTGTGTGTGTGTGTGTGTAAGAGAGAGAGGGAGAGAGACAGAGACACACAGAGAAGCTGTTAAACTTTCTGGGCAAGTGATAATCAGAAATCCGAACTGCTGCTCACGCTAATATCATCCTGAAGGAGACAAGGGTTGTTGCTGTATTGAGTGTGCTGGGAAACACTAAAGAGAAGGCTGATCCCTTCAAGGAAACCATGGGTGGTCAGAGTGGGACTTGCCTGAATTGGGTGGCATCATGTGACATGGGACTCAACACAGTCTCTTGTTGTTTTACAAGTAGAGTTCTTGCTTTGACAGTGATGTGTGGGGCATGAACAGGGGAGTCAGGAATGTAGGTGATGGAGCTAGGTGCCATGGTCACTAAATGGCACCCGAGAGCTGCTGACTAGAGGGTGTTCTTCTCACTAGGACCCAGCTTTGATTTTGGTGGGCTGATGATTACTTCAAAACATATGTATGTATGTATATTATATGTCATTTATTACTTGCTACCTAGCATCTCTATGAGACAGATACTACATTTCCTTTGTTTGAAGGGAAACAGATCTATAAGGTTTTAAGCAAAGTAGGTACAAAATAGTGGTCAGACCCAGTTCTTGGTTTCAAATCTGACTGCTCACATTTCATGAGAAAACCTAGAATGAATCATCACTATTGTTCTTTCCCGTATCTCCATCTGTCCCTGGCCCCTTCCTTAGCACACGAGGAAAGCACCACATTTGCAAGTAGACTTGTGTGTGTGTGTGTGTGTGTGTGTGTGTGTGTGTGTGTGTGTGTGTGTGTGTGTGTGTGTGTTTGATGCTCCCCTGAGCTGCAGGAAGGTTGGAAGCGACCTTCCGTTCCTTCACATTGCCTCTCGAGGTTTTCTTCCTCCCTGCCATGGGCGCTTTGCTGTAGTTTTGAATGAGCCCTGCCCATCATTCCCAAGGGTGGCATGAAGCCAGAGAGCAGTGGTTGAACAAGGAGAAAGTGCTTGTGTGCTCAGCATGTGTTAGTGTGCACCTGTTGGCGTGTTAGCCCCCAAGGTTGAGTTGTAAACAAGGCACACACAGCTGCCGTTAGGCATCTTAGAGATAATCTCAAAATTAGAGTGGTGTCAGAACCACCACGAAGGAGGAGATGGTGTCATAGAACATGTACAATGGGAGGGGCTTACATGCTGCTGCCAACTTTTGTTAGGGATCTCGGGGTGGTGGGCGGCTGTCTTAGTCAATGTTCTGCTGTGCTGACACTTTAAAAATTCAAAGTTTCTTCTGAGACTCAGAACAATTTCTTAACTGTAGCTCCCTGTAAAATCAAAATCAAAATGCAGATCACATACTTCCTGCCAACATAACAGTGGCACAGAAGATACAGTACCATTCCAGAGGAAGGAAGGGGAGCATAATGAGGAAACACTGCACCAATGCAAGACCTAAGCCCAAAAGCTAACTAAATTCTGCATCTACATGTCTAATGTCAAAGCACTCTTCAGAACTCCAATGCCTTTCAGTCATGTTGACTGCAACACTTCTTTCTCCTGGGCTGCTTCCCACCCTGTTAGCAGCTCTCCTTGGCAGGTATCCCATGACAACTGGCATCTTCAACATCTTTTGGTTTCCAAGGTAATCGGATGTCAACCTTCACAGCTTCACATTCTCTCTGGGCCTCCATGCAGGGACAGTCTGGCTTTAGTGGCTTTCCTTAGCTGTGGAGGGAGAGTCCACAGCCCCTTATAGCCTTGACTCTAAAGCCAGAAACACAAGGCTGAAACTGCCAAGTTCTATTGCTTGATGGGGCTGGAACATGGTCCCCTCCATTACTTACATCTGCATCAGCTTTCTGTTTCCTTCACTGCTTAAGCTTTTCTTTAATTCCATTCACAAGTTGGAAGCATAACTAAGTGGGGGCTTTCCCTAAAGTCAGTTTAGCTTCAGGCAGACTTTTAGGGTAAGGGCACCAAGCAGCCACAGTCTTTACCAAAATAGCACAAGAATGGTCTACAGGCTACTTACTAATGTTCATCCTCCTCAAGCTTCTTGATCTGGGCCCCACAGTTCAAATCACCCTCAGCACTGCCTTCCACGCTCCCATTAAGGCCAACTGCTTTATTTTTTAAGTTCAAAGTCCATAAATCTTCCATATTCCTCCAATAAACAGCTTGGTCAGGCCTTTCACAGCAGTACTCCGGGACCTGGTACCAACTCCTGTCTTAGTCACTGTTCTATTGCTTGTGAAGAGAGACACCATGACCAAGACAACTCTTATAAATGGAATCGGGGCTTGCTTACAGTTTCAGAGGCTTAGTCCATTATCATGGCAGCAAGCGTGGTGGCAGCTCTCATGGCACTGGAGCAGTAGCCGAGAGGTACATCCCGATCCACAGGCAGGCAGACAGGCAGACTGGACCTGGCATGGGCTTTTGAAACCTCAAGGCTCACCCCCAGTGATATACGTCCACCAACAAGGCCACACTTCCTAATCACTCTAATCCTTCTCAAGTAGTGCCACTGTGATGACTCAGCATTCAAATATATGAGCCAGTTGGGACCATTCTTACTCAGTTTGCCACAATGGCCTTGAGATTTGTGCCTGACTTCCTTGTATTTCTGCAGTTTCTTGCCTTCTCAGGCTTGTAGGTAAACGGTGAAATATCACAAATGTGCAGGGGCTGCTGAAGCCGTCATGACTTCCTGACCCTATCCCTAGGTCTGTAGGTTTAGGAGACTCATAATGCTTTACATATCCACAAACAGACAAGTGCAATTTGACCCCACAAGAGCCCGCTCATTCAGAGTCTAGCTCCTCATCAGACAGTCTGGTCTGATAATGGCTCCCCTGGCATCATGCAGGGAACCACACAGGACAAGTCCACATCAGGTGAAATGGCCCCAGCTCACCATCTACCAGACACTAAGGTGAACTTTAGCTTGTGCTGGCTGAAGGAAACTTGAACACCAAGTTCAACCAACGAGGCGAAGGTGGCTGAGGGAGAGGACAGAAACACAGGGCCTAAAAAAAAGTGACATGCTTTGGCATAGAGATGCCATTGCAGATCTTTAGGCACCCAGGCTTTTCCAAAGAAAAACAGGGGTGCACGAATTGGTGGAGCTGACAGCTGAAGGTGTACAGGTGCTGAGCGATGTCCACATTGAAAAAGGACAGCTTGGAGTTTTCATAGTCCAGCAGAACACCAATCTTCTTTGGAGCAACTGTGATTTGTATGTCTGGAGTTGTCCTGTTGTGCAGAAACTCATACCGGTGCCTGAAAATTCAAAGTTGTTACAGCAGAGTTTTGGAAACTACGGTGAACTGTTTGCAGAGTGTTTCATGCTGACTTGATTTATACTCCTATGACTTTGTCCCTTTCTTGTAGTCAGTGACTACCAAGTGGCATGACATTTCCAAACTACTTTTTCTAGCATTTGTCCTAAAACAGTTTCAGACTTTTTCTTGAGCAAATCCTGCACCTAAAAAGCTTTTATGCAGAACCATGAACTTTCACTGTGTCAGACTTGTACAGCAAGAAAAAACATGTGAAGCCAGTGTGTGACTCATTTGGAGTAAAGACATTTGAAGCGGGGAGCCCTCTGGGCCTTCATGAGAAGCAGGCTTTCTCTATACACTGAACCAGGACTCCATGAAACCTAGTTGTTTGTTTGTTTGGTTTTTGGTTTTTTGAGACAGGGTTTCTCTGTGTAGCTTTGGAGGCTGTCCTGGCACTCACTGTGTAGACCAGGCTGGCCTCGAACTGATAGAGATCTGTCTGCTTCTGCCTCCCAAGTGCTGGGATTAAAGGCATGTACCACCACCGCCTGTCAAAACCTAGTTCTTTTTTTTTTTTTTTTTTTTTTTTTTTTTTGGTTTTTCGAGACAGGGTTTCTCTGTGGCTTTGGAGGCTGTCCTGGAACTCGCTCTGTAGACCAGGCTGGCCTCGAACTCACAGAGATCCACCTGCCTCTGCCTCCCGAGTGCTGGGACTAAAGGCGTGCGCCACCAACGCCCGGCTCAAAACCTAGTTCTTAAATTTACAGCTGAGCAGGGACTTTGGTCACCTGGCTGTCACAGGTGAGTGCTGAGCACTACCTGTCCCTTTTTGTTACATAATCTGTGTGCTTTGGAAAGTGACCAAAATCAAAACCAGCCACAGGACATAAACTGTGTTGTCCAGATTGTCAGTTCAGATGCCCTAGATCAACACTGAAGTGTCAGTGAGCCAGCTAGTCTCCATCTCCGTTGACCTTCTCACTCAGCATACAGCAAATGAGTCCCTTCCTTCTTTCTACCAATGGACTCAAGACCATGATCCAAAAATATGGGTCTAGTGGAGGCCTTGTCCTCATCCTCTACTGGCCTCTTCCCTCTACCCCCTAAGAACCAACTCCCATGCTTCCTTTATCTTCTCTCTTTGACCCTTGTTCTTTCTAAACTAAAGAAGCCTTGAGCTTTATTCTTAGTTCAGATTAAGTGTCTGCAGAGCAATTCTTGCATCCCTAAAGTGGTTCTCAGGGTTATCGGAGTCCAGTCTAATCCAAATCTCTCTGAAGAAAGCTGCTGTTCTCTTGATGCTTGGACATGACCAATAACATACTAATAGATGGTCATAGCCAAGCTTTATCAAGCCAAAATGTCAGAGGCTGTGCTTTGTTAGTTAGTTTGTTTGTTTGATTGATTGATTGTTTTCAAGACAGGGTTTCTCTGTGTACCACTGGCTGTCCCAGAACTCACTAGGATTAAAGGTGTGTACCACCATCACCACCACCACCCAGCCAGAGGAGCTTAGAATGGTAGGGACTTGCCGGGCGTTGGTGGCGCACACCTTTAGTCCCAGCACTCGGGAGGCAGAGGCAGGTGGATCTCTGTGAGTTCAAGGCCAGCCTGGTCTACAGAGTGAGTTCCAGGACAGCCTCCAAAACAATACAGAGAAACCCTGTCTCGAAAAACCAAAAAAAAAAAAAAAAAAAAAGAATGGTAGGGACTTGTGTGACGTGCATGTGTGTTTTGTTTTGCAGGTTTAAAAGTGAAGGAAGGTGGTTGCCATGGCCTTTTAAGTTCAAACACTTTGTATACTGGCCAGAACTCAGTAATTTTTTTTTCCTCCATCCACATGGAACTATTCCATGCAAAGTTATTCTACACAGTGCGCAGCTGCAGAAGCCTTGGTCATAGGAACGCTTAGCCACACTGACTTTAGATGGCATTGGGCTCACAGCAGCTGTAATCTTGGAATACAGGAGCTAAGAATAAATGAAGAAACAGCCAGTGGTTAAGAACTGCACATGTGGCCCAGCAGTGATGGTGGTGCACGCCTTTAGTTCCTTTAATCCCAGCACTCAGGAGGCAGAGGCAGGTGGATCTCAGTGAGTTTGAGGCCAGCCTGACCTACAGATCGAGCTTCAGGACAGCCAGGACTGTCATCAGAGAAACTCTGTCTCAAATAAATAAATAAATAAATAAATAAATAAATAAATAAATAAATAAAGTGCTGCACATGTGAAGCCAAACTGCCCACGTTGGAAGCCAGGCACTGATCATACTGGATGGATTATCCAGCTGCTGTTAGGGCGGCCTTGTTCCACTGTGGAAGTATAGGACAGTATGGACCAGGCACAGCAACGCACACCTTTAATCCTAGCACTTGGGAGACAGAGGCAGACCGATCTCTTGAGCTCAAGGCTGGTTTGGTCTACATAGGGTTTCAGGCTAGCCAAGGCTACAAAGTGAGACCCTGACTCGTCTGGGGTGGGGGAATATAGGACACTGTTGGTAGCTGAAGAGCTTTAGCTCTTCTTTCTCTTTCAGAAGCGGGTGGCAACAACTCTTGGAATGCCTGCAAGCGCCTTGATTGCTGTTAACAAACCTCTTGCTTGCCTCTCTCAACCCCTGTCTTTGGGTGTGCAGATTGATTTTACCTTGTGGATGCAAATGTATGTCTCATGCACCAGGACAAGCAGTTTGCTCCCAGGTCTTCCTGTTTAGGGACATCTTCACAGGCCACACCAATAGTGTAGTCCAGACGCTCATCGACCTCTACCTCCCAGTAATGGCGTCCTCGGACTGGAATTAGATTTCCAATGACAGCAACACACCTGGTTTGAGAAAGCAGACACACGGGCTGGGGTGGGATGTGGGGTGCACAAGACTCTGGCTTCCATCAGAAGGTGGGAACATGTTTCCTTTAGGGTACCCCAAGTGTAGCTAGTGCTGAAGACTGGAATAGTACACCACCTGGCAATGGATGAGCCAACACTGAAACCCACAGAACGGGTTTTGTTGCCTCTTAAAAAATGGCTAAGGCATTTCTAGTAATGAAGGTAGATTCATTATAAGATGGGAGGGACTGAAATATCACCAGATGCTTGAAGTCCGTGCCTGGCCAGCTCTTGCTTTGGGTACACAATAAGGACAAGGGATAGCTCAGGTGACCCTTATGCTAGGGGAGACTAGACTGCAGAGGTTGGGCAGGGGTAAAGGTGTGCTGTGCATGCCTGCCGACCCGAGTTCCACCCCCAGATCCCACAAAAGGTGGAAGGAGAGAGTCGACTCTGCAGTGCTGCCCTCCACCCTCCCCATGGCATGTGTATGTCTGCATTTATACACACTAATAATGAGAATGATAGAAAACTTTAAAAAAAATCCAGAGAGTGACCCAAAAGCAAGAAGCAAGGTAGCACGTTTCTCACCAGTCATCAAAGCTGACTGACCCCCAGCCCTCCACTGGGAACTGTCACAGAAGGACATTTTGCTGTCCAGAGTACTCAACAGAGGAAGGTTTCCATTGCAAGTAGGGTCACATCAGAACCTCCAAAGTATCTATGTCCCACTTGTGTCAAGATTCCTGTGCTAGCCAAACCTTATGCAGCCTCCACCTGGGAAGATCTGTCCAACTGGCATCAAACATTTTCTTCCACTCTTTAAGCCCCTGTCTGATTGCCCTAGCAAAACTTCAGGAAAACAGCCCATGTCTCTACCTGTAGCAGATCCAGTGACTCAGATGGGAGCCATCATGTTCCAACCATTCTCACCTGCCAGAGCCCTTATTTAAAATGTAGTAGAGAGGAGGTGTGTACCTCTCAGATCTTCCTTTTGGTTAACAGACCAGGGCTGGTGTTGGTACAGTCCTTGCCTTGTAAGTATGAAGATTTGAGTTCAAGGTCCAGAACCTATCTGAAAAACCTAGGGGCTGGAGAGGTGGCTCAGTGTTTGAGTACTTAACCACTGTGTTTCCCAGTACCCCCATGGCAGCCCAGAAGTCTATAATCCTAGTTCCAGGATCTGACACCCTGTTTTAGACTCTGTGTGTACCAAGGACACATGCACAGACAGACATGCAGGCAAACACTTGTATACACAAAATAATACAATTTAAAAATAAGTAGCAGGGCAGTGATAGCACACGCCTTTAATGCTAGTACTTGGGAGGCAGAGGCAGGTAGATCTCTGAGTTCAAGGCCAGCCTGGCCTACAAAGCAAGTTTCAGGTCAGCTAGGGCTACACAGAGAAGCCCTGTCTTAGTAAGAAACACACCACACACACACACACACACACACACACACACAAAGCTGGTATGGTATGGTGATGTGGCAGATTCCTGGGGTCACTGGCCAGTTTTTCTAGCCTAGCTGAGCCACAGCCCAGTATGAGACCATGTCTCAAAAACAAGGTGGATGGCTTCCAAGAACACCTGAGGTTGATGTAAGATAAAATAAGCCATTTCTTCTACGAGTAGCTTTTGGTCATGGTGACAGCCATGGAAAGCACATAGGACAGGCGTCAGTAATGCCTTGAGTACCTCTGCCTTAATTTTCATGGGCATGTCTGGCTTGTGCCTGCTTGAGTCCTAGCAGGGGGCACAGACACTATCCTCCTCTCCACCCTTCCACACACCACAGCCATTCACAGGGCAACAGATACACTGGAATTGGAGACTACAATGGGGCTCGCTACCTCAGCTGTAGCCCTAAAGAGCCAAGACCTTAACTGTATCTCAAGATGAAGTGCTAGTCCACCTAAGAAGAACCTGCAAAGAGAGATGGTAAAAAAAAAAAGCCTTTTCCAGAGTCAGGTATGGTGGCATAACCTGCACCCCAGTGCTTGGGAAGCAGGGTCATGGAGATGAGACATTCAAGGCATCCCACATCCACAGGAGATTCTTTTTCAAAATGAAACAAGTTGATAACCCACTTAAGCAAGACTCTATTGAGAGCACCTGTGCCTCCCTGAGTGTGGACAACTGTCTTTTTCTCAAACCTTCCCCGCCTGCCTCTCCATGCTGGCTCTACAGGAAAGGCTTCTCAGTAAACTCCAGCTTTATCTAATACTGCCTCATCCTGAATCATCTGTGATCCAGCTTCTCCTTGGACTGGTAAAGCCTGCAGTGAGGAGCTGTGTTCTCCAGCTGCTGCTGACAATGGGAGAGGTGTGCTTACACCCCCCACCTACCCCCCCCCATCTTCCCCAGCAGGGCCTCTGCACTCTCACTTTTGACCACCTGGAAAGAGAGAGGTGGCGTTTACTACTGTTTAAAGCTTGGATGTTGATTCAGCCTTGGGAGTTAATCTGTCCCCTTCCTTCTGTTGCTCTGATTTTTTTCTCCCTATTATATAGTAGCCCCTATTTTAAGCCTTTTATATATCCTTGGAGAAAGAAGACTATAGGTAAATAGCTCAACAGAATGTACTGAGCTCTAGAAGGAACAGGCAAACTGGACAGACAGACAGCCCTCCGGTAGTGTCTGCCCTCAGGTCTTATGTAAGTTCAAAGAGTTTTCTGCATCCACTCTGGTACTGGCCCACTCCACCACCTTGGTCTAAAGCGCACCAGTGTGAGGGTGATGGGGAGGGGTAAACAGGTGAGGCAAGCTGCAGTTAGTTCTTCCTGCTACACCAGAAACTAAAAACCCAGGATGCTTCCCCAACTACCACACATGCACTCAGGAAGGGGCTGCGTCCTTAGAAAACCTGCCATGGTGCATCACTTGCATTGTGTTTTTGACTCCTCTTGGCTTTTCTAAAGACTTGGAAGAAATACTCTAAAAAGGAGATCTGGTCTACCTCGATTTGGGAGGGAAAGGGTCAGCTGGTGCCTGCCTTATACATAGTCACTAAACTCATTAAGAAGCTACAGAAGAGCCCACTGTGCTGTGGTCTGTTCCCTCCAGGTCTTCAGTGCATGCATTGCTTTGCCAAATGAGCTTCTGCCAGGACTGTGAAGACCTAAAGCAGTGGTTCCCAACCTTCCAGATGTTGCTACTCCCAACAATAAAATTATTTTTCTTGCTACTTCATAACTGCAACTTTTGCTGCTATTATGAGTCATAATGTAAATATACAATATTCTGGATGGTCTTAGGTGACCCCTGTGAAAAGCTCATTCAACTACCCCACAAAGGTGTTCAAGACTCACAGGCTGAGAACCACTGACCTAAGGGGAGCCCTTCACTTCAGCAGGGAAAGTGTTCTGAACCTGGTTTCTGTCCCTATGCTATGTGACCTGATATCCTGGCCATATCCCATAGTTTCCACAGCCTAGGACCTCCTTCTGCAGAGGCCACTACAGTCTTTGCCTTTTCTGGGTCCCTCCCCAACAGCTGCATCCTTTGGTCATAATCCTCTAAATAACAGTGACATTAGGTAAGTTCCCGAATGCTCCATCGGGTGTCCAGTCAGATACCTGGTAAACTGGGTCTTGGTGGGTGGCAGCTCCCTTCTGAAAGTTTTCTTCTCACTTCGAACCACTGTAAACCCATCTTCAGAAATGGTCAGCCAAGGATGGCAGCTGTCCTTGTTCAGCCGGAAGTAGCTTCCTGTGGGGGGAGGAAATATCTAGAAGCCCCAACCAGTCTTTGCAGGATGTTCCCAGCATGGTCTTGTGACGGTGCCCAAGCACAGGGTCCAGAGGGATACACAGAAGCCCACCCCTGGCACTCATGAACTGCCTGTGAGTAGGTATGGCCACTACTGTAGGGCAGGACTTGAACCCTCAGTGCCATGCAGTTCACACGTCTTGCTTCCCTAGACACAGGTGTCACTGTCTTCATTTTGTAGATAAGGAAACTGAGGCACAGCTGGTTAAGAAATAGGCTAGCAAATGGTAGAGCTCAGATTGAACTTCTCACCTCTCTGATTCCAGAGACCGGGTTTTTAATTTAGCAAATGGTAGAGCTCAGATTGAACTTCTCACCTCTCTGATTCCAGAGACCGGGTTTTTAATTTACAGGCTATGTTTGTACCTGAGTAGGAGTGTCTAACCTTGCCAAAGAAAACAAAATTAAGGGAATTTGTTTTTTTGTTGTTGTTGTTATTTTTTTTTCATACTGCAGCCCAGGCTCATCTGAAACCATTCTGTCACACAAACTGGCTCAGCTTTGAACTTGTAGCAATCCTCCTGCCTCAGCCACTTGTATGCTGAGTGTGAGCCAAGGTTCAATCTTTTGCTGTTTAAAAAGAAAATAAAGCTGGCTGTGCCACTGCCCTCTGTGTCATTGTTTGTTTGTTTATAGCAAATATCTGCTATTTCAAAACACCCAACTTGGTTTTCCCATCTGTGTGGCAGGAATATGAATGTGGGTTACACAGATCTCTCCTGCCGGGGCAAATGGGGACAAAGAAGTGCAGTGAGTTTCAGTGAAAAGATCTCAGTTAAAGGAAATTTGTTCCCAACACTGGCTAGGCTCTCTGTTCCTGCTGGTCACCTGAAGGCCACCCACTCAGCCGGCTTGAACTGGATTACTCTGAGCAGCTTCCGGAGGCCTCAGCAAAGCTCAGGTTGCGGAACTGTAGCACAGCCGGGGGAGGGGGCGGGGAGGGTGTGGATGTTTCTTTTTTTTTTTTTTTTTTTTTGGTTTTTCGATCTCTGTGGCTTTGGAGGCTGTCCTGGAACTTGCTTGGTAGTCCAGGCTGGTCTCGAACTCACAGAGATCCGCCTGCCTCTGCCTCCCGAGTGCTGGGATTAAAGGTGTGCACCACCAACGCCCGGCGTGGATGTTTCTTTTTTTTTTTTTTTTTTTTTGGTTTTTCGAGACAGGGTTTCTCTGTGGCTTTGGAGGCTGTCCTGGAACTAGCTCTTGTAGACCAAGCTGGCCTCGAACTCACAGAGATCCCCTGCCTCTGCCTCCCGAGTGCTGGGATTAAAGGCGTGCGCCACCAATGCCCGGCGGGTGTGGATGTTTCTAACGAGGTCTCTGCTCGCTCAGGACTTGGACATGGGACATGCCAGTTCTCTGACACGATGAAGGCAGATGAGAAGGGGTGTCAGCACCCAGTGTGGTCAGACAGAGCGTGGAGGCAGGGAGAGGCTGAATGGTGGAGACTCAAGTGGTTTCTGACTGTGGAGCTGCTTGGTACGATAGCAGGGCCAGCCAGGTGGCCATGGCTACTTGGAGTTCTTGAGAATGTGATAAAACCCCCTTCCAAACCAAGTGTAATGGCTCACACCTATAATGCCCAGCCCCAGAGAGGCTGAGGCAGGAGGATCACCTTGAGTTCCAGATCAGCTTGACAACGTATTGTGTTACAGACCAGCCTGAGCTACAGAGTAAGACCCTATCTCAAAACACAAAACTGAAAAAAAAAACAACAGTGATATAAGAAGTATATAAGCCACCCAGGTCCAGTAGGTCAGCCTCTGGGGAATGAAGAAAAGTCTTGAGTTCTAGCACTTTCTCAGCCGACCCAAGTCCTCTGGGGCCTGACCCTTCATCTATAAACAGAGAGCAAAGGCTTTGATGATCCAGGAGCCCCTTCAATGCCTTAGCTAGGTTTTTCTGGTGCACTCTTAGCAGTACTGAGTCTGCAGTAGAGTGGCTAAATTTGCGTCCCAAGAGTGTGGCCGGGGCACGGACCTGTGGTGTGCACTGTCGCAGGCTCACTCCTGGCACTGGTGCCCCCGACATTGAGGGCTCGGACGTAGATGGTGTAGCTGTGTCCAGGTTGCAGCTGTATCAGGGACTCACAGGTTGGTATGCCTACGACAGACCTGTGCACAGAAGCAGAGCAGCTGTCAGCATGAGCCCCAGCCCTCCCTCCCTCTCACACCCACCAGCCCTGCCTCTCACACCCACCGCTCTCTGACCCACAGTAGCACAGCCAGTGTCAGCTCCCAGGGCAGGGCCTCCCACAGTCCGAAGCTTGCGTGCCAGTCTGTGTCTGGCCGTCTCCCTTCCAAGCTCCTCAGCCAGGTTTCCCAAGCACCTAGCACTGTGCTCCAAGTGTCTGCTGGAACATTGTGGGGTGTGTACCCTGTCTCTGGCTGTTAGGGCTATGTCCTCCTGAGGGCAGTAGAACAGTCCTGGACCCACAGAAGCCTTCCTGCCAGACAACTCGGGTAAAAACAGCCGCCACAGAGAATAGCCCAGTTCATTTCAGGGGATGCAAGTTTATAATAGTGCCGTCTGAATTTCTGTGGCTGTCAAACTCATTTCAGTTCAATGGACAAGAGAAGTCTTCAGGATGGTGCTCACATACGGATATGACACCTTACCCAGGCAAGGACAGGATGTCATGTTGGAGGCTGCAGCTCTGGGCCAGAGGGGCATTTCTGCTTGTTCATTTAGTAGATATTAATAAAGCATCTTGCATTCCAGATGCTTTATGTATGTCCTTGGGGAAACTGAACATAACCCCTATTCCTGGGGAACCTGCAGTCTGTGTGGGAAGAGGCATTTTTCAGGAGACCACCATGGTATTCACGACAAACCTACTCTCTGCTACAGCATGGGAGCCTAGTGGTGACATTCAAGAGGAGTTCTGAAGAGTGACTGGAAGGGTTGAAAGAGGGATAGAATAGTCTCTCCACATAGAAGACACATGCGCAGTGGTCCTGTGGCGAGGAGAAAGTAAAGTAGGCGCTGGAGAGAGAAGGGTTGTTGGTATGGGATGAGGGATGGAGAAGGAAGAGCCAGTCTCAGCCTGTGGAGAAGCCATAACCTTCCCTTCGGTGATTGGACATGTGATTCAGTGTGTTCTGGGGGGTGAGCGCCACCTCAGGTCACCCCAGACCTGTCCTCTGAGGGCTCCATCATTATGGGTTGGCCCAAGACCCCAGGTTATGATAATTAGCGAAGGAAACCTGAGTCACTGTTGTGTCAGAACCACTGAACCCCTCCCCTGACTTCTGATCTTTAGAAGCAGAAAACAAAGGCCAGCTTTGAGGTGGTTATAGGCACATAGATCCTGGCAAGAACAGATAAATAGGATGCATGTTAGGTTCGACGGCTGTCAACCAGCCCTGGCCATCGACTGTCTCCACAGATTGAAGGAAAATGCCAGAGAGCTGTGTGGGGTAGCCAGGGGACTCCAAACCTTTTAAGCTGTAGAATTGTGCAAACAAAGCCCTTCTCGTTTTATTATTAAAGCAAGCAAAACATGAGGTGATGTTTACAGTTAGCTTAAGTGACTACAAGAACAGCAGGGAATACACCTGATGTTATGTCTTATCATCTTTGGTCTCGTGAAAAGAGCCAAGAGTATTCCTCCCAGGCCTTTGCCTTTCCCCCAGAGATAGTGCGGACATGCCTCAAACCCTTGCTTTCAAGTGTGTTTGCTCATCATAGTTTATGCAGTTCTTACGGAAGGGCCCCTGTGGGAAGAACATCCTGCCCTCTGCCCCATCCATAGGCCACAGTAAGTCCACACTTCCTTACTCAGGCTCCCACACAAGACCGGCAATAGAATTGCCTCCCTTTGTGAGTGATCATAGAGGAGGGGAGGAGGGGAAGAGGGAGGGAGCAGGAGGAGAGAAGGGAGGGGAGGTTGAGGTTGGGATGTAAAATAAATAAATAAATAATAATAATAAAGAATTTGTATCCCTAACAGTTGGCCTCAAAGGCCTTTTCCATTCTCTTGACAAGCAGCTCCATGCACCCCTGCACTCCACAGCAGAGCTCCCCTGGACTCCGTGGCAGCGGCTGGGCTGTCCAGCTGCATGGTCCCTTGATCTGAATGCTTTAGAATGGCCTGACTGCAGAACAAACGGCCTGGCTATAAGCCAGAAGCAGCCACACTTCCTCTGTGGTGCCTTGCCATAGACTCTTGGGACGTGTAGACCCTAGCGGCCACCGTGTCCTGTCCTCATGGACTTGGTGGTGCCTCTGTGGTGCCTTGCCGTAGACTCTTGGGACCTGTAGACACTAGCGGCCACCGTGTCCTGTCCTCATGGACTTGGTGGTGCCTCTGTGGTGCCTTGCCGTAGACTCTTGGGACCTGTAGACACTAGCGGCCACCATGTCCTGTCCTCATGGACTTGGGAAGGTCTCTCACTCTCCAGACAGCCTTCTGTATCCTTTGTACACTGTACACCAAGTCTCCTTGGTCATTCCTGTGCCCTTCTTTCCTGTGCCCCAACTTGAGTCACATTAGCCCCAGTCCCCGCAGGGTACCCAGCCCACTCCTGTCCCCAAGGTCATGCCCACACAGCTCCTCTCCTCTCCCTAAAACATCTGTCTCACTCCTGCCCATCCTGGACTCAGTTTAAACATCTATCAGAAGAATAGGCCCTGCCTCTACTGTCATTCTCTCCATTGTATCTCTTCTCTCTCCAAATTGTGTATTTTACACATAGTCTTTGGTTTGCTCATACTTGTTTTCCTCCCTGAACTAGGAGCTCCATAGGGCAAGAAATGTGTCTTTCTGGTTCTTTTTTTTTTTTTGGTTTTTTGAGACAGGGTTTCTCTGTAGCTTTGGAGGCTGTCTTGGAACTCACTTTGTAGACCAGGCTGGCCTCAAATTCACAGAGATCCACCTGCCTCTGCCTCCCGAGTGCTGGGACTAAAGGTGTGTGCCACCAACGCCCGGCTGTTTTGTTTTGTTTTGTTTTGTTTTGTTTTGTTTTGTTTTGACACAGGGTTTTTCTGTGTATCCCTGACTGTCCTGGAACTCACTCTATAGACCAGTCTGGCCTAGAACTCCAAGATTCACCTGCTTCTGCCTCCCCAGTGCTGGGATTAAAGACCAGTGCCACCACTGCCCAGTGGTTGCTTTGTTTTCATTGCTGTTTCTTTCTTTCTTTCTTTCTTTCTTTTTTTAAATTTTACAAGACAGAGTTTCCCCTTAGCTTTGGGGGCTATCCCGGAACTCACTCTGGAGACAAGGCTGGCCTTGAACTCACAGAGATCTGCCTGCCTCTGCCTCCTGAGAGCTGGGATTAAAGGCGTGCGCCCCCACTGTCCGGCTATTGTTTCTTGAGACAAGGTCTCACTCTGTGACCCAGGCCATCCTTTGGCAATGCTTCTGCCTTAGTTTAAAGGTTCTTAGTTTATAGGCATATGCCACTAAAGACAAATCTTAGTTAGACCCTGTGTGTGTGTGTGTGTGTGAATACAATATGTGCACACATAGGTGTATGTTGGTGTATGTGCCCATGTGTACACACATAGGGTAGAGGAGGACATCCAGTGTTCTTCTCTGTTACTTTCTGCTTTATTACTTTGAGACAGGGTCTCTCACTGGTCCTGGAGCTAGACAAGCAGCCAGTGAGCCCAGTGGTCCCCCTGGGGTTACAGGTGTGCAGCCACACCCAGCTTTTACATGGGTTCTGGGGATCCCAACTCAGATGCTCACACTTGCACGGCAAGCACTCTTAGCCACTGTGCCCTTAATTCCCCTGTACCCTCAGAGCCGGCAGAGTGGATCATCTTTAATTCTAGAACTTGGGAGGTAGAGGCAGGTGATCTCTGTGAGTTCAAGGCCAGCCTGGTTTATAAAGTGAGTTCCAGGACAACCAGAGCTGTTCAGAGGCACCCTGTTTTGAAAGGAAAAATTATCCTCCCAGCCCTTAAGTGTATTAAAAAAAAAAAAAAGAAGCTGACTCAGGGTTTCCCCAACTTGTATTCATCATTCACTATTTATAACATTCTAGCTACTTCTTGGGTGCCTTAAGTATCCTAATTAAGACTGCTATGTGTCACAAATTCTGACCTGGTCCCCACACTGCATGTGCTTAGAAACCAGCGAAGGCCCTCCAGACTCACTCAGTCACTCCCGAGGCTTCCGGTGTTTCTGCCTGGATCAGCTCCACTGTGTAAGAGTCCACAGGATTCAGGTTCCCAGACTCCCAGCAAATGAGCACAGCCTCTTCACAGCTTCTAATCGCCTCGCTTATTATAGTGGGGGGAGATGGGGCTAAGTGCAGGAGAAAGGAGACAGGACAACCATTAGGCTCAGTCCTGACCATTTTGTTTAGAGCCATGGACAAATACCATAGCAATGCAAGTACCTGGAAACCCTTTCAGACATTCCTGGGCTTGAGGATGGTCACTAAACAAGTGGTGGCTTGAGTAATAAATGTCCCACATAGTCTAGGGCATTTGAATGTTTGGTCTCCAACTGGTAACCCTGTTTGGAAAGTTTTAGGTGGTGCAGTCTTGTTGGAAGAAGCGTGTCACTGTAGGTGGGATTTGAGGATGTAAAGACTCATACCATTTCAAGTTCAAGTTCACTCTCTGCTAGCACTTGCAGTTCAAGATACAAGCCCTCCCCGGGTGGTGGTGGCGCACGCCTTTAATCCCAGCACTCGGGAGGCAGAGGCAGGCAGATCTCCATGAGTTTGAGACCAGCCTGGTCTACAAGAGCTAGTTCCAGGACAGCCTCCAAAGGCACAGAGAAACCCTGTCTCGAAACACCAAAAAAAAAAAAAAAAAAAAAAAAAAACAAAGGAAAATACAAGCCCTCAGTTTCTGACTCTGGCCTCTATACCTGTTGCCATGTCTCTGCTATGACTTTTTTGTTTTGTTTCGTTTTTGGAGACAGGGATTTTCTATAGCTTTGGAGCCTGTCTTGGAACTCGCTGTGTAGACCAGGATGGCCTTGAATTCACAGAGCTCTGCCTGCCTCTGCCTCCCAAGTGCTGGGATTGAAGGTCTGCTGTGACTCTTATCCCTCTAGAATGGTCACCACAAATAAATTCTTCCTTCTTTAAGTTGCCTGGGACATGGTGCTTCAATACAAAAATAGAAAAGTAACTTAATACAAGTCCTGAGTGTCAGTTATAACTATGGATAGCAGGCCAACCATGAAAAAAAGATCCCTATGAAATGGAAAAAAATTAATAAAGTCTAAAAACTTAGACTAACAAATTCCACATAGGAAAAAGAAAAATTTCAAGCCTCTCTAAATTCCCAAAAGGCAGCCCAACACATAATGTTAAACAAAGGTCTATGTGTCTGGAGGCCTTAGACCATATAACACACCCTCAGCTGTGTCAACATTCCATTGTTCCAAAAAAGACCAGATAGCCATCAACTCCTGGTTGTAAATAAAAACCTCTGGCCCTGGAGATAATTAACAAACCTATATCCCCTGCCATAATTCCGCTCAACTGTGTCTTACTTAAACACATGGTTATTACTTTACTTTATGTAACCACGGAAACTTGTAAGCTCGGGGCTTCCAGCCTTGTGATGTTCCCCTTTATTTTATTTTATTTTTGTTTGTCTTTGTTTTTCGAGACAGAATTTCTCCGTATTGTTTTGGAGGCTGTCCTGGAACTCGGTCTGTAGACCAGGCTGACTTCGAACTCACAGAGATCCACCTGCCTCTGCCTCCCGAATGCTGGGATTAAAGGCATGCTCCACCTAGCCCAGCAGTGTTCCCCTTTAAAAATCCCACTTGGCCGGCCGGGTGTTGGTGGCGCACGCCTTTAATCCCAGCACTCGGGAGGCAGAGGCAGGCGGATCTCTGTGAGTTCGAGGCCAGCCTGGTCTACAAAGTGAGTTCCAGGACAGCCTCCAAAGCTACAGAGAAACCCTGTCTCGGAAACCCCCCCCCCAAAAAAAATCCCACTTGGCTGTAAGATGTATTCCATTGGCTCCCAAGCCAGTGGAATCCAGGCTGCAGCTTGAAATAAAAGAAACTTTCCTTTTACATTTGGTGAATCGCCTCCTTAGTGGTAGGTTTTTGGGGTTCAATGAACTGGGCATAACACCTACAACACCAGGCATGTAGATCTAATGCATTAAATGAAATACAGAAAAAAAGAAAAAAGAAAAGAAAGAAACCACACACAGGCTCTATCCTTTCAAATGAAATGGAAAACCCAGGCACATCTGGAAACCTGCAACTCCTGTGTCACCTTGAATGAGAATGAACAGTTCAGTACCTGTCATGTATACTGCGTGCTCACTGGAGGGGCTGGGGCCAGTCCTGTTCTGAGCTATCACCCAAAATTCATATTGGGTATTTGGCTCAAGATTTGTCACTGAGCAATATGTTTCTTTGACTGTCATGGTAAACTCTGGAAGAGAAAGAAAACAGTCAGAATTCAAATGTTAAAAGGCCATGTGGCTTTATTGTGTCCCATTGTAAAAGACCAGGCTGCAGATCCTCCGTCCCCTGCAGGCATGTCTCTGCCACCTGTGCTAAGAGGCCGGGGCTAATAGCCTGACTTTGAAGTGGGGCTTACAGGATGATAGCATGACACAAGAGAAGGCTTGGGACAGTGAGGGGCTTGCCCCCCCCCTTTACTGCTGGGAATGCTTTTGCTACATATGAATGTGTCTGAGGACACCCTCTGGAGAGTTAAGACCACAGGGAGAAAATCCCCCCACCCCTACCCTTCAGCGGTACCAGCTGTCCTCGAGGGCCAGACTGGAAGACAAGAGTTACTTTTACCTTGAGAAGCAACCTAAGGAAGGAAGGGTTTATTTCCACCAGGGCAGGGAAGGCAAGGTGGCAACTTGCTCACATTGTATCCATGCGCATGACAGGAAGCAGAGAGCCGAGCCCTGCTGCTCGACCTTTCCCTGTTTGAATCAGTCTGGGACATCAGGTGGATCTTGCCTGCCCTGTTAAACCTTTCCGGAAACACCTCCACAGACACACCCAGAGATGTGTTTCCATTGTGATTTTAAATCCTTCAAGTTGACAACGGAGATAAATATCATCATAATGAATAAGGCCACCTTGGATCGTCTGATCGAACTCAAGGAGTCCCAGACCCGAATTGTCTAACCAACCCATAAAATTATAAAACAATAAATGTGTGTTGTTTTAAGACAGGAGGCAGGAATATTGTTACAGAGCCAAAACTAACTGACACAAGACTAATACATAGTGGTGCACATTTATAATCCTAGGGTCAAGGAGGCTGAGGCAGGAGAATAGCTGTGAGTTCAAGGCCACTCTAGGTTACTTAGACCTTCTCTGAGAAATCAAGCCAATTAAAAGTTATGAAGAAGTGTTAAAGAAATCTGTAAACTAATAATAATTATAAAACAATTCGCATTCATGGATAGATCTGCTCTCAGAGGTTGTTGATGAAAATCAATTTTAGGAATAGGCTACTGCATTGGCCATTTTTTTGTTGCTGCAATAAAACAATGTGACCAGTGTGACTGATGGAGGAAAGTTTACTGGGGCTTATGGCTTCAGAGGTGGGGAGGCACAGAAACAGGGGGCTGGAGCAGGGAGCAGAGTGTTCAACGTAGAGGGGGGATTGGAGGTAGGGTGAGGCTGCAGTCTCTCGAAACCTGCCCCTGTGTGTGACATACTTCCTCTAGCAAGGCTACATCCTAAGCCCCCGCCCCCCAGATAACAACCACCAACTGGAGACCAAGTATCCAAATCCCTGAGCCAGGGTTCATGTTCACCAGAGCTACTTTCCTTATGAGTCGTTTGTCAGAGATGTCTCTCAGACCCCGTTAAACAGTACAGGCAACTGCCACTGCTGCTGGTTGCCTAACACGTGACCTGCTCACAGAGCATAGAAAGATCAAGTTGGTACTAGAATGGAAACTTCCTGCAGGCCAGCCCTCACAGTGCCAGTAGGTACTTTGTAGCCTATTGTAGAAAAAAAATCATTGATCTTTCCCAGCACGGTCATGCTACGGCATGGACCTGCTGCTGGCAAATATACTCACGGTACAATAGAGTCTCACAGTTACGAGGGTGGCCAACCACTCTCTAACTGGTTAGGAGGTCTTCTCCACAGGAATGATTTCATGCCTGGCACTGTAAACCTGGTTAGAATTCATGACCAGGGAGATCACAGGCCCTACTGAGGAACCTTCTGTTGTTCTGATAAACGGTCATGTTGTCAAACTGCACTCTGAACATTTATGTTTGCACCCATAGATTTGTGTTGCTCTCAACTTTGGTCAGCGGAGTTTCTTTTTGCAGTGGGTAGTGATTAATGCAGAGACTCGTGACTGGTCAAAGTGCTGACTATACATGACTCTGAGTGGTTAGCTGTGGATGGGGGGGCGGTCTGTATCAATGTCCCAGCATCCAAGGCTCAGGGAAGTTCAAAGAAGAGGGCTCAGAAAGAATTACGGGGGCACATGGGGAGGAAAGCTGTGAAATGCTGACTTCTAGACAAGATGTTGCTACTGCTCACGTCAACTGACAGCAGCTGTGGTCACCCCCACAGCATCAAGCCAGCCAGGCTTGCCACTTGGCTGGGGGAGGGCCCTGGAGACCATCTGGCGGTTGATGGCATCTGAGTAAGGGGGAGTCACTCTTCTTTGTGGGTGTGGCCTCTGGTAGGTTGCTCATGCTCCAGTGGGTGGCCGTGTACCCATGTGCCTGTGGGCAGCACTAATTGACTTTGCAGTTATCAGTAACAGAAACCAAAAATAAAAGAGGACAAGAAGATGGGAGAGAGATGGGGTGGAGGCTGTTTTGGGGTGTGGTGGACCGATATGACCAAATGCATTGAATAAATGTATGAAACTTTCAAATAATAAAAAGCAGTTTTTGAAAATCTCCTTCCTGGCTTCCACCTGGAACACTGTGCCTGCTGACCTGGTTCTCCTACTGGTTCTGCCACAACTCACTGTGACCCACAGACAGCTTGTTTCTCTCTGAGCCTCCGCCATCCTTCTCTATTAAATGGAGATTGCCAAGCCTGGCAATCTCACTCTGACCCGACTCATGCTGGACAGACCTACCAGCAGGACCAGATCCTCATTACTTCTGGTCTATGGGCCTTACGGGGTTAGTTTTTCTGCAGTCTGATCTCCCCTTCCTCTTATGATTTAAAAAGTGCCCCCCAACAGCTATGTGTTGAAGGCTGCCCCTCCCCCAATACCCCAGGAGGTGGTGAAAACTTTAAGAGGTGGGGCCTCGTGGAAGGAGGTTAGGTATGGGAAACATGGCCTTGAAAGGGATTTTGGCACTCCCAGCCCTCCCTGTTTCTCTTGGCCCCATGGATGCTGCTATCACTGCCACACTCTGTAGTGATGCACTGTGTCACTGAAGATGGAAACCATGAGCTACTAAAGTTTCCTACTTAAAAGTTGGTTTATCTCTGATAATTGTTATGGTAACAACAAGCTGACTGTGATGACTAATCTTAATTTCCAACTTGATGAGATTTTGAATCACTAAGGATGATTTGAAACACCAGGCCTCTGGGTGTCTTTGAAGGCATTTTCAAAGATGCTCAGCTGAGGAGGGATGGCCCCCTTTAATGCGGGTGCCACCACTCTGTGGCGCGGAGGTCCCAGACTGAATATGAAGGAGAAAGCGAGTAGAACACCAGCATTCATCTCATGGCTCTCTGTTTCTTGACGGTGGATACAATGTTACCAGCTGTCTCATGCACCTGCTACCACGCCCTCCCTGCAACGGTGGACCTTGTACCCTCAAACTGGGAGCCAAAAATAACCCCTCCTCTGTTAAAGTTGTTTCTCGTGTTGTGTCAGGTATTTGTTACAGCAACAAGAAAAGTAACTAGCCGATGGTTAATAGAAACACACTGCTCACAGGAGAAGGGCTGGTAGATTGTTGGTGCAAGGGTAACCCCAGTCCCAGTACCACACAAGCCGTTTCCCGGGGTGGGGGGGGTGGGGGGGTGTGAAGATAGATCTAGAGCTGCCCAGAGCAAGGGCCATACCCTGAAGCTTTCTGGTCAGCATCAGCTCTTTCAGGCTTACCTGCTTGCTCCTTGCCAGGTGAGCTGTCTCGCACCGGCCTGTAGGACAGCTGATAGCTCTCCACAGTGTCATCAGAGTACAAGCTCCAGCACACACGGACGGAGGATCCTGTGGCCGAGTTGGGGGCCTGTGGGTTTATCACTGGAGCAGAGGGAGCTGAAAAACAAAAAGAGAGAAAACAACGTTGAGGAGCCATATGTACGGGTGTGGGATGGGGCAGCCGCTTTCTTATTTTATTGTGTGGCTTTGTGTGCCTGGGTGTTTTGTCTGCATGCGTGTCTGTGCACCGTGTGCTTGCCTGGTGCCCATGGAAGACAGACAAGAGATACTTATACCTGATACTCAGAACACGGAAGAATCTCCAGAACTCAATGGCAAGCCAAACAGACAGCCTCTTAAATAACATCATTTAAAAATGAACAAAGGGCTCAAACAGGTGTTTGTCTAAAGGAGCCATACCAACTGCCACCACCAGGAGTAGGAACAGGTGCTCAGCATTAGTAACCACGAGGAAAATGAAGATCAAAATCACAACCTGAGGGCCATGTGTGGTGACGCATACGTGCAATCCCAGCACCTGCTAGGCTGAGGGTCACAAGTGAGAGGCCAGCCTGGGCTACGCTGAGTTCTACAGCTAACCCGGGTATAGAGTGATACCCTGTCTCGACAAAACTAAAACAACAAACACAGCCCCCCAAACATAATGAGCTATCCCTTCACTCCTGCCAGAACAGCCACGCTCAGGAAGCAAAGGATAACAATCGTTGGCAAGGATCTAGGGATCTGGAAGCCATGTGTACTGCCAGGGAAATGTACCTTTGTACAGCCACTGTGGAAAACAGCATGGCAAGCCACCAACATTTTAATAAGGAACTGCTAGTGTAATGTCACACTCAAGAGGTCAGGGTACTCTGGGGGAGGAAAAGTAGCTCAGAGATGCAGCACTTGTGTGGCACACATGAGGTTCTGGGTTCAATCCCCAGCACAGCAAATGGAGGGAGGGGGAGAAGAGAACTGTCAAACGGGTCAGCAACCCCACTTTCAGGCACATATCCAAAAGCACTGAGATTGGGATCCTAGACATTTTGCACACTCATTTAATGGTGCTGCATTCACAGGGGTCAAGTTAAGAGACCAACAGATTGATGGAGAAAGAAATTGTGGTATGTTTACTCAATGGAGTACTGCTGAGCTTTAGAAGGGAAAAAACCTGAGCTGGGGAGGGGAGGTGGCCCAGTCGGGAAAGTACTTGCCAAATAAGCCTGAGGACCTGGGCTTAGAGCCCCAGTGTCCACATAAGTAGCCAGGTGCAGCTCTGTACATCTTGGAGATAGGATTCCTGCAGCACACTGGCCTGACAGCCTAGACAATCCGGGGGAGACCCTGTTTCAAAACTGAAGTGCAGAGCAATAGAGGAAGATGCCTGACGTCAGTCTCAGTCTCTAGCCTCCACATGCACCACACACACACACACACACACACACACACACACACACACACACCACACACCACACACACCACACACACCACACACACACACACACACCACACACACCACACACACACACACACCACACACACACCACACACACACCACACACCACACCACACACACACACACACACACACACACCACACCACACACACACACACACACACACACACACACACACACACACACACACACACACACACACACACACACACCACCCCCACATAGACACAGGGAGGGAGAGGCATGCTTGTTAAGACCCCTTAGCATCAGATCTACTCTCTTACCATAAGCAGAAGTGACAGATACCACATTGTTAACTCCAGGTAATGGGCTACCCAGCACATCTGGGTCTTACTCACTTTGCAGAACTAAGTCCTTCTACCCATCCAGTAGTTCCCATCTCTCCCTCCCCAGTCCTGGGCTGCCACCATTCTGTTTGCTGATTCTGTGAGTTTGCTTTCTTCAGGCACCTCATGGAAGGCGAATTGTGCTGGATTTATCTTTCTGTGAAAAGTTAGTTACACTTATTATACTGTCCATTTAGGTCCATTGGTGGTCTCTCTTTCTCTCTGTGTCTGTCTGTCTGTCTGTCTGTCTGTCTGTCTGTCTGTCTGTCTGTCTGTCTCTGTGTCTATGTTACTGTCTCCCTCTGAAGTTAAGCTCCTGTGGAGATGCACGGGTCAGATCCACACCTGCAACAGTGTTGATGGAATCCATCAGCTGCTCCACATCAGAGAAATCCAAGGTCTGGTCTTCAAACTCAGGCTGTGCAGAGAGCTCCACGTCTGTTTTGGTTTTCAGGAATTTCCCCAGTCTGTAGGTATAAAAAGACAAGGCCAGGGCTGGGAAGTCAGACAAGCAGTCAAGAGCACTGGCTGCTCTTCCAGAGGACCTAGGCTCAATTGCTAGCACCCACATGGCAGCTCACAACTCTCTGTAACCCCAGTTCCAGGGGATCTGACACCCTCTTCTGGCCTCTGAGGACACCAGCTACACACACACACACACACACACACACACACACACACACACACACACACACAGGGTCCACAGACATTCATGCAGGTGAAACACTCAAGCATGTTTAAAAATAACCACACAAATTCACACAAAGATGGAGGGGCTTTCTTCTTAGGGTACATCTATAGTGCTAGGTCACTAGGAGGAAATGGAGGGCCTCTGTCAAATTTACATTTCTTCACTTGCTTCTAGATTCCACTATCTGATTTGACGAAGGGCCTGGAGGTTACCTCATCCGAATTTTGTGGTTTTGATGAGTCACTGAAATAAGCAACTGAAAGGGAGGGGATGTTTACTACGCCCGTGTTTTAAGTCCATGGTCAGCTGGCTCAGCTCTTAGGTGGAAACATGGGTGGGTGGGGAAATGGAGGGCAGCTGCTTACCATGGGCAGCCAGGAAGCAGAGAGAGGGGAGAAGACTGAGCCAGGGATAAGACACACCCTTCAAACCTCCAGTGACTCACTTCCTATAGCTAGGCCCCAGCTCCTCATCTCCACCATCTCCCCACTGAACCAAAGAATTACCAACCCATCAAAGGATCCTCATTCATGAGATCCCAGCTCTACCGGGCCAATCATTCTCCCAGAACCCCATTTCTGAACATAGTTGCTTTAAGAACGAAGCCTTCAACCCATGAGTCTGTTAGGGAACACTTCCTATCCAAACCTTCAGTGTCTAAACCAGTAGATCTCAACCTTCCTAATGCTTCGACCCTTTAACACAGTTCCTCATGTTGTGGTGACCCCAACCACAACATTCTTTTTGTTGCTACTTCATAACACTATTTATGCTACTGTTATGAATTGTAATGTAAATAAATGTCTATGTTTTCCATGGTCTTAGTAACTCCTGTGAAAGGGTCCTTTGACCACTGCCCCACCCTCCACCCCCAAAGGGTTTTTGACCCACAGGTTGGGAAACATTGGTCTAATCCCTCCCAGGGAAAGAGGGAGGGCTGGGACTAAGAGTGGGAGTCTGGGGCTGGAGAGATAGCTCAGCGGTTAAGAGCACTGACTGTTCTTCCAGAGGTCCCGAGTTCAATTCCCAGCAACCACATGGTGGCTCACAACCACCTTGAATGAAATCTGGTACCCTCTGCTAGCTTGCAGACAAAAAGGCTGTATGCACAATTAAAAAAAAAAAACTGAGCCAGGCGTTGGTGGCGCACGCCTTTAATCCCAGCACTCGGGAGGCAGAGGCAGGCAGATCTCTGTGAGTTCGAGGCCAGCCTGGTCTACAGAGCGAGTTCCAAGACAGCCTCCAAAGCCACAGAGAAACCCTGTCTCGAAAAACAAAAAACAAAAAACAAAAAACAAAAAAAACCAAAAAACAACTGTATGCATAATAAATAAATAATTAAAAAAAAGAGTGGGAGTCTGTCCATCAGCAGGGAGCAGAGCCACATTTTCTCTGCTCCCCCATCACCCACATGGACTCAGGGTTCTACTCTGGAGCCTCCCTCCCACATGGTCTTACATCGGCTCCCTGGCAGTCACAGGGCTTCTAAGTGGCAAAGGTGGAATTTGAAAACCAGGTCCATTTTTGCCAAAACATACTTGCTTAGGCACTTAGATTATTGAGATCCCATGTTGCTCTACAGACACTGTCTTACTAAGTCCTCACTGAACCACCCCTGCTTGTAAATGGGGAAGGCGAGGCATTGGACCTGGATCTGTCTAAGGTCACTGTCGAAGCGGCTTTAACTCTGCTGTGTCTGACTTTTAAATTCTCATACCTTCTGTCACAACATGACCAAGGACTGAGGAGGGCTAGGGACATGTGCCAGTCCTCGGTTTCTCCCGGTGGAACAAAGCTCTTGTGTGTGTGAGGGGGCCTGAGCACAGGCTTGCTGTGTGGGCCTCACCACATGCTCCTGTCCAGCCCACAGATTCTAAGATTCAACCCCAAAGGCCCCCACTGACCCCGTACCGCCACTGCGAAGCCAGTGCTATTCTATTTACAGGGCCACCGGAGCTGAAAGGGAAGCAGGTGACCCCGCGGAACCGAGTCTACAAGTGAAAGTAGGACACAGAAACTAGGTCAGTACAAAACTTTTACCTGTCAGTCATAGCCACTGCATCCTGAAAAGGAAGAGAAAATATTAAGCCAATTTAGGAAAAAGTTTTTCTCAACAATATGGAATGTAATTTTTTAAAGTTGGAAATTACAAACAAGGGGGAGTCACCCTAACAAAGCCACCATGTCTGTACCTTTCCTTCTACACACCTGCACCTCCCGGGTCACACAGGGCCCTTCAGACCACTGACTACGAGGACTGCAAAGGATTCATCCTAGAAGCACCATCGTTTACTTATTAATGGCTCCTCTGTTGTAGGACACTGGCTGTCTACAAGTTTTCGCCATCATAAGTAACGTGTTGTTTTCTACTTTCTGTATTTGAGACAGTGGCACCATGGGACCACTGGCTCAAGAGGCTGAGCCTCGGTTCCTCTCGAGGCACTTGCCAGGTTGCTCTCCACCTTTATCCGTGATCATGGAGAGAAGGAGGCAGGACTGGGCTGTGAGGAGTAGCTAAGAGCTTGGACAATGAGGGGATCATACTCAGCATCTGAGAAGATCCTGGGGACCTCTTTGTGGACCCACATCTGCACCATGGTCTTATGGGCCCTTGCAAGATCTTTAAATGAAGTAGAAATTTCTGTAACTGCTATATGGGGTTTGGGCCAGATTTAATATGATTTTAATATAATTAAGAAATGGATATTTTTGGCATATGCATGGAATTACAAAGCAAGATTTACAACTGCCACCTTGGCACAGGGCAACTTAAGGTACCTTATTAACCTGGACTAACTTTCTCCCAGAGATCCAAGAGAAGCCATCAGAGGCGGCCAAGAAACTCTCAGGACACTGTCTTTGCTCACCTCCGTGATCAAGGGACAGAGGAACAAAGCTTGCAGTTACCTGGGAAGCAGTGGAAGGGAAGGGCCAGGTGTCCCTGCCTGCTTGACCACTAATGAAGTGCTATGGGGAAATGGAGGGACATCCTCCTACCATGAACGTCAGACAGACGTCACTGTTAACTCAGATCTCTGGGAGGACAGAGGGCAGGCTAGCCTACTCTAGGCTGGACCTGGGATTTCATCTCATGGTTTTGTTCCTTGCCTTTCTGTTTCTCCACAGACCTTTAAGAACTCAACCTTCTCTTCGTGACACATCTCCTCTATGGTTTCCATCAGCTCTCTACAGGCATCAAGATTTTCTCCACAGGTGACCAGTTGTCCATATAAGGATTCCAGCTTCTCCTTCTTTTTCTCTCCTAGGGCTTGAATTTTTTCTTCATACTTTTGAGCGAGGGTTTCCAAGATCTCATTGTAATGTGACTCAAAGTTTTGTTCTTGTCTTCCAAAATTCTCCTGTAAGACAGTTGACCTCAACCATCATTTTAGTGCGTGTGATATGTTGGCTAGAGTCACTGGGGAATGAAACTCTGCCTACCCGGAGTTGTTTTCTTCCCTTCACTTTCTCCCATCTCCTAGCAGGGAGTGGATGCTGGGGGAGTGAAAACAGAGAGTCCTTCGTACATCCTCAGGAATGATATTTAATTAATTAATGCATATAAACATGTATGTGTACATACATATTTGTGCATGTGGAAGCCAGAGGACAACCTCGGGTATCATCCACAGAGTCTCTCACTGGCAGAGAATGTGCCAGTTACGTAAGTGTGGCTGACCAACAAGCCCCAGAGATCCTCTTCTCTCTGCCTCCCAGCACTGGGATTACAAACATGTGTCACCACACCCAGATTTTCTATGTAGGTTCTTGGGGACAAACTTGGGTCCTCAAACTTCACCAACTGAGATGTGTACTCCCCAGCCCTGGATGTGTGGACCCCTGCCCTGAGCCATCTCACCAGAAAGTGCTGCTGTGGTTCCTGGCAGCATGTTGCAATCCTCTCCCTGTTTCAGCTACCTCCCATTACCATAGCAACCAGCCTGGGAGCTCATCAATGGTTAATCAGCTTGTTGCTGGAAGCTTTGACTTCAAGGCAGAAACGTTTTCCCTGAGTGATGTCCACCTGCCATTCCCTCCTGTGCTGTCACATCTCATGATATCTGTCCTCACTAAGTGATACATGGATTGCATAAACACCAGCAGTTTATCAACTTGGTTCATGCCAGTGAGGAGAGATACGAGAGCAGAGAAGAAAGGGTTGTGGCAAATGGCTCTGCCGGATGAATGAGGAAATGCAGGAAGAAGAATGTAGACATTGAATCTGGTACGTGTAGTATTTACCTATTTATTGGTTTTCTCATAATATCTCATTAGATGACCCTAGATGGCTTGGCACCTACTATGCAGGCCAGGCTGGCCTGGAATTCACAACAATCCCTTTGCCTTAGCTTTCCAAGTTCTGGAGTTACAGGCATGCACCACCACACCTGGTTGATAGCTACAGTATTTAAACTGGGAACCCAGAGGCTGGAAAACGTTGAGTGGAGCAGAAGGATTTCTGGTATCCATTTCTCGTACTGGAAGCTCACGATAGCTTGGTGATTTTTGACTGTTGCCACCTTCACGCAAGTACAAGGGCATTTCCAAAGAGGCTTCTAGAAGTCACTCAGAGGGTTGCTACTAAGCACCTACTGTGTGCGTGGGACTCACTCACAATGGTGAGAGGGTAAAGCAATAGATGAGTCTCTAGTGAAGATAGCAGGAGGTCCCCCAGTATCCTCACTGGGGATGAAGGTACTTGGATCTGAGAGTATGGCGGATGGCAGGATGACAGAATAGAGCACAAGGAACTTAAAGGAGTCTGGTGTTTTGCCTGCATGTGTGTATGCGCATCATGTGTGTGTAGTGCCCACAAAGGTCACAGAGCGTACTGGATGCCCAGAACCAGAATTACAAGCCATAGTGAGCTGCCTGGGAATCAAACCTGGGTCCTCCAGAAGAGCAGCAGTGCTCCTAACCTCTGGGTCATCTCTCCAGTCCTAGCATAACCAGTTAGCTCCGGCTGTCTCACTCTTATCCCTTCTCCTACAACCTCGTGCTGGAATGTGGAAGGGCTTCCATCCTTCCCACTCCATCCACAGCAATAGTGGGACAGCTTTCTCTCCCTTTAAAGCTGAGGGCAATGGAAGGGTGAGTGTCTAGCAGTGTTTAACTAAAGCTGGCCAGGACAGAGGACTTGCTCTTGCTCTGTGGGACTCTAGGGGACAGTATGACCAATGGACAACCATGAACAGCTTCCAGCTCAGTAATCTTGGTCCATGGATGAGGAACCTACATCCTTCCCATGTCAGGCAGGAAGAGAGCCCACATTAAAGAATGAGAAGTCCTTTTAGGCAATGCAGATGTAAGGAATAGCTTAGCAACCCTGGGCTCCACTTGTCTTGGGAAAGACTCCGAACAATGTGCCTAGCAACCTGCCAGCAATCCAGGACCTTTATTTGCACAGAGCTGCATGTATACACATTTTATTATTATTATTTTGTTTTGTTTTTTTGAGACAGGTTTCTCTGTATTGTTTCGGAGGCTGTTCTGGAACTTGCTCTGTAGACCAGGCTGGCCTCAACCTCACAGAGATCCGCCTGCCTCTGCCTCCCAAGTGCTGGGATTAAAGGCTTGCACCACCAATGTCCCGCTCTATACATACTTTAAACAATGGAAATAGTTATTATTCTCTGCAACCCCTGATAACACCCCATTTCCATTCAAACACACTCTGGAACATAATCCAGGACTATGGGCAATGCTCTGATCTAGCCTAGGCTGGATTTGGGTGCAACTATATTAAATCAACCTTGTCCTCAGAGTGAACTTCCAGAGAGAATGTACTTACCATTTTATGCTTATGCTTAGTTGACCATGCATAGTAATTAAAATCAGATGCATCATGGGAAGGGATATGAGCAATGAGTAAGGGTTCATGTAATCTAAGCCTGTCAGTCAAAATAGCCAATATCCCACATTATAACCCTAATGACCAAACTCCTCTTCTTGAACCCCATAAAGGGAACCCAAAACAATAATCAGCATCCATGACTACTCTCACTCATGTGTCCTGTTGTCAACCTTGTTGTTCTTGATATTGTTTTTTTTTTTGAATAAGGTTTCTCTACGTAGCCTTGGTTGTACAGGAGCTCACTATGTAGACCAGGCTGGCCTCGAACTCAGAGGTCCACCTGCCTCTGCCTCCCGAGTGTTGGGATTAAAGGTGTGTTCCACCAACGCCAGGCCCTGCTGTCAGTCTTAACAGTATATTTCTAATCTGTTCTATCATTTTGCTTTGAGTAAAATCTGTTTGATAAATAAATGCCAGTGAGTATGTGAACAAAAGGGAATCCACATACACCACTGTTGGTGCTGTAAACTAGTCCAGACACCATGAAATCAGGATGGAGGTTCCTCGAAAACTGAAAATATGTCTTGTTAGTATTCAGGCACCTGTACTGGCCTATCCTTGGGGTTCTGACAGGATACGCCCTCAGCTGCAGCCACTAAGAGCACCACCTGTGCGCATTCACTATGCTCCCTTTTAAAAGGGCCCTGCCCACCTCCCATCCTTCTCTCTCTCTCTCTCTCTCTCTCTCTCTCTCTCTCTCTCTCTCTCTCTCTCTCTCTCTCTCTCTCTCTCTCTCTCTCCTCTCTCTCCTCTCTCCCAGTGCTCCTGTTCCCAGAGACCAGTTTCCCCCTCCCCTTTCCCCTTTTTATGATTTTATGATCCCTTTCCCTTAATAAAAATCCCTCCACTTGAATTATGATGCATGGTGTCTTTCTCTCTCAAGCTGCTTTTTTTTTTTTTTTTTTTTTTTGGTTTTTCGAGACAGAGTTTCTCTATAGCTTTGGAGGCTGTCCTGGAACTCGCTTTGTAGACCAGGCTGGCCTCGAACTCACAGAGATCCGCCTGCCTCTGCCTCCTGAGTGCTGGGATTAAAGGCGTGTGCCACCAACGCCCGGCTTCAAGCTGCTTTTTAAAAAAATTACTTTGGTCCAAGTCAGCCTGCTACAGACACTTGCGCATCTACGCTATTGAGGCTATTCAGAAAAGCTAAGTTGTGGAACTAAGCTAGATGCCCATCAATAGAGGGAGGGGTAAAGAATGTGTATATACACACAATGGAATTGTTTGCAGGGAAATGAATGCCAGTGGAGACAACCAGTTTAGTGAATTAAGCTAGTCTCAGAAGACCAATAAACATTCTCTCTCGTTTGTGGTTCCTAAATCTTACATAGATTCATAGAATCATGTATGTAATTTTGCCACTAAAGTGTCTCGGGAGCAGAGAATATTAAGGGGAGAGGAACAGGAAAGCTAAAAGAGGGGAGTGAAGCTGGGGGAATACTTTCAACATGCATTACAGACATGTGTGAAAATGTCCTGATGTAACATGGTATGTGCAATGAATACGCACAATAAACATTTTCAATGGGGAGGAAGCTTTGACAGTTCACACCTGATTTAATACAGTGACATGACAGTACCCCAAAAACCAAAAATTAAAAACTCCAGAGAGCAAGGCAACAACATGAAGCCTGCTACATCTGGTTATACAACAGGACAACAGGAAATCTCAGGGTGAGACCAACAGAAAGAAAAGGACAAAAACAACCTGTTATCTTAAAAAGTCCCGGTTAGGGGAAAGGTCACTGGAAACCCGCTACCACTGTTACAATGAGCCAATCAGTCTAAATTAATAAATACGGGTTTAATCTGAGCAAAGCATTCCTGTGTGGCCCCAGGGAAAGAGAAAACCAGGAACCACGAGATGAATTCCAGAAGTGGGGCTTTTAATGCCCTCCAGGAATGGAGCCACCAAAGGCAGGCTTTTTAGGGGTGGAGTCTGGACTGAGGTGACTCCAGAGGAGGGCCTGCCGTTGGCATCCTGAAGGTGGGTTTTGAAACAGGCTTCCAAACATTCTAACCTCTTTGTATAAATATAGAGGCAGGTAGGGCTTCCACCTAAACACAACCAAACAAACAAAAAGCCCACCAAGGACAGGGCTTAGGGAAATTGCTCAATTGGCAAAGAGCTTACCACGCAAGCTGGAAGGCCTGGGTTTGGATCGCCAGCACCTATAAAAAAGGCCAGGTGCAGTAGTGATCTCATGTAATCCCATCACTGAGGTGAGCGGAGACAGGGGGATCTCCAGGTCTTGCTGGCCAGCCAGGTGAGCCAAATTAGAGAGCTCCAATTTCAATGTTAGACCCAGTCTCAAAAAATAAAGTACAAGCCGGGCGTTGGTGGTGCATGCCTTTAATCCCAGCACTCAGGAGGCAGAGGCAGTCGGATCTCTGTGAGTTCGAGGCCAGCCTGGTCTACAAAGTGAGTTCCAGGACAGCCTCCAAAGCCACAGAGAAACCCTGTCTCGAAAAACAAAAACAAACAAACAAAAAAAAGTACAGTGTGGCTGAGGAAGACACCCAAGCTTGACCTCTGCCCCTCACATACATGAACATACATGTATATGTACACATGTATACACAGGTACACACAAACACATACATATGTTCCCCACCCCACACCAGCTTCAAGGGCAGAAGAAAACTGTTCACTATAGTGCTACCATAGAGTTATCATTGTCGGAATTTAAAAAAAAAATCTAAACCCCATGTAATTGTCACTTTGGTTGGAAAATTTCTGCTTTATTTATCCATGCAATAAACATGTGCAACACAGGCTTGGAGATACGCACACACTAGCCTCTCCCACCTAGAGGACATAATGGATGTCGTAGGGGATGCAAACAAGTGACCATCATGTCTGGGCCGCCTAGGATTGATGGAAGGTCTATGGAGAGCTGAAGGGAGGGGGTAGGTGACACCTCACATTCTAACAGATAGCTTCTGAGGCACATACACTTCCAGGCGGATCTCTGTAAGTGTGAGGCCAGCCTGGTCTTCAGAGTGAATTCCAGGACAGTCAGAGCTGTAGCACAGAGAAACCCTGTCTTGAAAAACAAAACAAAAAGAAGAAAGAAAAAGAAAATAGCTTCCATAGCTCACTAGGACCAACTGCTTGGTGTGGCCATGGATGGAGGCTGCATGTGTGATGAAATCACCAAGTATGTTCTTACCTCCACCGTAATGAACACCTCCTCCAGGTGACTAGCGAAATTTTCCATCTCAATGATCTGCTGTTCCAATTTGCACATGTTTTTGTGGATTTCATCCTGTGCAATAGAACAAACGAGGCATTAATGCTATGTTTGTTTTAATTTTGTTAAATTAAAAAATATGTATGTATGGAAGTTTGTCTGCACATATGTCTGTACACCATGTGTGTGTCTGGTGACCACAGAAGCTGTAAGAGGGCATCGGATTCCCTGTGCTTACAGTAATAGGTGGTTGTGAGCTACCATGTGGCTGCTGGGAATTGAATCCAAGTTCTCTACAAGGGGAGCCAGTGCTCTTAACTGCTGAGCCATCTCTCCATTCCCCCATTGCATACTTGTAGAGGCATTTAGGATGTATTCCCTGATCACCTCCCCGAGACACACCTACACTCTCCAGACAAAGCTGGAAGGAGACCTGTTACCTTGGCACTTTCCAGTGCTTTGCTGAGTGGTGTTACTTCATGTTCTTTGTGTATTTCAAAATCCTTCTCAACAGTTCTTACTGGAGTTTTACAAGTGACACAGAAGACGTCAGCAGGCTCTTCTTCATCTTCCTCCTCCGGGATGACGTAGCATTCATACTCTTCACTGGCACGGCCATGTGTGTACCTGTAGGCTTCCCGAAGGTCTTGGCACTGGCCAGGAAGGCCTTGCCCTCCATAGCCCAGGTCCTCAGCCTCGGCTGCCTCACTGCTAAGCCCCCAGCCTCTCTGCCCTCTGTTTGGGTCTCTCCTCCTCATCCCATAAGGATACCCCAGTCTGTGTTCATCAACAAACTCATCCCCTAACTCATGGTCATCTTCAAGTCCGTATAAATGGACAAGCTCGGCCACTTCCTTCTGAAGATTCTTACTGTCCCCTGCCTCTCTTGGCTCATTGGTGGGTTCAGCCTGGGTTACTTCTCTCCTGATTCTGCTGCTTTCTCCTGGGAAGAGCTGCAGCCTGTCTTCAGAGTCATACAGGTCCATGTGATAAAAGTGGAAATCTTTGGGGGCTGTTGACCTGCCCAGCCCCAGATCCTCCCCTGATTCCTCTTCCATTGATACAGAACAATCCTTCTCAGACAGTCAGTGAATATTCTGAATCCTAGGACACAGAAGAGATCAACATCAGTTCCCAAGAAGGCTATGGGTTCAGATCTCATGGAAGAAGTTATGGTCTTTGCCCACATGATGGCAAACAAAATTCCCCGAATTGTCTGGGCTGAAGGTGACTTACAATTGCTCAACAATCAAGAAAAACACTCAGCCGAGTGTTGGTGGCACACGCCTTTAATCCCAGCACTCGGGAGGCAGAGACAGGCGGATCACTGTGAGTTCGAGACCAGCCTGGTCTACCGAGTGAGTTCCAGGGCAGGCTCCAAAACAGTAGAGAAACCCTGTCTCGAAAAACCAGAAAAAAAAAGAAAAAAGAAAAACACTCAGAGACACAGGTGACCCAAGGCTGGGTAGCAAGCAGAGGGAGTTGGGGCTCTGTTGCAGAAAGGTGCATTGGGGAGCACCACCCGAACTAGAGTCTCCTGGAAGACCTTGTCTCAATCCTCAGCCCTCACAAACCATGTAAGACGATAAATTTAAGATGGTTATTTTAAGTAATTAAGCTGTGGAGTAATTTGTTATGAAATAACAGTATGCATTATACCAGCCTAAAAATAACCTTCTTTCCCTCCTGCTACTACCTCCCCCTCTCTTTTGTTCATATTCAGCCTCCTTCAAAAGATGGCATTGGCCTCCAAAAGCCACAGAGAAACCCTGTCTCAAAAAAAAAACCAAAAACAACACAAAACAAAAAAGATGGCATTGATGATACTGATCTTTACACCATGGCGTATGTATATGAGGCTTTCCATGGGGAATGCAGGCACAGATATTATTAAGAGTTATCAGCTTTCAGATCCTCGGGTGTGTATGAAATCTTTCTCTGAGTTTCTTTGCCTGGGAATGAACCAGCATGTGAGGTTCTCTTTTCTCAACACTCTTTCTCTTTATTATAAAAGCAAACATATACCTCCTGTTCATGCTGACTATTACATTGCACAGTTAGATTTCATTGCTTGGGAATTTAATAAAACCTCCAGGAGACTAGATGAAAGGACAATCTGAAGTATCAGTATCGATGCTGACAATGAGTGACACTAATGAATGGATAAGGAAAAAGTTTTCCAGGGTAAGTGCTTTCCAGCTCTTTGCTTCCAACAAAATTGCAGGAGGATCTAATCAAGTTGTCAGCTGACACATTATTTACAACAAATGTTCATGATAGGTCATTATATAATTTTGGCACATATTTCAGGAAGAACTGTCAGAACGGAATGGCATTGTCATCATTGCTTCCCTCCCCACCTACTGATATAAGTGAGCGTGGTTACTCTGTGTTTGCATGGACAAACTTAAAAAAAATACAAACGCTCATTCCTGCTGCATTCCAGAATGTGATATTTTCAAACTTGGCTATGAATTAAAGACAAACAAACAAACAAAAAGTCCCATTCACTTTATTAAAAGGTGCATCTGGGGGCTGGAGAGGTAGTTCAGGCCGTAAAGCGCCTGCCACACAAGCATGGGGACTGGAGTTCAGATGATGTAAAATACGCCTCTGTAACCCAGCATGGGAGGTGGGTGAGGATCAGAGACAGGCAGGTCCTGGAGCTATTTGATCATCTAGCCTAACCCAATTGGTGAGACAGTCTTTGTCTCAAAAAAAATAAGGGGAAAGCCATCAAAGAAGGAACCTGACATTAACATTAACATTAACATTGTCATTAACATTGACATTAACACACATGTGCATACATGTACCTAATTGTGTAAATACATACATATACCCACCTCACACATGTATTTCCATTTTATTGTTAAGTTATTTACCAAAATTGTAATGTCCACATGCTGCTCTGCTTACATTCAACTAAAAATTATGTTGGTAACATGATTCAGTTGAAAAATGATTTTACTATTTAGAAATTTGTGATTATAAGAAAAATAAGAGCTAGGCGTTGGTGGCACACGCCTTTAATCCCAGCACTGGGGAGGCAGAGGCAGGCAGATCTCTGTGAGTTTGAGGCCAGCCTGGTCTACAGAGCGAGTTCCAGGACAGCCTACAAAACAGTACAGAGAAACCCTGTCTTGAAAAACCAAAAAAAGAAAAAAGAAAAGAAAAATAAGGAAAAAAAATAGGTCCCAAGTCCTACATGTATATTTTCTGAAGAAAATTCATAGATGATCAACAAATGACATTTCTAACATAGAACATGCTTTCCACAACAAGTCTTTGAAGGATCGGCAGCACCTCCAGGCTGCCGCGCACATTGCCTGCAAGTAAGTTCATTTCTCCCTTCAGTGGCCTCCAAGGCCAGAATTGCTTCCAGCCATGGAAACTTAACCTCCGTCCCTCTTATCATGATCCATCCTGGATCCGTTTACTCCTTATTGCAATGGACGATTCTCAACAGAACAATTTAAAGTCTTTTCTAAGAGGTTATGTGTTCTGGTTTCTCAGTCCTGAATGTCTGGATGCTCAGCTAATCGGGCGTTCCTACTTCATGAAAACAAGGTCTCACTGCTAAGACTTGCTGTGAGCTCTGACTCATGGGGGGACAGGAGGAGAATGAAGGAGAAGGCCAGTAATCTGGAAATGGGACCCAAGAGGATGAACACACAGCCTCCCCCCAGGACCACATCTCAGACAACAACAGCAGCAAGTGGAGGCTTTAGAGTTACCCTGTCCTCACCCCACCTGGGCACCTGGCTGCCGCCTCAGCTTCCTCAAGACCCTCAGCCATTCCAGGGGTTCAGAAGTTCTGGTTCCCCCGGCTTTCAGGCCAATGTAGAACTCTGCACTCTCAGAGTTACCATCTAGGGGGATCCTGGGATCCTTTGCCAGCCCTGTTGATCTCACCATGTGCCTGGGCTGCAGTGCTGGGTCTCATACACTGCGCCAGCACTGACTGTCCCTGAGGCTGGCAGAGTGTGGACTCCAGAGAACAGGATAACCAGGAGCTAGACACAAGGAGCATGGGTACCCCAGACAATCAAGTGATTATCACCCCATCTGAGTCTGGGACATGACTTCTCAAAGATGCTGCCTTCATTCTTTCCTGGTACCCCAGGTCTCTTCTCCCTCCTTAAGCCCAGCCTCTGGTCCCATAAACTCAAAACAAAAAACTGAGGTTGGGGGAGGACAATGGGCTTTTTTATGATCAATTTAACAAGGGTTTGTCTGGTCTCCTCTGCATCTAGTCCTGTGTTGACAGCTAGTCACCAGTCCAGTGAGAGCTGAGATCCAACCTTAGGCTTCCCATGCATGGAGCATAAGCTCTCTAAAAATAAAACTTGCACCTCCGTGTGTGTTGAGGGGCGGGCGGGGAGGAATTCTGTATTATTCTGAGGTCCTGACAAACACTTTCAACTCAAAGATGGAGTTCAAAGTACCAAATCGAGCTGTGGGGAAGATTCCAACAGGAAGACCGACAATCCTTCAACACACATGTGAATAAGAGCACAGCCTTCCACACCAGCATCTGCTCTCTGAGTGTGACTGCCACCTGGTCTGCGTGCTCAGCAGTGAAGCCCAAATCCTGCAGCACAACCACAGAACACAGTCCCCTTCGGCTCCAGCACTTCCTAAATGTCCTTCAGTTTCCTAATGGACTCAGAATGGGGAGGAGGGGAAACACTGACTACAAATTGTCATTTCATAAAGTATGAAATGAAGGCTTGGAGGAGTAAAGCAATAAGCCAGTCTATACTGCACAATTAGGAGCCCCTTCACCTCTCTGCTATACCCGGGCAGTTTTAAAGAGATGGAAGCTGGAGCCCTGGCTCAGTTGTTAGTCTTGCTTACTGCTCTTGCAGAGAGAGAGGATCCAGTTTGATTCCTAGCAAACACACTAGGCTGCTCACAAATGCTGCAACTCCAGCTCAACCAGGCTCTGACACTTTTGGCCTCTATGGGGACCTGTGCTAATGTACACATACACTCACTCTCGAGGACATGCGCGTGCCCATGCGCATCACACACCCACAATATAAAAATATTTTTAAAAAGAAGACATTTGCTTAAGTCTTGTGCTTAAAATGTGTCTTGGATAATTTAATTAGGAAAGTCTTCTTCTTCTTCTTCTTCTTCTTCTTCTTCTTCTTCTTCTTCTTCTTCTTCTCCTCCTCCTCCTCCTCCTCCTCCTCCTCCTCCTCCTCCTCCTCCTCCTCCTCCTCCTCCTCCTTCTCTTTCTAGGTACCCTAGGCACATCTGAGAATCTACTGAAAATAATCTTCCAATTCCCTAGAGATGAGACCATGATGGGAAGGACATCATTCTGCATATAATGATAAATGCTCATCTACATAACTCCTAGCAGTGCCTAAAGAAAGACTGCCTTTCGGTGTTAGCTGTATAGTTTGGCAAAGATGGTTCTGACCAGTTTTCCAGGCCTGGCGCAGACCCCAGAGCTTTCCACAAGAGCAGGCTGCCTGCAGCTCACACAGGAAACAGCAGCAAACACACCAATGTTCAGGTCAAAACATGAAAATAGAGTTTTCAGAATGCATTGGCAGATTCAAACTTAAAAAGTATCGGCAGGGCGTTGGTGGCGCACGCCTTTAATCCCAGCACTCGGGAGGCAGAGGCAGGCGGATCTCTGTGAGTTCGAGGCCAGCCTGGTCTACAGAGCTAATTCCAGGACAGCCTCCAAAGCCACAGAGAAACCCTGTCTCGAAAAACAAAAACAAAACAAAACAAAAAAAAGTATTTATCAACACAAAATACCATAGCAAATGATAGTTGTGTCTAGAGCTCCAAAACCTTCTAGCAAATGGACCCTGCACTTAAAACACCTGAAAGTCAAGAACCATCAACCCCTCCCAAGTCTCTGGAGATTTTCATGCCTGGTACCACCTTCAGGCAATATGAATTCTTGCAAGTTCCAGAAGGCACGGAAGACGTTGCCCCTGCCAGCTGTAGTTCACCTTTGTAGCGTCCTATGACATCCCTTCCCAGCGAAAGGAGAGATGGTCCAGTAACATAGTGACTGTGTTATTACAGTGAGATAATACAGTTTGCGTTACAAAATGTAATTATCCCCAAACTTGCCTGTTCATTGAAAGGCCCACAAATGCATCTTTTAACTCCGAGGTCCTAGGCTTCTGCTGGAAAATTGGATCTCCGTTCGGCCAGCTCCCCTTCCTGGGTGACCTCTGCACGCTCTGCAGGCTGGCCTTGCCTCATCCAACCTGGGAAGAGGGGAGCCAAAGCTGGATGGTAACATGAGCTAGCTCGCCCACAAATAGCAACAGGCCTGCCATGAGTGACAGTCCAAATATAGACCTCTTACCACTCAAATGTCACCAGCAGAGGTCACATGCTGTGCTCTGAAGTACTTCATTTACTGTGGGGGGGAGAGACCCAGGACTCAGATGGCTGGCCACGGTCAGGCCAGCAGGGAAATGCCTGACAGCCCGGGGCTGTGCACTTGCACTTGGATTTTCTCAGTGTTTTGTGCACACAGCTCTGGAGACAATCAAAAGTAACTTGTTTCCTCTCCCATCATCCTTTGCAGTGTGGGTACTGTTCCCTTCTCTCTGAATGAAGATCCAGTAAAGTCTGTGATTCCTGTCCCTTCTCAGGTTGCACAGTCTTAGGTCTCTTCAAAGCCAGCACCTGAGTGGCCAGTTGTATAGATTTTTTTTTTTTTTTTGGTTTTTTCGAGACAGGGTTTCCCTGTGGCTTTGGAGGCTGTCCTGGAACTCACTTGGTAGACCAGGCTGGTCTCGAACTCACAGTGATCCGCCTGCCTCTGCCTCCCGAGTGCTGGGATTAAAGGCGTGCGCCACCAACACCCGGCCAGTTGTATAGATTTATTCAAAGGCCAAACCTAGTTTGTGGAGCATCAACTTCTTGTTTCTATTGCTTGGCCCTCTAGTCGAGTTCTCCTCCCCACACTCTGAGAGCAGAGGGCTGGATATAAGAGTGGTGGTGCACTCGGGAGGCAGAGGCAGGCGGATCTCTGTGAGTTCGAGGCTGGGCTGGACCGACAGCCTCCAAAACAATACAGAAAAACCCTGTCTCGTAAAACCAAAAAAAAAAAAAAAAAAAAAAAGAGTGGTGGTGAAGGTGACCAGCTGGCTGTCACAGCAGGTACTGACACTGAGCTGTGGGACCTGTACAATCCTCAGTCCTGACCCTCTCATGTCTAGAGAAATCCACTGTGAGGACCTGTCTCCTGAAGTTTCCACAACCAGACACACAGTCCTTCTCTCCCCAAAAATCTGTTTTATCTTGGTCAGAACAGGAGAGCTGGTTGGAAACATCCTGAACTGGGCGGAACCAGTTCGAACTGACCAGAATGGGTAGGAACCAGTTGGAACTGGTCAGGACTGGTAGGAACCAGTTGAAACTGGTAGTAACCAGTCAGAACCAGAAGGAACGGATTGGAAACAAACAGAACTGGAGTCAACTGGTCGTAACCAGTTGCAACCAGACTGAACTGGTTACAACTGGGTTGAACTGGAGTGATCCAGTTGGAACCCAACACAGCATCTTCCAGTGTGATGAAAGCTAACTGGCAGGAAGGGAGCTTCCTGCTCAGTACCAACTTGATTTCTCCACATACTGTGAGCAATTGCCCAGAACCACACTGAACCAGACTGAACCAGACCGAACCAGTCAAAACCAGGCTGGAACTGGTCTGAGCCAGTTGGAAACCAAAACCCCAAACAAACATACTGGGGATATCGCTCAGTTGGCAGAGTACTTGCCCAGTATTCATGCAGCCTTGGGTTCAATTCTCGGCATCTTATAAACCAGGCTTGGTAATACTTATCTATATATACAGCACTTGGGTGATTCAGGCAGGAGAATCACAAGTTCAAGGTCAGTTTGCAGGCAGCCTAGGCTTCATGAAACTGTCCCCAAAAATGAAATAACTGGGACTGAAGAGATGGCTACAAAGTAAGAGCATTTGCTGCTCTTCTAGAGGACCAGGGTTCAGTTCCTAGCACGCTCACCAGGCAGCTCACAACCACTCCAGCCCCAGCTCTAAGAGGTCTGATGCCTTGATTTGTCTCTTTGTCCAGTGAACCAAAGAATGGAGAGACCCAGGCCACCATAACTGTCAGAGACACCACTATTTGTCACTATTCCCAAATGACCAAAGGGTTAGTCTCTGGAATATAAATATTACACCATAGGGGAAAATCAGGCAAACAATCCCTGTCCAGCAGACGGGCTTCTTGGGTGACATACAGAGCTAGTTACTACAAGCTGGAGGTCGTGACACCTGTAATCCCAGCACATGGGAAGCAGAGACAGGTGGATCATGAATTCAAGGCCACTCTGGTTTATACACTGAGACTGTCTCAAAAAAAAAATCAAGGGTTGCAGTTATATCCTGGTGTTAGTGTGCTTACATAACACGTACCCTGGGTTCAATCCCTAGCATTTCAAATCACACAAAAACACTAGCCACACATCTCCCGTGATTTACAACCCTTTTGGAATGAATAGTCATTTAGTTAGTGAACACTGTCAACAGTGAAAACACAATACATGAAACCATCAGTACCAGTGAGGTCAGGAAGGAGGAACCCTTTCTTTCTGTAGAGGTCTCAAGCACAAAAGCTGCAGTTGGAATAAGGCCCTCTAGGCAAAGTGGAAGTTTCTGGTGTTTTGAGATAGTTTCACTCTATAGATCAGTGTAGTGGTTTAAATGAGAATGACTCCATTTGTTCAGATGTTTGAATGCTTGACCTCTAGTTGATGGTGTTATTTGAGTAGGTTTGGGGAGTGTGGCCTTATTGGAAGATGTCATTGTCATTGTCACACGTCATTCCCAATCCACTCTTGGTCTTATGTTTGTGGTTCAAGATATGTGTGGGAACACTAGACCTTGAGCAGAGACCCACTTCCCCATGGCCTGGGAGTAGGCAGCTGTAAGACAATGTTTACTAAAAACATGTTTACTAAAAACAATACAATGCCCAGGGCAATAAGTTCCTGAAAAGGGCTTGCCCCCAGAACTGCCCTGTCCTCGACCTTTTCCAAAGACTAACCGCACCTTCAGACCCACCCACATCCACTTCTGGTGTCTGGGTATATAATAACCAGCCAGAGTAGGAATAAGAGAGAGCCATCTTGAGGAGCCTTCGGGTCTATGTGTTGCCAATCCCCGACATCCTCCGCACGACATCCTCCTCACGTTCTCGGACACAGGCCGCGCAGCTGACTCGACAATATGAGCTCTCAGCTTCTAATTCCATCCACATGTCCTCTGCCTACTACCATGATGTCCCTGACATTGTAGATTCCAAACCTATGGAACCATAGCCCAAATAAAATCTTTCCTTTGTAGTGATGATAGTGATGAAGATGATGATAGTGATGATGATGGTGATGATGATGATAGTGATGGCGATTGGTGATGGTGATGATGAAGGTCAAGATGATGATGGTGATCATGATAGTGAAGGCGATGATGGTGATGACAGCGAAGGTGAAGGTGGTGGTGATGGTGATCATGATGGTGAAGACAGTGAAGGTGAAGGTGGTAGTGATGGTGATCATGGTAATGATCACGAAGGTGACGACGATGATGATGATGATGATGAGATTGTATGATGGTTATTGTTTGTCATAATCATCATCACCATCTGCAAAGTTACTCTGTAGTGCAGGCTGTCCTAGAACTTGTAGTTCTCCTGGCTCAGTTTCCCAAGTTGCTGGGATGACAGGTCTATGACCCTGGGTCTGGCTCTTACATAGCCTTTTTTTTTTTTTTTTTTTTTTTGGTTTTTTGAGACAGGGTTTCTCTGTCTGTAGCTTTGGAGGCTGTCCTGGAACTCACTGTGTAGACCAGGCTGGCCTCAAACTCACAGAGATCCGCCTGCCTCTGCCTCCCGAGTGCTGGGATTAAAGGCATGCGCCACCAAAGCCCGGCTCTTACATAGCCTTTGGGAACATTAAGAGTATATGATTGTTCTTCTCATTTGAACACCTAAATAATCATGTAAAGATTTTGTCTATTAGCCGGGCATTGGTGGCACACACCTTTAGTCCCAGCCCTCTGGAGGCAGAGGCAGGTGGATCTCTGTGAGTTCGAGGCCAGCCTGGTGTACAGAGCCAGTTCCAGGACAGAATCCATACAGAGAAACCCTGTCTCTAAAAACCAAAAAAAAAATTGTCTATTGATTCTTTTTTTTTCTTCTTCTTTTTTATTTAAGTTAGAAACATGCATGTTTCAAATATCAATCCCAGCTCCCCCACTTCTCCCTCCCAGCCCCACCCCATTCTCCCACCCCCAGCCCAATCCCCACATCTTTCCCCAGGGAGGGTGAGGCCCTCCTTGGGGGGATCTCCAGAGTCTGTCATTTCATCCAGGGCAGGACCTAGGCCCTTCCCCATGTGTCCAGGCTGAGAGAGCATCCCTCCATGTGGAATGGGCTCCTAAAGTTCATTTGTATGCCATGGTGAACACTAATCTACTACCCAAGGCCCCAGATATTTCTGAGGCCTCCTCACTGACACTACATGGAGTTTGGATCAGTTCCCTGTTGGCCTCTTAGCCAACAGTCTGGGGTTCAAGAGCTCCCCCTTGTCCAGTCAGCTGTCTTTGTGGGTTTCACCAGCACAGTCTTGACCCCTTTGCTCATCACTCCTCCATCTCTGTCACTGGCTTCCTGCGGGTCAGTTCAGTGTTTAGCTGTGAGTATCTGTCTCTGCTTCCATCAGTCACTGGATGAAGGTTCTAAGATGTCATATAAGGAAGTCATCAACCTTATCATTAGGTAGGGGCTATTAATGTAGTCTCTCCCCTATTAGTTTTCCAATTGGTGTTAATCCTTGTAGATCTCTGGAAATCTCACTGATGTCAGCTCTCTCCTCAAAGCTATAATGACTTGTTGTATGAATGGGCATCTTTTGGGCATATGCCTAAATGGAATTTCTGGGTCCTGTTCCCATTTTTTGAGGAATCAACATACTGATTTCCAAAGTGGCTGTACAAGTTTTCACTCCCACCAGCAATGGACCAGTGTTCCCCCTTTCTCCACATCCTCTCCAGCATAAGCTGCCATTGGTGTTTTTGATTTTAGACATTCTGACAGGAGTAAGATGATATCTCAGGGTTGTTTTGTTTTGATTTGCGTTTCCCTAATGGCTAAGGATATTGAACACTTTCTCAAGTGTCTCTCAGCCATTTAGACTCCTCTATTGAGAATTCTCTATTTAGTTCAGTCTCCCACTTTTTAATTGGGTCCTTTGGTGTTTTGGAGAATAGCTTCTTGAGTTCCTTGTAAATTTTAGAGATCAGCCCTCTGTCAGATGTGGGGTTAGTGAATATCTTTTCCCAATCTGTGGGCTGCCTTTTGTCTTGTTGACTGTGTCCTTTGCCTTACACAAGCTACTCAGTTTCAGGAGGTCCCATTTATTAATTGTCTATCTCAGTGTTTGTGCTACTGGTGTTATGTTCAGGAAGCGGTTTATTGATTCTTGATGCTTATGTTTTCTTTTGAGGCAGTCTTTAGAGCTGCTGTGTAGTCAGCACTGGCTTTCAAGTCCTGATCAACCTTCTGTAATTCCAAGGCAATACAGGCATGCTTTACCAATCTGAGGTTTAGAGGCATTAAATGGGCCTAATTACTGAAGTGTTCCGAAGATCTTGCTAGTATTTGTAAAGAACGTTAGATTGGAGGTTCCTACAGGCCATACATGTTTTAAGATTGTAGTTCGAGCCGGGTGGTGGTGGCGCACGCCTTTAATCCCAGCACTCGGGAGGCAGAGGCAGGTGGATCTCCGTGAGTTCGAGGCCAGGCTGGACCGACAGCCTCCAAAACAAACAGAGAAACCCTGTCTCGAAAAACCAAAAAAAGAAAAATGAAAAAAAAAAAAGATTATAGTTCAAGGGAGAAGCCTGTTGTTGGCCACTGTTGTTAATGGACATGTAACCCTTCAAGAGCTCTGAAGCTTGGGAGATGGCACAACCACAGCTTTTGTCACCAACCCTCAGGACATGAGTTTTATTTCCATTGTCCACACGATGGAAGGGGCAAATCAGTCCCCACATATTTGCTTTTTGCCTCTACATGTGAGCCATGGCAGTCTTGTGACCAAATACACATAAAATAAAAGACATGTAATAACATTTTTTCAGTCTATTTCCTTTTTTTCCCCCCTTCTTTATCACTCAGTGTTGGGGGTTGATGCCAGGATCTCACACACAGCTGGACAAGTACTCAGACTATGAGCGTTATCTGGCCCTGTCTGGTTAAATTTGCATTTGATTTAGTTGTTAATTTAAATCAGCAGTAGAATTCCAGAAAGTTGCCTGGGACTTGGCCCAGTAAACAAATGTCTTTTCTGAAACAGACTTCCGGAACTAGTCAAAGGTCAAATGGAGATTCTGTATTTCTACAGCTGGGAGTGGCTGGGCCCTGGGAGGCAGACTGAAGCTTCCTTGCTACTGATTAAAGGTAGGTCAGTTCCTCACAAAATGTAACCAGCCCTATCTGTTAACAAGCATTTATCCTAGGAGCAATACGTGAACTGAAACTGAGCCACCGTCAGGCCTACGCCTTCACCTCTTTGAAGGAAATTTAGGACAAGTGTGGGTAGTTGGGAGTCCATTGAGTTGTGGAACCAGAGTGAGGCTCTAGATATCCAAGGTAGACGGACTGGATGGTGTCAGCATTGCTGAAATGTGACAGACATAAAGGTCTCAGGCTGAGCTTGCCCTTCGACATCAGTTGGGGCTGACCAACCTCAGCATAAAGGAGGCAGAGGCAATGGGGTCTCTATGAGATGGAGTCCAGCAATACCTACAGAGTGAGCTACAAGACAACATTGCTAGAAAGCCAGAAGGCAAGCAAAACAGAGATAAATACAGAAATAAGGAAGGCAAGGAAGCAATCAGGATATAAAGGAAGACCAGACGGCCGCAACAGGAAGGAAAGTGGAGAATGCTGGTCAACCAGCCGAGTAGAGACACGTTTCCTCACAAGGACAGCAGCAAGTGGACACCAATGTTTTCTGGGCTGGAGAACCAGGAGGGCAGGAGAGTCCAGTGCTTTGTCCAAAGACCAGTTAGTTTGTAAGGCTCCATATCTGCCCACTTAAGAAAGATCCATGATATCCATAGGCTTGTGGGCACAGTTGAGAGGGTCTGCTGGATGTGATTAAGTGTAGCGAGGCTGGGAGAATCCTGAATGGAAAAAACATTTAAGGTTATGAACTTAGAGTAGAGCATCAAACACCAGGAAGAATCAGGTCAAGATGGGAGAGCATACTGATATCCAGAGTGAGTTGGCCACAAAGGACAGTGTATTGAGGGTTAGGTGGGTCAGCCTGAGTATATTGAGGTTAGGTGGGTCCGCCTGAGTGTATTGAGGGTTAGGTGGGTCCGCCTGAGTGTATTGAGGGTTAGGTGGGTCCGCCTGAGATTGCCTGCCCCAGGTTCTCTTCACACCTATGGGAAACCGTAGGGATGACAGAGGACCTGGGACGCGTAAATTCTGGGTGTGCTTCTTCTCCACTGCCAGCCTCATTGGGCTGATAGTCTTGCAATAACGTAGGAGCTATTTGCATGATTATCCCACTCTTTGGAAAACTTAGAGCCAAAGGAAACAGAATGACAGAGAGGTAGGATGAGGCAACACAGTCATCCCAGCTACATAGTAAGTCTGGAACAAATTTCCAAACGCTGGGAAGACTGGATGAGTAAAACCTGGGGAGGGTGGAGCTAGCTACTCTATCCATTTCCTTCCTCCCAGGCTCCCCAGTAGAGGACAGCACTCCAGCAGGGTCCCATCCCAGCTTGCTTCCTCATCCACTGTGCCTGCCACCCCCTCCCCCACACCGGCCGCCGAGTTGTCTGGTGTCCCACTACCAATGAGTTCTCGTCCTTTGTGTAAGTGGCTTTTTGGAACAGAAACTAGGTCATCCCCGCTGTCTCTCTCTTCTGTTGGCCCCATCTTGGCTCCTGGCAAACTCTGATGCAAGTGATCCCAATGAGTCTCCCCACCCCCACCAAAAGAGCTCATCTAGTCTTGAGCTGTCACTCCAACAGTAGCAAACACAGTTAGCTCTCTGAAGGGGCCTTTTGGGGACCCATCTCTGGGCACCAGGTAGACTCAGGGTGGAGGGAACATGTGGAAGAGGGGCCTTGTGGTAGAGGGGGACAGGGTGGAGAAGGAATGGCCTCCACACTCCAACCTGACAACTCCCTCCAGAAAGTCTGCCCCACTAGCCTCCATCCCAGATAGAAAATTTTTCTATTCAGATCTTATATCTTTTTCCAATCATTTGAGAGGCCCAAGACATGTGACTTGAGTTTTTTACCATTTCCTTTGAGTAATATTAGGTGATGAGGGAGGACAGGATGCAGGCAAAAGACTACTTGAGTCACAAAAGAGGATGCAAAGCTAATTGTTTTTCTTTTTTTCTTTCTCGCTCTCTTTTTTTTTTGGTTTTTCGAGACAGGGTTTCTCTGTTTTGTTTTGGAGGCTGTCCTGGAACTCGCTCTGTAGATCAGGCTGGCCTCGAACTCACAGAGATCCTTCTGCCTCTGCCTTCCGAGTGCTGGGATTAAAGGCGTGGGCCACCAACGCCCGGCGCTAATTGTTTTTCTAATTCCAAATCTGTCACACTTTTCCTTTGTCTGTGGTGGGTCTGAATAACCCTGTAATTGGGACTAAAGGTGTGTACCACCAACTCCCGGCTGGATTTATTGTTTTAAGAAGCCATTACTTCAGTGTATCCAAAAATATTAGAAATAAAGTGAAAAAAATTTATCTGGATTTGGTGGCTTATGCCACTTGTAATCTGGGCACTTGGGAGACTGAGGCAGGAGGATCACTAGAGTTCAAGGCCAGCCAGGGCTATATAGAAAGACCCTATCTCAAACAGATAAAACAAAGCAAAGCCGGGCGGTGGTGGCAGAGGCGGGTGGATCTCTGTGAGCTCGAGACCAGCCTGGTCTACAAGAGCTAGTTCCAGGACAGCCTCCAAAGCCACAGAGAAACCCCATCTCAAAAAAACAAAACAAAACAAAAAGTCTAAAAATACATAAAGAAGGATGTACAAGATATTAATCACTTCATACTGTTATGGCTTTGGGTTTTTATGTGGGCCTGGGGCTAAGGCCTGAAGTATACTTTCTGCCTCAAATAGTTTTCCTTAGATGGGCAGAAACTGGAAATTAATCTATTTTCATCAAATGTGTTTCATTAGGTAATTGTAATAGAGCCAACTCAATATTTGAAAATATTAAAAACAAAGATGTAGATGCTTATTGCCTTGGGAGCCTGAACCCAAGGTCCATGCTAAGCATGTCTTTACCACCAGATCCTACCTTCAACCTCATGCCTACATTTCTCTAATGCTCATGATATACTTATAAATGGAGATAATACAAATCATTCCATTCCATTCCATGTCTTCCCCCCCCCCCCCCCCACACACACACTGTATTAACGTCCAGGTTCTTTAGAGGAAATAAACTGATGGGATGTTTATAATAATGGAGAAATTTATGATTATGGAGGCTTCTGAAGCCAGAAAGCTGAAGATCTGAGATGGTTGATGGTGTGGAGAAAGGCAATAGATCAAAATTAAGATGGGCAAAGATTCCAGTTTGAATCTGAAGGTCAAAACTTGCCATTTCAGATGAAGGATCTCTATAGAGCCCAAATGGACAAATATCCCCTCCCCCCATGAGAAAATTGCATTTTAAAAAAGATATGTATAGGCCAGGGGTTGGTGGTGCACACCTTTAATCCCAGCATTCGGGAGGCAGAGGCAGGCAGATCTCTGTGAGTTCGAGGCCTACAGATCGAGTTCCAGGACAGCCTCCAAAACAATACAGAGAAATCCTGTCTCAAAAAAACAAACAAACAAGAAAAGATATGTATAATTGAGCAGTCTTGATCAAAGTGTGGCTTGGTTGACCCTTATCTTTAGGTCCTTCCCAACAGGTTGTGTGATCATGAGAAATAAACTCCTTGTGTATGAGGGTGCAGCTTCATCATCATAGATAATTAACTCATTGGGGATGGGTTTCAGACAGGGTTTCTCTGTAGTTCTGGAGGCTGTCCTGGAACTCGATTTGTAGACCAGGCTGGCCTCCAACTCACAGAGATCCACCTACCTTGGCCTCCTGAGTACAGGGATTAAAGGCATGTGCCGCCACGGCCCAGCAAACAACTCTTTTGAGGAGTGTGTGGTTTACTCTTTAAGGCTTACTATTGCCTATATAATAAAGCTTTTTGTGTCTGTCTGTTGTTCTTGAATTCTAAGGTGGCTGCAGGTTTAGGACAAGGTATCTTTAGGAGTCTTGTAGGCCCATGTGAGGTTTCTTCTGGCTTGCTCTAATACCCCAGCAGGCAGGTTGTCAGTAGTGAGGAGGTAGGTCTTACTTAGCTCTAGTGTGTATGTATTATAGATGAGCTCCGTTTCAGGGTCTCAATCTCCTTACTGTCGAGATGAAACTGGAACACTGTATTTAGGCATGCTAAGTTGCCAACCAGGGTGCTTGGCAAGCAAAAATATCGTGCCCACCTCCTTAATATACCAACAATACAGTGGTCACTCAGGAAAAGCTTACAAACTTGGCAAAAATAAAGGTGTCTGCGACTCAGTTCTTAATACCCTGAGGCCCTCAGTAAATATTGAGTTCAAATCAAAGTTGATCTCAACAGTATGTTTGTAGCAGAAGCCACATACTTAATAGGGTCCTACTGAGGGAAATTGTCATTTTAGTGTAGAAAACTAAGACAGAGACTGGAGAGATGGTTCAGAGGCTAAGAGCTTATAGAGAGGACCCTAAATTCAGGTCCCAGTTCCTATGTTAGGCTGTTCACAGCCACATAAACTTATCCAGCGCTAGGGGATTTGACGCCCTCTTCTGGTACCTGTACTCAGGAACAAAGTCGTCCTGTCCGTATATACACGTGATTAAAAAAAAAATCTTTGCCGAGCTTGATGGTGTGCCCCTTTAATCCCAGCACTCAAGAGACAGAGGCAGGTGGATCCCTAAAAGTTCAAAGCCGGCCTGATGTACGCAGTGAATTCAGGGTTAAGAAAGGGCTGTGAAAAGGGAACCCGGTCCGCTTACCCCAAAAGACTTTTCATTGGCTCTCACTTAATTCTAGACAGTCTCCTCGAAAACCAATCAGAGCGAAGGGGCGGGAACTGCTGCTCAGCTGACTGGCAGTAGCGGCTCGCGAAAAATGTCGCGGCCCGGCGGGGTCTGGGGGTGCGCGGCGGCCATGGACTGCGAGCAGCTCGACAGCCTGGAAGGCTGGGTGCCGCTGCGCGAGGACCTCTTCCTGGAGCCCGAGCGACGCCAGCTGCGTTTCCTGGTGGCATGGAACGCCTCGGAGGGCCAGTTCGCGGTCACCTGTCACGATCTCACGGCGCAGCGGCAGCGCGACCAGCCGGCGGGCGGCGGCGGCGAGTGCAGCTGGGCCGGGCTGCTGTCGCCCGCCGGGTTCCGCGGCGCGCACCGGCAGCTGGCGGCGCTGCGGCCGGCCCTGGAGTACTGCTTCCCGTCGCTGCCACCCGAGCTGGACGCGGCGGGCGGCGCGGGCTGGGGCTTGGGGCGCGGGCTGTGGGCGTTCGTGTGGCCCTCGCATGCGGACCCCGGCGACGCGGCGCTCCAGGAGCTGTGCCGCCAGCTGGAGAGCTACCTGGGCCAGGCGGCCTACGCCTGCGGCGGCGCCACCGTGCGCGATGTGCTCTTCCCGGCTCCGGGAGACCCGACTGATTACGAGGGCCTGTGCGAGTTCCGGGAGAGGACGCTGCGTGCGCGGCTGGAAGGGGCGGCAGCTCGGCTGCGTCAGGTATGCGGGCCGAGAGCGGGTCCCCGGGACACGGCGCATACCGGTGTCGCTAGCGCACCTGCGCCTCGCCTGGGAGGGAGCAGAGGCTCGTGACTTTGCAGCAGAGTAGTTTTGGTGTGTCACTTTTCTCAGGCTGGGTTTCAGGTGCGCCAGGCTGGTCTGAATTCCTCATCTCTCTGCCTCTCCTTCCCAAGTGCTGGCTTTATCAGAGTGAGTCTCCGCGCTACGCCCTGCTCTCTTAGTTTTTTGAAATAGGGTCTCATACTGTGGTCCAGACTGGCTTTGAACTCATGGCAGTCTTCGGCTTCTCAAGTCCTGGGGTTACAGACAGGCGCCACTTTACTGGCTTACACAGAAGTTTACTTGCAGATCTGAGCCAGGCTCCGCCCTTCACCTTTTCCCTGATCTTGGTATAGAGCAGGATGTTGTAATGGTTTCCCAGAAATATTGAAAGCAAAAGTGAAAACGCATATCCGTAGGAAGTAAAAACATAAACTGAAATGGAAGCATTTCTTGGTCCTCTGGGAAAATGAGAGATGGCTAAAAAAACGTCTTAGAGATTAAGTGACTTTTAAAAGACAGTTTTATTATTCTTTAAGCAATAAGTATCAAATGGAAAGCCCCCAGCGAGCGAGGCTTTATTCATCAGTCTGGAATGTCAATAATAGGAAGGCTCTTTTGGACCAGAAGGAGGTAGTTTGAGACACACCAATTCATTATTTGTGTGGTACACTTACAGACCCTAAAGGGAGAGAGGCACTGAGTTCACTGAAAGATTTAGGGAGAATGTATGATTTTTTGGTTTTTACGAGGCAGGGTTTCTCTGTATTGATTTGGAGGCTGTCGGTCTAGCCTGGCCTCGAACTCACAGAGATCCGCCTGCCTCTGCCTCCCGAGTGCTGGGATTAAAGGCGTGCACCATCACCGCCCGGCAAGAATGTATGTTTTATCCAGCAACAATCTCCCAAAGAGAGCCAAATGTCAGTCCAGCCTTGAAGGCCTTACTCTACTTTTTAGCGGCTTTTCTGCTCCAGGATTGAATCAGTCAGCCTCCCAAAGTAGCTGGAATGAAGGCCCGTGCCACTTCCTGCCTTATAGTCCCAAGGTAGCTGAATTACAGGTCCATCCCACCAGACTCGGCTCAAAATTGGTTCTTTTTTTTTTTTGGCTTTTCGAGACAGGGTTTCTCTGTGGCTTTGGAGGCTGTCCTGGAACTAGCTCTTGTAGACCAGGCTGGCCTCGAACTCACAGAGATCCTCCTGCCTCTGCCTCCCAAGTGCTGGGATTTCAAAATTGGTTCTTAACACTTCATTTCATAGATTCTTACCCCCTCCCCCACCTAATCTCCTAATATCTGTATACTGTAAAGTTACATTTCCTCCAAATTCAAGTTCATTCCCAGCCAGTACAGTTCTAATCTAGCTCATATTGTGCTGTTCATAAGCATAATTCACTTGCCTGCCTGGAATTTACACGTGGGGTTGGAGGGGTAGAAATACTACCTTTATGAGTCCTTAGAAGTATGAATAGTACTTTTGCTCGCTTGTTTCTTTGAGAATGGGCCTTGCTTGGTAGCTTCCAGGCTGACCTGGAAATAGCTTTTTAGCCCAGTATAGCCTCAAACTCACAGTAAAATTCTTGCTTCGGCCTCTCAAGTGTTGGGATTATAGGCTTCAGCCACCATAGTAAGTGCTCATATTGTTAAACAGTCTTTAAAAAATAGTGTTGAATGATTGTGAATACAGTAATAGTATTCTTCCGTGGACATGCCATCTTATTTAAACCACTTCTATGTAATTGGGCATTTTGGTTGGAGAACATTTTCATGTTTACTTAATATTTATTGTTTTGGAGACTGTCCTGGAACTCACTCTGTAGACCAGGCTGGCCTCGAACTCACAGAGATCCGCCTGCCTCTGCCTCTGGAGTGCTGGAATTAAAGGCATGCACCACCTTACTTAATATTTAAAATTGATGTTTTAAAATTGAATGTTCCGTTTTATTTATTTATTTTTGGTGTGGTTGTATAAATGTCCAGATTTAAGCTTTATTTACATTTTTGCCTTTTAGGTTCTTCAAGATCACGAAAAAGCCGGCACCATGGTAGTGTTAATGAAAGTTTGTCAAGAGGAAGATGAAGCCTATCAGGAATTAGTTACCATGGCAACCACGTTCTTCCAGTATTTACTGCAGCCATTCAGAGATATGCGAGAAGTTGCAACCTCATGTAAGCGTGATATTTTGGTATGTTTCCTGATATTTTTGTCTTATTACTTGTGTATTATTCTTTTACTCACATAAAAGGTTCAGTCAGTATCTTTACTTTGAGCTCATCTTTATATGATATTATATGTATCTAAAATTTGTTTATTTAAAGACAAGGTCTCATATAGCCCAGGCTGGCCTCAAATTTACAATGTAGCTGAGGCTAGCCTTGATCTCTTGAACCTCCTGCCCTCCAGAATGTTCATGGCCCTGGACATAAGACCACAAACAACAATAGCCAGCCTGGTGGTACAGGTGTTTAAGTCCAGCCATTTGGGAGGTAGACTCAAGGCCTGCCTGGGTAACAGAGTCAGCCTGGGAAACTTAGTAAGACCCAGTTTCAGAATAATTAGTGAGAAACCAGTCCATCAGCAGGGACGGTGCCTCCTAAAGAGGGGGAGATGATGGATTGAAAGTGACATTACTCTGCTCATCTTAGCCCCTTGAGAACTCTGCAGATTGAGCAGCATCGACACTGTCCCTGCTGATGGACTGGTTTTGGTATTATGTATATTTCCTTTAGCTTATTTTCCACCTGTAAGAGCGTTTGTAGATTTCTTAGAAATGGGATGCCGATTTAAATAGCAGGGTCCCAGATTGTAATTCAGTAATTTAAACTTTAGTAATTGCTGTCATTCTGACTCCATTAGGGTGACCCCATTTAGAAAATGCATTGCTAATATTGCCTTTTGTCCAACCAGTGAGAGTCAGGAGACAGCAGACAGATTCCTGCTCTCCTGCACGGGGCCATCTTTTCATATGCGCTTTTGTGACCTTGGCAGGAAGTTGTTCTGTACATGTGTTCTAACCCACAGATGGGATGTTCTCATCACTGTTGGCAAAGTCTGTTGATTAGAGAGAGAGAGTGTGTGTGTGTGTGTGTGTGTGTGTGTCTGTCAGAGATAAAGACAGAGACAGAGAGAGACATAGACATATAGAGACAGAGAGATCATCATAGAAGTATGACTCATAGACCATATATTTGAAGAATACAGACGTTTTTAAGTTTTTAATTCAGGTTGTGTGACCATTACCAGCTCTCTAATATTAGAACACTTTTTTTTTTTTTTTTGGTTTTTCGAGACAGGGTTTCTCTGTGGCTTTGGAGGCTGTCCCGGAACTCACTCTGTAGACCAGGCTGGCCTCGAACTCACAGAGATCCGCCTGCCTCTGCCTCCCGAGTGCTGGGACTAAAGGCGTGCGCCACCAATGCCCGGCTTTATTAGAACACTTTTTAATGTTTGTTTTATTTATTTAGTATTGTGTGTGTGTGTGTGTGTGTGTGTGTGTGTGTGTAGAGCACATGTGGAGATCAGAGGTCAACCTGTAGGAAACAGGTTTCCTCCTTCTACCATGTGGATTCCAGGGACTGAACGCAGGCCATCAGGCTTGGCAGCCAGTGATGAGCCATCTCACCAGCCACGAATGTTAGAATACTCTTACCCTCAAAACAAACCTTATACCCACTGGCAGTCATTTCTCATTTTCCCCAACTTATGCAGTCCCTGGTCTACTTTGTCTCTGTATTTGGCTGTTGTGGGAATTTTATTTTTATTTTTTATCTTTGTGTAGATGATGTGTGTGTGTGTGTGTGTGTGTGTGTGTGTGTGTGTGTGTGTGTGTGTGTGTGTGTGTCCTGTCCTTGTTTGTGTGTGAGTGCAGGCTCGCTGACCTATGGGCTGCTGGGGATCTTGTCTCTACTGCCCATTTTAGATCAATACTTGTATTGTGAACATATTATTGTATCTGACTTTAGGTGGATTCTGGAATCTACTTTAGGTGGGTCCTAGAATCTGAAATCAGTGAAGGCAAGGGCTTTCTCCTTTGAGCTATCTCCCCAGCCCACAGAAATGTCACATTAATGGAACTATACAATGTTTGTGGGTTTGTGACTGCTTTTTCATTTAGCATATTTTAAGAATTGGCTGTGCCATAGCCGCCAGGACTTCATTTCTTTTATTGGCAGATAACTGCCATTATGAGAATATACTGCATCTTGCTTACCTATTCACCCTTGTTGGACACTTGGATCATTTACCTTTTTTAGATAACATGAATAATGCTGCCATTAACATGTGTATGTATACCTGTCCCACCCCCACCACTTTTTGAATCATGGTCTCAGCTGTAGCTCAGACTGGTCTGACACCCAGTACGTAGCTTAGGATGACCTACCACAGCCTCTGAGTGGGAATACAGGCACAGGCCACACTTGATTAACATACTTTCATTTTTTTCATGTATATACTAGGAAGTGGACCAGCTAGTAATGTTTATCTTGTGGGTTTTAAAAAAGTTTAACCTTTTGAAAGCCACCAGACTGTTTCCCAAATCAAGTGCACTGTTTGGTGCACCTAAGTGTGGGCTCGTATTTGTGTCAACATCAACACTTGGTATGTTTTGTTGTTTCTTTTATAGATCAAATATTGGTATATAGCGCATATTCGCCTTGACTTACAGCAATTCTGCCCCAGCCTTCCAAGTGCTGGGATTACAATATGTCACATATTTGTCTTTTCATCCTAGTGGGTGGGAAATGGTTTCTTGTAGCATTGGCTTGCATTTGTATAACACACACTGTTCTAGTGTCAACGAATTAAGCTTTGTAGAAGGAAACGGGGTGTTGGATGCACAGGAGCCCTTAGTCCAGGCTGTTAGAATAGTGCACCTCAAACAGGCTGCTTATGAACAACAGAACTTTTTTGTCCTTGTAGCTCTGGTGGCCGGGAAGTCTAAGCTCAGGTGCTGGCAGACCTGGTGATGGAAAGTTGTTGGCTAGTTTGTGGCTGGCTGTCCTGATAAGTTCTTGCCTCTTCCTTTTTATAAGGGCATCAGTCCTAATCATGAGAACTCTATCCTCATGGCTTAATTGGGGATTTAGGCTTCAATATAAATTTCAAGGCCTACAAACATTCAGACCGTAGGCTGAACAACACCACTCTGAATACAAAGATGTGAATATCTTTTAGGTGACCATATTGCAAGAATTTAAGTACTAAGTATTTAAGGGTTCTAAAAGAAACTACAAAAAAAGCAACACTTGAGCCCTGAGTGCAAAACAGCAGACATCTCATTCGCACAACTGTGTAACCTGGAAAAGTTCTAGTCATGCAAAGTCAGTCAGTGTTTCCCCTCCGTCCCCAGCATACACCTTTGTCTTCTGTGGAGAGCTGTCTTTGCGGGGCTGCAGTCGGGGCCAGCCTAGCAGCTGAGGTTTGTACTAAAGCTAGCTAAAGACATTAAAGGATGAGGAGAGCAGATCAGCCAATACTGAAATGCCACTTACATACCTTAACCAAAAAGGGAACATGGTATCATTATGTATGGAACAAACAGACTATTCTTCCTCTTTTCTCCAAGGATTCAGTAACCACACCTTAGATTCAACTTCTCCTTACTTGGCCTTGAGGATCAGAAGTAACCACACCTCAGACCAGGTCTGTTGTTATTTAGATAAGACACCCAAGGCCAAGATTGAACATCCTACTGTAACCATGCCTTTGACCTTCTCTGCCTTTGAGCCAAGATGAAGTGCAGCCATCTTATGGGCACCGACAGTCTTCCAGGAGTGCCAGCACTGAGTTCACTGATACTCATCAGGAGCTGACTAACTAAGCAGTAAAATGAGTGTCTACACAGCTGCTTCAAGATTCTCTAATGGCACCACATCACTTTTTTTGTAGAAGTTCCTGAATGAGAATAACCTGGGTCCTAAAAGGGTGGCTGCCCTCCAGAAGGAAGCCAGTGAATGGACCAGACAGGCTGAAGAAGCAGTGGTCTCTATTCAAGATATCACTGTGAATTATTTTAAGGAAACAGTAACGGCATTAACAGGTAACATTAAAACTACTGTACTAAGATATATGTAATTATTATTTTACTCAGAAAACATTTGTATGCATCTTCAGTATCAGGAACCACATTTGCTGGGTACTGGGAATTCAGTGGAAGGATAAACATGACCACGTTCCAGCCTGGTGAGCAGAGAGAAGTCCGTGATATGTTTGTTCAACATATGATAAATGGCAGGGGCTATAAGCAACACCAAAGGGAAAAGACAGGGCTCTGAGATCCTGCGAAAGCGATTGGGTTTGATTGGGGTACTCATGAAAGGTCTCTGAGAGGTATGTTTGCCGCAGACCTGACTAGTACATGGGAGTGGAGAGGAGTTAGTTGAAAATTTGCAAAGGCTCTGTGGCTTAAGATAACATAAAGCCAAACCATGGTCCTAGAAAGTGTGGAGAGTATTTTATGAGCAAGAATGTTGGTCAGCTATGCAGGGGTCACACCAGACCTAAATAGGAAACTTCATGTCTCTCAGTCTACCTGATATATATATATATATATATATATATATATATATATATATATATATATGACTTTATATATAAAATTGTCCTAGTGTAGTTTTTGTTGCTGTGATAAACACCATAACCAAAAACAACTTGGAGAAAAGGGTTTATGTCATCTTAAACTTCCAGGGAACTTTTTCACTGAGGGAAGCTCAGTCAGGGACCTAGAGGCAGGAATTAAAGCTGAGACCAGGGAGGAATGCTGCTTACTGGCTTGCTTTTCATTGCTGCCTCACCTAGCTGGCATGCTAGTTTCCTTTCTCCCTCCCTCCCTCCCTCCCTCCCTCCCTCCCTCCCTCCCTCCCTCCCTTCCTTCCTTTTATTGGAAACAGATTTTCTTCTCACACAATATATCCTGATTAGTTTCCCCTTCCTCTACTCCTAGATCCTCCTCACCTTACCCCTGTCTGGATCCACTCCCTTTCTGACTCATTTAAAAACAAACAGGCTTCTAGGGGTTAGTACTGCAATATAATAAGACAAAACAAAAACTAATACATCAGAATTAAACAGAACAACAAACGGAAGAAAAAGAGCCCAAGGGCAGGCACAAGAAGTAGAGACCCACTCACTCACACTCAGGAATCCATAGAAACACTGCAATGGGAGCTGTAATTGTGCGTGCAGGCCCTGGTACAGATCGTGCAGGCCCTGTGCACACTGCTTCAGTCTCGCTAAGTGCATATGGGCATTGATCATGTTGGTTTAGAGGGTCTTGTTCTTCTGGTGTTCTCTATTCCCCCGGCTCTTCCACTGTCTACTTTCACAGGCTCCCTTGAGTCCTGGGGGCAGGGAGTTGATGGAGACATCTCTTAGGGCTAAGCATTTCAAGGTCTCATTCTAGATAATAATGTCTGGCTATGGGTCTGTCTGTTTTTGTTGTTGGTGGTGGTGGTTTTTTTTTCCCTGTTTGCTTCTCTGATGGTGGTTTAGCAAGGAACTGATCTATGAGTATAGCAGAATGCCATTTTACTAGTTTTTGTTTGTTTGTAATCTGGGTTCTCTGTGTACCTTTGGTTGTCCTGGAACTCATTCTGTAGGCCAGGCTGGCTTCGAATTCACAGAAATCTGCTTGTCTCTGCCTCCTGAGCACTGGGATTCAAGGTGTGTGTTACCTTGTCTGGCTACTTTTTTTTTTTTCAAAGAACAGTAGTAATGGTTTTATCCTAGGTCCCTGGGCTATGTAGTCTTAGGCTTGTCACCCAAGCGTGTTGGGTGTGGGTTCCATCTAGTGGAGTGTGCCTTAAGTCAAATCAGATGTTGGATATTGGTTGCTCCCACAAGCTTTGTGCCACCATTACTCTATCATGTCTTACAGGCAGGACACCACATTGTAGATCAAAGAAAGGTCTGTGGCTGGGTTGGTGTTTACATTTCTCTTACAGTAGTAGCATACTGAGTACCTTCCTGTACCAAAAAAGACTCTAGAACATAGTGCTGAAGACTCTATGTAGGCACCAATTTGACTTCTCCATGTTCAATAAGTTGTTTAGCTGTTGTCTTCTGCAATGGGAACTTGCCATCTGTTTTAGTTAGGGTTTTATTGCTGTGAGGAGACATGATGACCATGGCAAGTCTTATGAAGGAAAACATTTAATTGGGGCTGACTTACAGTTTAGAGGTTTAGTTCATTGTCAGTGGCATGCAGGTAGACATGGTGCTGGAGGAGATGAGAATTCTATATCTGGATCTATAGGAGCAGGAAGAGTCAATGCTACACTAGGCCTGGCTTGAGCTTCTGAGACCTCAAAGCCATATCTCCAACAAAGCCACACCTCCTCCAAGGCCACACCATATGAACCTATGGGGGACATTTTTATTTTAATCACCTTACCATCAGTTTGTGGAGAGCAACCTATCGTCTTTGACACAGCCTGGGTTGTTTGGGGATTCCCATGGGACCCCTTTGACCAACAATTCAATTAGATATAACTTAATCCCAGTATTGAAAGCTTTATTTGGTGACAAGAGATTTGCCAGTTGGGGCTCTGCCTTCCCATTATTTGGTGATTTTATTTAGATCACTTTTATATATAAATATTTTACTATATTAGGATTCCACACTACCCCTTAGCTGGCCCTTAATTTTAGTTTTCTCCCCCTCCCTTTTTCTCTCCCTCACCTTTTGATCCTCCCATTCTAGCCCACCATTCATAACTGTCTATCCTATTTCCTTTTCCTAGTGAGATCTATTTATCTCTCCTCATCCTTTCCTTTATAACTAATCTCTGCTTCTTCAGATTGTAACTTGGTTATCATTGACTTAGCAGCTAATATCCACATATATGCAAATGCATACTATATTTGTCTTTTGGGGTCTGGGATACCTCACTCAGGATGATTTTTTTCAAGTTCTATCCATTTGCCTACAAATTTCATGATGCCATTTCTGTCAGCTGAGTAATGCTCCAGTGTGTTCACATTTTGTTCACCCATTCTTTTGTTGAAGGACATCTAAGTTATTTCCATTTTTGGCTATTATGAATAGAGCAGCAATGAACATGGTTGAGCAAGTGTCTCTGTGGTAGAGTGAAGCCTCCTTTGGATATATGCCCAAGAGTGGTATACCTGAATCTTGAGGTAGATGGAGTCCCATCTTTCTGAGGAACCCCCACACTGATTTCCTTAGTTGCTGTATGAGTTTACACTCTCACCAGCAATGGATGAGTATTTCCCTTATTCTACATCCTCGCCAGCATCTTCAGATTTGTAAAGCGGGAATCTCAAAGTAGTTTCATTTCCCTGGTGACTAAGAATGTTGAACATTTCTTTAAACATAAGTGTTTCTCAGCCATATGAGTTTTCTCTATTGAGAATTCTCTCTGTGATAGATCTGTACTCCATTTTTTTTTTCGAGACAGGGTTTCTCTGTGGTTTTGGAAGCTGTCCTGGAACTCGCTCTGTAGACCAGGCTGGTCTCGAACTCACAGAGATCCGCCTGCCTCTGCCTCCCGAGTGCTGGGATTAAAGGTGTGCGCCACCAACGCCCGGCCCTGTACTCGATTTTTTAAATTGGGTTATTTATTTTCTTGCTATTTAGTGATTTTTTTTAGTTCTTTATATAGTTTAAATATTTTTCCTCTACTGGATGTGTAGTTGGAGAAAATCTTTTCCCATTTTGTAGGGTGATGCTTTGTCTGATTGATGTGTCCTTTGTCTTACAGAAGCATCTTAGTTTCATTTATTGACTATTGATCTTAGTGCCTGTGCTAATGGTGTTCTGTTCAGAAAATCTTCCTGTGCTAATGCACTTAAGGATATTCCCAACTTTCTCTTCTATAGCTTCAGTGTATCTGGTTTTATGTTGAGGTCTTTGATCCATTTGATCAAAAGTTAAGTTTTTACAGAGTGATAAGTATGGATCTATTTGGATTCTTCTACATACAGTCATCCACTTTTACAGTATGTTGAAGATGCTTTCTTTTTTCTAGAGTGTATTTCTGGCTTTATCAAAAATCAGGTGTCCGTTGGTGTGTGAATTTGTGTCTGGATCTTCAATTCAGTTCCATTGATCATCATGTCTGTTTTTGTGCTAGTACCATGCTGTTTTTATTACGATAGCTTGGTAGTACAACTTGAAATTGGGGGTTGTGATACCTCTAGCAGTGCTTTTATTATTCAGGATTGTTTAGCTATCCTGCCCTTTTTTTTTTTTAGTGTCTATGTGAAGCTGAGAATTGTCCTTTTAAGATCTGAAGAATTGTGTTTGAGTTTTGATGGGAATTGCATTGAATCTGCAGATTGCGTTTGGTAGGATGGCCATTTTTACTATATTTATCCTACTGATCCATGAGCATGGGAGATCTTTCTTCTGCTATCGTCTTCAATTTCTTTCTTCATTGTCTTAAAATTTTTATCATTCAAGTCTTTCACTTGCTTGTTTAGAATTGTTTTTGCTTGTTTAGAATTACCCCAAGGTATTTTATATTCCTTGAGACTGTTGTGAAAGGTATTGTGTCCCTGATTTTTTTTTCCTTAGTCTGTTTCCCATTTGTATATAAGAGAGCTATGACTTTTGTGAGGTAATTTTGTATACAGCTACTTTGCTGGAAGTTTTATCAGCTGTAGGAGTTTGGTGGTAGATTTTTTTGTTTGTTTGTTTGTTTTTGTTTTTTCAAGAGAGGGTTTCTGTGGCTTTGGAGGCTATCCTGGAAGTCTGTAGACCAGGCTGGCCTCGGACTCACAGAGATCCACCTGCCTCTGCTTCTCGAGTACTGGCTTGGTGGTAGATTTTTAAGGTCACTTGTACATCATCTACAAATTAAGATACTTTGACTCCTTCCATTCCAATTTGTGTCCCCTTGATCTCCTTCAGTTGTCTTACTGCTCTAGTTAAGACTTCACACTGCATAGGATTGGGAAGAGTGGCAACCTTGTCTTGTTCCTGATTTTAGTGGAATTGTTTTGAGTCTCTCCCTTTTAGTGGATGTTGACTATGTATGGGCTTGTTGTAAATTGCCTTAATTATATTAAGGTATGTCCCTGTATCCCTAATCTCCCAGAACTTTTGTCATGAAAGAGGTGTTGGATTTTTGTCTAGGCTTTTTTTTTTTTTCATCTAATGAGATGATCACGTGGTGTTCGCCTTTCAGTTTCTTTATATGGAGGATTATATTTATAGATTTACATATGTGTACTATCCCTGTATCTATGGAATGGTCATGATAGGTGATCATTTTGATGTATTCTTGGGTTCAGTTTGGAAGTATTTCAATGAATTTTTGCATTATGTTAGGAAGGGAAATTGTCTGTAATTCTGTTTCTTTGTTGGATCTTTATATGGTTTAGGTCACAGGGTAACTGTGGCCTTGTAAAACATTTGGGCAATGTTCCTTCTTTTTTCTAGTTTGTGGAATAATTAGAGGAGACTTGGCATTAACTCTTCTTTGAAAGTCTGGTAAATTTGCACTAAATCTGCCATTAACTCTTATTTGAAAGTCTGGTAAACTTTGCACTAAAACCATTTGGTCCTGGAGTTTTTTGTTTGGAAGACTTTTAATTACTGCTTCTGTTTCACTAGGAGTTATAGTCAATTTAAATTGCTTACCTAATCTAGATTTTACTTTGGTAAGTGGTATGTATTGAGAAAATTCCATTTCTTAATTTAGACTTTCCAGTTTGGAGTATAGGCTTTCAAAGTATGTCCTTATGATGCTGTAGATTTCCTGTGTCTGTTATGTCCCCCTTTTTGTTTCTGATTTTGTTAATTTGCATAGTCTCTCTCTGCCTTTTAGTTAATTTGGATAAGAATTTATCAATCTCATTAATTTTTTTTTTAGAGAACCAAGTCTTTGTTTCATTGATTTTTTTTTTTTTTTTTTTTTTTTTTGGTAATCTAGTGCTGTGCACTTGCCTCTTAGATCTGCCTTCATTGTGTCCCATAGGATTGGGTGTGTTATATTCATTTTCATTCAGTTCTAGAAAGTCTTTCATTTCTTAATTTCTGTCTTGACACATTTTTCATTCAGTAGTGAATTGTTCAGTTTCCACCAGTTTGTAAGCTTTCTGATTCTGTTGTTGTTGCTATGCAGCTTTAATCCAGGGTGGTCTTGTAGAATACAGTTAATTCAATTTTCTTGTATCTCTTGAGATTTACTTTGTATCCAAGTATGTGGTCAGTTTTGGAGGAAGTTCGGTGAGGTGCTAAGAAGAAGGCATATTCTTTTGTGTTTGGGTGACATGTTCTGTAAATAGCACATTTGGTTTATAGCATCATTTAATTTAGCCCTAGTATTTCTATGGTTAGTTTTGGTCTTGATGACCTATATTGGTGATACTGAAGTATTAAGGCTCCCACTATCAGTTTATGAGGGTCAATATGTGATTTAAGCTGTAGTAGTATTTTCTTTTGAAAACTCAAGTGTCCTTGCATTTAGTGCAAAGATATTATGAACAGCAATGTCCTCTTGGTGAATTTTTCCTTTGAATATGTAGTGTCCTTCCCTATCTCTTCTGATTACTTGGTTTGAAGTCTATTTTGTCAGATGTTAAAATGGTTATACCAGTTTGCTGCTTCGGTCAATTTGGAATATTGTTTTCTATCATTTTACCTTGAGGTGACTGATGCCTATCCTTGATGTTAAGGTGTGTTTCTTGGATGCAGCAGAAGGATGGATACTGTTTTCAATCCATTCTGTTAGTCTATATCTTTTTATTGGGGAATTGAGACCATTGATGTTGAGAGGTATCAATGAGCAGTGTTTGTTGATTCCTGTTATTTTGTTTTTGTGGTGTGTGTGTGTGTGTGTGTTTCCCCTCTTGATTTGCAGGTCTGGAATTATTTATTCCTTGTGTGTTCTTGGGTGTTGTTAACCTCTTTAGGTTGGTGTTGCCCTTCTAGTGCCTTCTGTGTGACTGAATTTGTAGATAGACATTGCTTAAATTTGTTTTTATCAAGGAATGTGTTATTTTCTCCATCTATTATAAGTTTTGCTGGGTATAATAGCCTGGGCTGCCATCTGTGGTCACTTAAGACCATGCCAGGAGATGGTGGTGGGGCATACCTTTAATCCCAGCATTCGGGAGGCAGATCTGTGTTGTGAGTTCGAAGCCAGCCTGCTCTACAGAGTGGGTTACAGGACAATCAAAGAATCTGTAGACCATCTGCTTAGGCCTTTTTGGCTTTTAGAGTCTCCATTGAAAAGTTAGGTGTTAGTTAGTCTAATAGGTATGCCTTTATGTTACTTGGTCTTTTTCCCTTACAGCTTTTAATATTTTCTTTATACTTTTATTTTAGTGTTACCAATATTAATAATCAGTATTATGTAGTACTTGGACTTTTCTAGTCCAGTCTATTTTTTCTATAATTTTGTTGAAAATATTTTCTGTGCCTTTGACTGTGATTTCTTCTCCTTTCTCTTTATTTATGTTTTTCTAGACAAGGTTTCTTTGTGTAACCCTACCTATCCTGGGACAGAAATCTGCCTGCCTCTGCCTCCCGAGTACTGGGATTAAAGGCGTGCGCTACCTGGCTGTTGATTGTGGGTTTTTTTTTTTTTTTTGGTTTTTTGAGACAGGGTTTCTCTGTATTGTTTTGGAGGCTGTCCTGGAACTCACTCTGTAGACCAGGCTGGCCTCGAACTCACAGAGATCCGCCTGCCTCTGCCTCCCGAGTGCTGGGATTAAAGGCGTGCGCCACCACCGCCCGGCTGTTGATTGTGTTTTTATGCTGGCATCTAGGTATGCGGGTTTGGGAAGATTGTAATTCTAGGAGTTATCATTGTGGGGTTAGTGTTTCATTCCTTGGTGCCTGGAAGGAAATGCTTCTGGGATCCTAACTGGTGTGGCCACTTGGGGGTTCCAGGTGTTTCTAGATATTGTGAGCTGACACTTAGGAATAGGGATGGGCTAGGAGAGGAATGCTGAGGGGTCCACTTAGGATCTGCTGGGAATGGGTAGAGAATGAGGGAGGCCATAGCAGGTGGTCTGCTATAGAGCTGGAGCTGAGACTGGGGATTGGACTTGGAGGAGCTAAGGGAAAGGTGATCTGCAAGTTAGCTTACCACTTCCCTGCCTGGGATGGCCTGTGGGTTTCTAGGGAGTGCCTGCTGGAGATGGGGACTGGGGTAAAACAGTAAGCAATGGATGGGGGTGAGGGAGGGTTGGAGGGGAACATCTGTGTGATCCATGGAGAAGAGCAGGAGGGTGGCCTTAGCAGGTGGTCTGCTAAAGAGCTGAGATAAAGACTAGGGGATTGGTTTTGGAGGATTTTAGGGAGAGGTGAAGATCTGCAGTTAGCCCATGGGTTCCTGGGGGAGTGGGGAGGGGCTGCTTCCCTGGCTAAAGTGAAGAGTTTGCTTTCTTATACAACTGGGTACTACCTGGGGGTGGGGGTGGGGAGGGGGTGATGGTGACATCACCCACAGTGGGCTAGACCCTCCTGCATCAATTAACAGTTTCTGAGTTGCCTTTCTTCTTCCCAGGTGACTCTAGTTTGTATCAAAACTAGTCAGCACACTAATAAATTAAGGTCTGAAGTTCAATTGAAAGCAGAGTAATGAGCTAAATGTTGGTCAGACTGTTCACACCAGCCTTTTAGCCACAGAAACAGTTGTGGGACCAACAGCAATTGACTCAATGAAGTGGACCATAAGCTGTTATTGTCCTGCTTTTAAACTGAATAACTGAAATTTTCTATCAATGACCAAGTGTTACTTCTGTGATGATAACAAAGTTATAATAAGGTTTTGAAAGGAAAAAGGCAACAAAGAGACAACTCAGGATTCATTAATGAGTTGTACTTGTTTTATTAATTGTAAACTCAGGAATGCAGAAACAAATGGAGCAGGATCAAAAGAGATTTGGCAAGGCTGCCTGGGCCACAGCCACGCCCAGGCTAGAAAATCTCCAGCTCAAGTTAGCTCGGGAGACTCTGCAGCTCATGCGAGCCAAAGAGCTGTGTCTCAACCACAGGTGTGCTGAAATCCAGAGGAAGGTAAGACAAGAACGAGCACTTTTCTCTAAAAGCATGTTGCCATTTAGATTGCTTTTCATCCTAGGCATTGATAGCGAGCCCCCTTTGTATCTCCCAACACAGGCTTCCATAAATATGCTACTAGTGAAGGTGGGTCATGAAGCTTCCCCTCCTGGTTCTCAAGATGTTTCTGACATATAGCCCAGGATTCTCTTTGTAACACTGAGTTTAGGATTGAAGTGGCGGATTCACTTTAAAAATAATCCAGCAGTATGTTTAGTATATATTCTTGTACACACATATACACACAACCACACACACTCGAATGTGCATGTAAACAATGTGACAGTGTCCTGGAGCCAACATCTTCCAGGCAGGTCCTAAGTAAGTGCTCCACCACTGAGTCCCAGTTCAGCATGGCTAAGCGTGTGCTCCATCATATCTTAATCTAAGTGAGTCTTCATAGTCTCATAGTCAGGTAATAGGTTCCATAATCTCGGGGCTTCGGGGCAGAATCTTGTCAGTAGCTGCCCCGATCAGGCTGCTTGTAAGACGATCCCAGCTCTGGAGACTAGACAGCCAAGAAACAGCTGCCTTCCTATTCAGCATCTGGTGAGGGCTTTCTTCCTCACTGACCACTCCTTACTGTATGCTCACAGGCCTCTTCTGTCGATGGAGAGGAAGTGCTACTCAGAGCCTTCCCACCACAGGGTCCTGCTCCTTGACCTCATCAGACCTGATCACCTCCAATGACTTCCTCAGTACTGTCACATTGGGCTTAGAGTGCCAACATTTACATTTGGGGTGACACGTATGAGGATTCAGGCATCACGCTAGCCTGCCGGACACCTGGCAGAATGCTCTCAGGCAGTACCCTGGTCAGCCCAGGGTTCCATGACTACTAGTCTGTACTCAAGTGCAAAGGACCCTTTAAAAGACAGACCCCCCTCTCCTCGCCCCCGCCCACTTATGCTCTCTTTCCTCTCCTGCTGTTCCCCTGGGGCAGAAAGGACTTTTCCTGTCTCCTTCTTCCGTCCTCTCTCTTTCTCTTCTCTTTTCTGCCCCCCCCTCCCAATAAAACTAACTTCTCAATTGAGCTCTGTCTGTCTGGCATGTTTGTCCCCCACCTCGGTCACCCTCGCCTGCCAGGAATCTGCCAAGGTTCCCCTTGTGCTTTACCTAATTTTTACCTTTTTTTTTTTTTTTTTTTTTTGGTTTTTCGAGACAGGGTTTCTCTGTGGCTTTGGAGGCTGTCCTGGAACTCGCTTTGTAGACCAGGCTGGCCTCGAACTCACAGAGATCCGCCTGCCTCTGCCTCCCGAGTGCTGGGATTAAAGGCGTGCGCCACCAACGCCCGGCGTAATTTTTACCTTTTATATTGTAGTTTTTTCTTTTTTCTTAAGTTAGAAACAAGTATGTTTCACATGTCAATCCCAGCTCTCTTTCCTTCCCCTCCTCCCCATGTTTCCCCACCAAGCCCCCCAGTCCTCCACCCAATCTCCACTCCCATCCCCAGAGAGGGTGAGGCCCTCCATGGTGGATCACCAGAGTCTGTCATTTCATCCAGGGTAGGGTCTAGGCCCTCCTTCAAGAATCCAGGCTGAGAGAGCATCCCTCATTGTAGGATGGACACTCAAAGTCTTTTGTACTCCAGGGATAAATACTACCCAAAACACCATAGATTACCTAGGCCGCCTTACTGACACCCACATTCATGGGGCCTGGGTCAGTCCCATGCCACACAGCCATCAATCTGGGGTCCAAGAGGTCCCCCTTATTCAGGTCAACTGTTTCTGTGGGTTAAACCATCCCAGTTTTAACTCCTTTGCCCATCAGTTCTCCCTTTCTGACACTGGATTCTAGGAGTTCAGTTCACTGTTTAGCTGTGGATGTCTGCCTCTGTTTTCATCAGTTGCTGGATGATGATTCTGTTTCCTAGACTCTCTGGCAAAGGGATTGTAGGCTGGCACTCCCTTTTTTCTTTTCTTTTTGTTAATTCATTTTTTACATTCCAATCCCTGTTCCCCCTTCCCTCCTCCCACTCCCCCCACACCCCCTCAACTGCTCCTCAGAAAGGGTAAGGCTTCCCCTAGGAAGTCACTAAGTTTGCACCATCATCTCATTGAGGCAGGACCAAGGCCCCTCTCTACTCCCACACCCCTGTGTCTAGGCTGGGCAAGGTATCTCTCTATAGAATGGGTTCCACTAAGTCAGTTTGCGCTTTAGTGTTAGATATTGGACCCACTGCCAGTGGTCTCATATATTGTCCCAGCTGCATCATTGTCCCCTATATTAGGGAGTCTAGTTCACCATTTGTCAGACCGGAATCAGTGATCTCTCACTAGCTCAGGTCAGCTGATCCTGACATGGACTTTTTGCCATTATGTTTTTAGACCATGAATGTGTTGACTTTTATGTATAGTGCTCTGTCTGCATGTATGCTTGCAGTACAGAAGAGGGCACCAGATCTCATTACAGATGATTGTGAGCAGCCATGAGGTTGCTGGGAATTGAACTCAGCACCTTTGGAAGAGCAGCAGTGCTCTTAGCCTCTGAGCCATCTCTCCCGCCCTGTGTTGACTTCTTTCTTTTAAGGTGGAGTGTATGCAGAAAACACTGAATGAGTTCAAGTTTGTTGAGATGAGATGGAGTTTTGTCCTGTTTCCTTTCTTACAGTTAGCACCATGGGTGAGCAGAAAACAGCTAGGATGCTTGGCATTTGCTCTTCTTATGCGAATCATCTGTTCCTTTTTCCATACAAACCAGGTTAAAGATCTTCCAAACCAAGGAAAGAATATACATGTTGTAGATGAGCTAGAAATACAGTATTACGAGACTCAGTTGGAGTTGTATGATGTTAAACTTGAGATCCTGAGAAGCGAAGAGATGATCCTGGTCACACGGCTGAACTCTGTTAAGAGACTTATAAAAGGTAACATTCATGTTTATGTTAGAATGAAGTGTTGAGTAACACGTTTGAAGAAATATAGACCAATTATCAATTTCTTCTTATAAATGGCCCACTACATCTACTGAATGAATTCAGTTTACCTTCAAAATTTTTGTTATTCCACAATATATTCAAACATAAAAGAAACAAAGAAGCCCTCATGCCCACCATGTACAGTCGCTTGGTGAAAGCAACTTACAGGCTTTTAGAAATGTGTTACATTTATAAAGACAAGTGTCAGTTTTTAAAACCAAAACTATGCCTTTAATCCCAGCACTTGGGAGGCAGAGACAGGCAGATCTCTGTGAATTCGAGACCAGCCTGATCTACAGAGCGAGTTTCAGGACAGCCTCCAAAGCTACAGAGAAACCCTGTCTCAAAAAACAAAACAAAACCAAAACTATAGACTCTATCAAGTAACCTCCTTTTTTACCTAATACACAATAAACTCATTTAGGTATTAATTTTGAAAACCCTAGGAATTTTAATGGCTGCATAGTATTCCATTTTACAGGCATACTGTGGTTTCTGGGTTCTCCCTGTCTTGAATATCAGTACGGCAGAAAACTTTCCTGTGTGTGTCCTGCGCACAGATTTCTGATAATTTATGAGATGGATTTCTAAAATAGAATGGTTGGGCTAAGGGCACTGCTCACTAACATTTTAATATGTATCTACTGAAATGGCACTAGGACAGTAATTTGAAATACGTCTTCCTCTTCCCTCTATTGTTTCTATCTTCTGAATTTCATAATAGCCCTAGAAAGGCTACACAAAATATACCCCACAGATGAAGGTGTGCCTTCCATGTTTATGCTCTTCTTGAACTTCTGGGTACTTGGTAGAGAAAAATGGCATCTTACAGTTTTTGTTTATTTAATTGCAATTGATAGTGGAAACAATTTAATATACTTAAATGGACATTTTTTGAGATGTTTGCTTTTTTTCTTTTTTCCCCATTTTTCTCTATTTGAAGTTTTGAGACAGGCAGGGTCTTACTGTGTAGTTACAGCTGGCCTCAGCTCCACTACAACCCTCCTTTCTCAGCCCCACTGAGGGCCAGATCACAGATGTGCACCACCACACATCACATCCGTTTCTCCTAGTGATTTTTTATGTTTTAGAGTCCATTTTATTCATGCATGCCATTGTGCTTTGCTCATATTGGCCACCCTCATTACCCATGTCCTTTTTTCTCCCAGTAGTACACACACACACACACACACACACACACACACTCACACACACACACACACTCACACACCCCCCCCACACACACACCCACACCCACACACACACACACACACACACCCCAGCCTGGCCTCAGAAGCCATGTGATCAATTCCTGGTCTTTCTGCCTTTACTTTCCAAGGGCTGGGATTACAAGTGTGCCACCACACCCTGCTGTGTTTCTATATCTAGGTTCTGCATCTCAGAAAAATCATGCCATATGTATCTTTGTTTTTTAGAATCCTTTCCACGGTAAGAACTTTATACATTGTAGGACCTTCTATGATAAATATCAAACTTTTCTCCCCCAATTGGTCTCGAGCACTGATTTTCAAGTCTCTCCTGCTGATTTGGAGACTGAGCCAGCACTGCAGTGGTTGGTCTGAGTGCTCCTGCATTCATTCATGAGGCCTCCTGCTGTGGGCTCCCACTACCCTGTACCTGCAAAGCTGTTAAAGTGCCCTCGTTCCCCTGCTGCTCCAGTCCTCTGACTCTCTTCTTTATTCTTCCAGATGAACTTTAAAGTCACTTTGGCAACTTTTAAACAAACAAACACTCACTGGAATTTTGATTGGGATTGTGCTTAAGATTAGAGAGCATTTGGGAGAATTGTCGTCTTGCAATTTTGATTCCTCCCACCCAAGATCATGGTAGGTCTCTCCAGATCTTCAGTCTCTTTCTCCAATCCCTTCAAGTTCAATGAGCCTCACGCAGGACCTCAGTGTGTGCTTTTATCCTGGTATCCAAAAACCTTTGCAGCTCTTTTCAGTTGTGAACATTTTATACATTTAGGTGGAACTTTTATTTTTAAATAGTTAACCTGGAAGGACGCTTTCCTTTGGGATGGGACTCCTGTCTGGGGAGGAAATAGAAAACATTTTATTCTGTGTGCTTCTGCAGGGTTTGGGATTGTTATAAGCATGGCTTTAAAAATCAGTATATAACCAAAAGTGAAGTCTGGCAAGACAGCTTGTGCTGTGCTGGGGCATTTCATCATAGATAGAAAGAACCCTGAACATTCATTTCATTTGCTGAGGAAGAAGTACACACACACACATACGCTTTCTCTTTCACTCTCTCTGATATGAAGAGATGCTTATCATCGTGAAATCAGAAATAACAGAACACTGGGGCATTCTGAGGATGCTTGAACTAGTGAATACTATGTGGCCATTAAAATGCTATTTCCAGCACATGGTAGAGCACTGTTACTGTGTGCAGCTATGTAAGAAGTGCATGTATGTAATTTCCTCTACATGATGTAATTACAGCTAGTCTTTACATTTAAAGACTTTTTTTTATTTATTTCTTAGAGTAAGACATGTCTAAGAAAGTCACTGATCTTTTAGAGAAACAGGATGAAGTGGTCTACTACGACCCGTGTGAGAGCCCCGAGGAGCTGGAGGGCCTGACTCATGACCTGGAGCTGCACCTGGGTCAGGATGGAGAGCTGAGAGCACTCAGCCGCCAGTGCCAGCGGCTGGAAGCCCAGCGGGGCCGCATCTGTGCCAGGAGGGCCCACCTCAGGAACAGAAAGGTACGGAGGGCCTTCCTCCATGGAGGGGTTCCACTCCAGAGGGAGGTTAAAGTGCTGACAAGGGTTACCTACGCAGTGAGTAATGTTCTCTGTGTGTTTATCTCAGTGGCTAGAGCCAAATATATTTTAAAATGCTAAGAAGTTGTTTCTTTTGAGATAAGTGTCTACCATAATATCTAGATTTTAATTGGTTTGTTCAGTAATTATTTGTTGAATTCCTGTGCATAGTGCTTTTATAGTAAGAGTGGGCGCCATGAGATGTTCGTCAAAGAAAACTGTGACAAGAGCCTGATAACCTCACTTAATCACCAGTACCCATGGTGGGAGGAAAGCACCGCCTGCCGAGGTACCCACTGACCTCTGTGTGCCCACAGAGATGAGGGCGGGTGTGGTGCTGCTGGTGCAGGCCCGAATCCCAGTCTCCAGTTAAATATTAGCAGTGGCTGCAGGTATAGTCCAACAATAAAAACTTGACTGGCATGTATAAAGTTGTTGGCTCAATTCCCAGTGCCACTAAAAATAAAATAGAACTTAAAAACTACTAGGGAGAAACTAACAATCACTTGTATAGCATAAATTTTACTCTAAATTATGGATTATAATGAAGCCAGTCACAGAAATAAAGTTCATTCTTATTTCAGATCTTAATGTTTAGTGAAACAAAAAATAAAAACCCCATAAGCTTGTGGGATTTTTTTCTTTTCTTTGTGTGTGCGCGCACATGCATGCAGTTTTGTTTTGTTTTTGTTTTTTGATGAGGGTGTTTCTGTGTAGCCCTGACCATCCTGGAACTTGCTCTGTAGACCAGGCTGGCCTCTAAGTCAGAGATCTGCCTGCCTCTGCCTCCTGAGTACTGGGGTTAAAGGTGTGCACCACCCTCCCAACTTGTTTTCTTTTTTATTTATTATTTTTTGTTTGTTTTTCGACACAGGGTTTCTCTGTGGCTTTGGAGGCTGTCCTGGAACTTTGTAGACCAGGCTGGTCTCGAATTCACAGAGATCCACCTACCTCTGCCTCCCAAGTGCTGGGATTGAAGGCATGCACCACCAATGCCTGGCTAAAAAAACATTTTTTTTCATACAATGTATTTTGATCAGCAGGTGTCCTGCCAGTGAGATACAGCCTAACCCCGGTCTGGTTTTGCTTTGAGGGAAGTCCTTGCTGAGTTGCCTGCTGACCTCAGTGCTCAGTGGCTCTAATCTAGCCTTTGAGGTGTTCTCCCTGAAAAGGAAAATGTCTCTGTGTCTGTGCTCTAGAGCTGTAGACTCTGGGTTAGGGGCTAGTCTTCAGATGTGTTGCCCATTACCCCACACTTCAGAAACCCAAGCTGGAGCCTTGTGGTTCAGCCACCCAGTTCTGCGGTGAGATGAATGGATGCCTTGTCTCTGTCAGGAGGACAACATCTTCTCCTAGAGCAGTGGCTCTCAACCTTCCTCATGCTGTGACCCTTAAATAATGTTTTGCTGACCCAACCATAAAATTATTTTCATTGCTGCTTCGTATTTGTAATTTTGCTATTGTTATCAATCGTAATGTAAATATCTGTTTTCTGATGGTCTTAGGCAACCCAGGTGAAAGGGTCACAGCCGCAGATTGAGAACCACTGTTATTTACTGACACGGAGCATGAGCCATAGCCCTGCAGATGGTTGGTGTCCCTTCCTCTGCCCAGCTTAGCAGCTCTTTCTTCCACTGGGCAACAGGGTGGGAACTGAGGGCCCATTTCAGGTGCCACTGTGGAATGAAATCACAGCTTGGCCTCTCCTGACCTTTCAAGGGCCAATCACCAGCTTTTCTTTTTTAAGATGTACTTTTATTTATATGTTTGTGTGTGTCAGCATGTGTCTGTGTGCACATGGACTAAGGTGTCTGTGGAGGCCAGCCTCATCTACAGAGTGAGTTCCAGGACAACCTCCAAAGCAAAAACAACAACAAAACAAAAAAACAAACAACAAAAAAAAACCCACTGTGGCTCAGGTTGAAAACATACTCAGAGAATGTTAGTATTACTCCATTTTCTCCTGCGTGTGAAGGGTTATGGTAAATGTACAGTTTTGAACATACGTTCCAACTATTTCTAGGTGGGCTGTTTTTACAGATGTGTTTGGAAATTTAATTGCATTAGAGCAGATTTGTGAGATGGCTGCTTTATGCAGGCATCACTGCTGAGCCTAACGACCAGGACTCCCAGGAGACAACTGACCTAGTGCTGCTCTCTGCAGATGGTTGAGACACTTCATCTCTGAAAGCACTCTGCTGGGAACAGGTGGCACCTGTGCGCAATCCTTGTCATATAACTATAGAGGAGGACCTATCATTGACCCTCACTGGAAACTGAACACCTCACATGCTAGTCAAAAATGTAACACCTCCAACTCTACTCCATTCCATGAACGTCTTACTGAAAACCGTGTGTGTGTGACTTGTGTTATCCCACAGGATCAATGCCGAGAAAACCATCAGCTCAGACTGCAGCAGGCTCAACAGAGTGTGAAACATTTTCACCAGCACCACAGGGTTCAGATAGTGAGTACCTGATGATGGGCTAGCCTGTGGAAACTACACAGCTGTGGGTCTCCTTCCTTTGTGAATACATCCTGATGAATTCTGAGCCTTTACAAGGATGTGTCTGTTTACGTATAGAAAAGAGACAAAATAAAAGAAGAGGAACAAAAGAAGAAAGAATGGCTACACCATGAACGTCAGAAAACACTTGAGCGACTAAGAGCATATAGGGAGGTAAGTTCCAGAGAGACTCACTCGCCGGGCGTTGGTGGTGTGTGCCTTTAATCCCAGCAGAGGCAATCAGATCTCTGTGAGATTGAGGCCAGCCTGGTCTACAGAGAGAGTTCCAGGACAGCCTCCAAAACAATACAGAGAAACCCTGTTTTGAAAAACCAAAAAAAAAAAAAAAACCTCACTCACCTTCTTTACCAGGGGAGATAATGAGCCCCACCCACCCTAGAAAAGAATGTAATGTGCTATGAACAGATAGCATAGTTTTTTAAAGATTTGTTTATTGTCTATTCAGTATCTTGCCTGCATGTGTGTCTGCAGTCCAGAAGAGGGCACCAGATCTCATTACATATGGTTGTGAGCCACAATGTACTTGCTGGGAGTTGAACTCAGGACCTCTCGAAGAGCAGCCAGTGCCCTTTAATCTCTGAGTCATCTCTGTAGCCCGATAACATAGCACTTTAAAAATGCTATTATCAATAAGGAACAAAAATCAGGAAATCCACCGTATGAACCAGGGTTAACTTTTCTTTTGATTGAGGCAGGGTCTTAAGATGTACCCTAGTGGTTGCTGTTCTTTTACTAAGGCTACTTAAACAAGAAAGCATTTAACTGGGGGCTTGACTTACAGTTTCCTGGGGTCAGTCCATTATCATCATGATGGGGAGCATGGCAGCAGGCTGGCAGGCATGGCGCCAGTAGTAGCTGAGAGCTTACATTATATCCACAAGCAGCAGGCTGGGGGCCAGAGTCTGGGCCTAGCACGGGCTTTTATTTTTAGTGTGCATGTGTAAGCACACACATGTCTGTGGAGGTCAGCCTCAGCTGTCATTCTTCAGGAGCTGTCCAGCTTGTTTTGGCCTGGAGCTCACCAAGTAGGCAGTGCTGACTGGCCAGCAAGTTCCCAGGAGCCACACGGCTTCCCTTCAGCTCTGGGAAACAGGCACCTGCCAACACACCAGCTTTTCGTGTGGGTTCTGGGGTGTGGACGCAGGTTCTCTTGCTTGCACAAGTACTTTACCTAAGTGGTCTCCCCAGCTTCCTTTTTCTTTCTTTGTAACTACAGCCCAACTGCTCTCCTGAAGTGAAGCTTTCCCTTTTCCTCTCACTCAAAACGATGATGGTGAATACTTTCATCTATATGCATCTTTTTCATCTTCATTTTATTACAGAGAAAGTAGTATATGGTCACTAGGACAAATGATATAAATGTGGGTTGTTTTTTCTTTTCTGGTTTTTTTGTTTGTTTGAAAAAGACAGGGCTTCACTCTGGTCCAGGGCAGTCCTTGCTGCCATACCAGCGGTGCTCCGTGAACTTGTGAAAGCAGGCTGTTTGGTGGCCAGAGGTCTCCGGTTGGATGCCCCATGCACAGGGCAGTGCTGGTTTTATAGGTCTCTTTGTGGGGTTGCAGCATTTTGATGGCCTACCTTGTGGCCAGTTGCTCACTGGTTTTTCATCCTCAGAAGCGTGAAGCTCCTTGGTCTGCACTGAAAATGACCTGCTCAGAAACCACAGTGCCAGACCAGTCAGGTGGACGCTCTCGGAAGAGGTCCTCAGCAGCTCATCACAAGATAGCTCACCCTGCCTCTAGCAAAACTGGAAGTGTTACTTCCTTACCTGAAGCTAATATGAAAACCCCTAAGCATCAAGACACCTGTGGCAGTATCCCAGTCCAGATTTTTGTTCCAGTTGGTGACCAGCCACTCTCCCGATTCAGTGAGGATCTGTTACTGCCACCACCGCCTCCTCCCCCTCCCCTTCCCCCTCCACCACTGCCTCTCCCTGCTCTGTCCTCTCTTCAAGCTACCACTCATCAGAATGTAGGACTCAGGACTTCAGCAACCAAGGACCAGCCGCTCTCTCTAGTGTGCGAGGCGTCTGCTGAAGAACCATGCGATTTCCTGGAGGACTTCCAGTGTCCAGGTAATCCACTGCAGTTCTGCTCTGATTCCCTGTGGGTTCTTAAGCGGTTGACTTCTCATCAGTTTCAGTTTAGAATCTTCAAAATTCTCTAGTCTCAAAATATCCCATGTGTTGCCTTGTTAGCTCTCTTGCTGTGATTGGTATCAGTGAGATTGAACTTGACATGCTAACTCAGCTGGGGTACACCTGTTAAAGGGACAGCCTACTTCAGACTGTCCCCCACTTCAGCAAGGGTTTGAGTTCGGCCAGTGTTTCTCAATACCGCTTTAAATGGCGGATCCAGAATACTGGAAAATTGGGCCACCTTTTGTCTTCATACTGAATACACTCAAGCATTTGTTTAGTGAGGCCCACAGTTCTCATGCATAACTCTAATTATGGCTTTGGACATTGGCTTTTGGGGAAACTGGCCTAAACCTGCCAACTCTCAGCCTACTGTTTTGGGGAGGGTTGTCTAAGATAAAATCAACCCTGGTAAATGCTGTCCTCTGGCCGAGTATGTCACTCCACCAGAACACAGTTGCAGGGACAGGGATGAGCGAGGCCCAAGGGACATATGTGCTCGTTTGGGTTAATTGAGCATTCCAGGCTGTGAAGGAAAATGCCTGCAGGTTCAGGTGGCAGGCAGCTCACTGCTAGGATTTGCAATACCATGCAATGAAAAGTGACTTCCTGTATGCCTAGATTGGAGTTTGGGTGCAGGAGTATTCTCAGTTTAGGTTGAATACAGTGTGTGTGTGGGGGGAACTCTGTTCAACTCACAAACACTATATAGCACTGGAGAGGAAGACGGTGTGAAACCTTGATTGTGGAAGTTGCCTAATCAGTTCCCAAAGGAGGCTGTAACCAAGTGAGGGCTGAGTGCACAATAGAGCACACTAGTCAGCCATAGCCCAGCTTTTTGGTCCCCAACTAGAAACGACTGTTAAAAAAGACTGTTAATCCTGAAGGCTTACCTGGCAGAGATGTCTGAGTTAGTGGCTAAACTCATGCCCTGTGTCTGACAAGCAAGGAAATGTTTTACCCCTCAGAGTCTCAGGGTGCCAGAGCTTTAAAAAATAGCTTCTCACTAGTATCTTGGAACTCTGAGCTAATTTGTGTTTTGACAGCATTTCACACTCTCAAAAATAGAGCCCTTAGCCACCTCAGGTAAGGTGGGTGGAATTAAACATGCTGTACAGGAAATGGGCCAGCGCCTCCCTTTGGGCTCACAGAGCGACTGATAAGTATGTCATCACTTTAAGTCTTCGTGTGTGGGAACTACTGAGTGCCTGTTGCCAGGGTGAGTCATCACTGACGATAATTGCCCAGACTGCAGTAGAGTGCAGGGTGCACGTTCAAGGTGTGTTTAATGGAAAAGGAAATGGAGAGGAGATAGAGCCTAGAGGACGCTAACCTCGGCCAGTGATCAGACTGTTCCACCGCAGGCATCCTTAACTCTTTAGGGTGTGTGAAGTCACCTTAACAGAAGATGGGATGGGTGTGGCCTGTAAGTTACAGCGGGTTTGAAGAAGGGGTGGAAAGTAGTCAGGCTAAAACACCAGTCGCCAAGCTGTCCTGACCGAAACAGGCTCTGGGTGCTGCTCTGAAGCTGCTGTCAGTGGCCCACTGCACTAGTGTCTGTCACATCATGGCGTGAGCTGGGCTCTGAAGCTGGTCAGCGCTGTCAGTGGCCCACTGCACAAGTGTCTGTCACATCATGGTGTGAGCTGGGCTCTGCTCTGAAGCCTGCTTCTCTTCTTCGTCACTCTTGCTGTCTGCTCACTTTCAGGCTCTATGGATGAAGTGTTGGCCTCTCTACGGCAGGGCAGGGCCCCTCTCAGGAAAGTAGAAGCACCTACCTTGTCCCCTCCCTGCACCTCCATTGGTGAACAAATTCTGGCTGCCATCAGGCAGGGGGTGCAGCTGAAGAAAGTCCACCCAGACATGATGGTAGAGCCCAGCAAGAAGCACACCAACGACCTGGAGGGGAGCATCAGGGCAGCCCTGGAAAGAATCAAGAAAGTCTCTGCTACCGACTCAGAGGACAGTGATGAGCAGAGCCCTGGCGAGTGGGACCGCTAGGGTCTCCAGGTGACAAAGGCAGACTGGCCCATGAACTCTAAGACTACTCTGTGGCCTTAACACTGGAGAGCAGTGGAGGTGTGGTTCCTGTCACTCCCCACAGGGGTAGGCTGGCTGTGGGAGCAGTCCACCCTAGAGGCACTGTGTGAGCTAGAGGTGCAGCCTGTGGTACATATTAGACAGTGTGCTTCCATGTGTGTGAACACTAGTTCCTCAGACTTAAAGGCTTGAATGTGAACGTGATTTTAGCAATAATCAGAATAAGTTGCATATATTCCAGAATTACTTTAAATATTTAAATAAAACTTATTTTGTGTATCAGCACTACAGAAACTCATAATAAACAGTATTTATAATGCATCTGTGTCATGAGGAAATGGTGTCTGGACCACTATGAAAGCGAAGCTTTCCACCTCAGTGGGTTGAAAGTTTCCCAAGATTCCTGCTCAGCATTGATGAGCAAGTGCTAAGGGGATAGGATCATCAGCTCATCTCAGAGACTGATAAGGAGTGGGGCGGGTACCATACGAAGCAGCCTAGCCACTGCTCAGACTGCCCGGGTGTCCCTTAACCTCATCCCAATTCTCGGGGGACAGCAGTTCTGAATTCCTACCAAGCAACTTGAACACACATGTCTTGTTTCTGCACTCCATCTGGCCAGTACCAACCTGGAGTGGCTGGGAAGTGCCCTAGCCCTTCAGCTGTACTGGGACCTCCCTTAGTGGCCTGGCTGGAGGTCTCTGCCAGGCTACCCATGGATCTGCCACCCGTCACATGTCCCCAGTGCTAACACGGCCCAAAGGCACTTATTTCCAGTCTGGCTTTGACATCTGGTGCAGGGAGTGTGCACTAGCTTACACTGGCTCTGTGTCTGCTCTCGGGGTGTCTGTCAGGGCCTGTGACCTGCTGGGCATAAAACGGCTTTGCCTCAGGCCTCCTTCTCACCACAGGGAGAAAACTGCTCCTCTGGAAAAACTGGCAGAACCACAACTTTGTAGGGTTTTCCTTTGCTTATCTTTCAGTTGGTTTTGTGTTTTCATTCTGTCTTGCATTTAAGTGTTGTAAGGGGCCGGGAAACAGCATCAGATGTGGGTAACTCACGAGTTTGTCAGAAGTTTGCTTTTGTCAAGGGCTTTCAGTGATCTTTTCAAAGGTGAGTTCTCCCAAGTTCCTGATCCAATCATGTCTTTAGGATTGTAAATTTCTCTAGAACTTTCTCTCGTTCATTTCTCCATCTCATTTCTCCCTTCCCTGACCTTCGTCAGCTCTGCCTTCAGGTAAACATATACTCTGACTTCTGGGATCCAGGGCTGTGGAGGGGAACAGTGTGCCCTCTGGAGCACAGGCCATCGATTTGTGCCTCTTGAAGCACAGGAGGTGAGGGTCAGCCCTGCAAACTCAGACACAAGTTCTCAGAGGACTGGCTGTGTTCACTTGGGCAGCTCTCTTTCCTACTTCAGGTTTTGATCTTATGTCCTCTCACTGCTTGCCTCTGTCACATGGTGTTGCTCTGAAGCTTAAATGACTGGAAACTGCACACAGACATTCTTCCTTCCAATTCCATGGCTGCCTTTGCTGGGCTCTTCCATGCCTCACATCATTGAGCTGCCCTCTGGACCTCAGTGTTCTGCAGGGTAACGCATGGGCTGGGGATGTAGCTTAGTTGGTAGAATGCTTGCCTACGTGCACGAAGCCCTGAATTCAGTTCCTAGCGTGGCACACAGCCAGGCTTATGCACACCTGTAATTCTAGTGCTTGGGAATTGTCGGCAAGTCTAGGATACTGAAGACCCAAGCCTCAGAGACAAGTAAATGGATAATAGTGTAGGGGGCAGTGTTCATACCAGCTGGCTGGTCGGGGGATGGATCTGGTCCTGGGGTGGCCATACACACTGGCAGCATCCTCTGAACTCTGCTGGAGCAGACTGAGCTGTACCAATCAAGTGGATTTGTTCATCTGAATATTCATTTGCATCTGAAATCAAATAACTCATGGCAGGAGCTAGAATGAGAAGGTTTTGATTAATCACCACATATTCTGTGAAACCACGTACAATGGATTTGTTCTTAACCTTTAGGCATATAAATCCGTGTGACTGTCCAGTTTTCTGTTGCTGCCCTAACCACTACAAATGCAGTGGCTTAACACTACACATTATTTGGGATCTCACATAGCCCAGGCTAGCCTTGAGCTCACTATGTTTCTAAGAATGACCTTGAGCTCCTGATGGTCTGTCTCTACCTCCCAAGTGCTAGGTTTGCAGACAGGCACATGCCATCATGCCTCACCAGACACAAACTTACTCATTGGGTCCTGCTGGGCAGCAGACACGGCTCATATGGGTGGGCTAAAATCAAGGTTTCAGTAAGAACTGTACTTTCCGAAGGCTCCAAGGGAAAGCCATTCCCTCTCCTTGCCTCATTCCTAGAAGTTGCTTGCGTTCCTTAGCTTGTGGCTCCTTCCTGTCTCCAAAGCCGTAGTCTGTGTATAGCCTCCTGACCCTCCATCACATCTGCAGTGCTTGGAAGGAGAGTCCACCTATATGAATTATTATGCAGGATCCACCCAGACAGTGCAGGTGACGCCCACCTGAAGGTCCCTTTACCTTTTAACAGTCACAGGTTCCTCTCTGTGGCCAGGCCATCCAGAGGTCTTATTCTAGGAAGTGTTTCTAAAGTAGCCTAATGGCCCAAAGAGCGCATGCTCTGAGACCATCCTGAGGAACTCTCACATCTGGGGTTCAGGAGGGCTCAGTGAGGAAGAACACTTGTTCTCGCAGACAACCTGGATTTGGTTCCCATTGGGTGTCTCACACTCAGCTGTAACTCTAGCTCCAGGGGGTCTGACAGCCTCTTCTGTGGTCACCCGCATGCACATAAATTCATACAGGCACACAAACATTCCCATTAAGTACTAACATCAGGCCAGATGAAATGGCTGGGTGGATAAAGACATGGCGCCAAACTTGACAACCTGAGTTCAGCCCCTGGGACCACATGTATGAGAGCAAAACAGGAACAACGTACCTTGGGAATTAATAGAAGACAAAAACAGGAACAATATACCTTGCAGGTTAAGGTTTCAGTTTGCAGGTAAGACAGTTAAGAATAGGTTCCTGTTCGTCCTGTGTGAAGTTAAGGTTTCTATTTGTAATCAAGAATAAGTTCCTGGCTGGACAGTGGTGGTGCACACCTTTAATCCCACTCAGAGGCAGGTGAATCTCAGTGAGTTTGAGGCCAGCCTGGTCTACAAAGTGAGTTCCAGGACAGCCAGGACTGTTATACAGAGAAACCCTGTCTTGAAAAACCAAACCAACCAACCAATCAAAAGACAAAAGAGTAGGTTACTGTTTGTTAGAGCTGATATAAATTGTAAAATGTTTTTTCAACTTACACTAAATTTGCAACCCCTTTCGTGTGTGTGTGTGTGTGTATCCTTACCCTTGTTCCTTCTCTTTCATTGTATCTTTCTAACAATGTATAAGAGCCAACTCTCTTACCCTGTGAACATCTTATCTCTTCCTCCTATAAAAGGAACTTCAAGAGGCCTGAATGGGTTCCTCTCTCAAATTCCAACTTAGGGTGAGACAGCCAGCTGGCCAGTCCTGGATGTACCCCCAAAATACAGCTTGCTTGGACAATCCTGAGACTCTCAGGTTTAACACTTGGAGGGACAGAAACCAACTGCTACATGCTGTCCTCTGACTTCCACACGTGTTCTTTGTGACATCCACAAAAACAGATAAAAACACAGAGAATAATAAAACACTAACTCCACCTGCAAGTCAGGGGGCTGAGGTCCAGACCAGCCTGAGATACACAAAACTGTCCAAACAGAACAAAATCCTGTCATGCATGGTGTCAGCCAGTGCATGAGAAGCCTCCAGGAGTGATTGGGCTTTATGGGATCTTTAGCCTGGGTCTGAGAAGAGGAGTGGATTGGAACAGAGAACATCCTAGGTTTCAGGGATGCCATGAATAAAGGACACAGAAAATACAGCAGCCAGACCTCTTCAGGGTGACCTAAGGGTAGAAGCACCAATAAGAGACGGGTCTGGAAGCTGATCTACTCCAGGGTTTTGCAAGAAATCTCTGGCAGCTTTGTGTAAGGGCATCCAGGAAACGGAGGAGATCCTGGAATGAGGGGACCAGGAAGAGGGCAGGGATGGTGTAATCACGGCATTGGTGAGCACAGGTATGAGCAAGGGCGGCCACAGATGACACCAGCAGGGCCAGCCCTGGAGTGCAGGTGGTCTATATAAACACGAGTGAAGAGGGACAGCATGAACTCTTCAAGGCAATGTGCTAGGGGCAGTCACTGAAAATTGCCTAGGGACACCTCCAAGCTATCTGAGGAGGAAGGACCAAAGGGCAAAGACCTAGGATGAAGCATTGGAGACCCAATGAAACCAGATCAGGAGATGGAAACAGTAAGAGTCTGCAGAGGCCTGCTGGTGTGGCCATCAGCAAAGGCAGCCTGTGCTGGGAGTGGTCAAGGACTCCTTTTGCTCCTCAGTGATTTGATGTCCCATGCAAACACTCATCAGGTTTATGGAACAGCCCTTTTTTTTTTTTTACCATTAAGTCACCACAACCTGAAACCTGCTGACCTCAGAGAGGGCCCAGGGAGTCCAGAGCATAGAACCTAGATTACAGCACAGGGCATCTGAGCAGGTCCATGTTTTCATGTCAGAGAGAGAGAGAGAGACAGAGACAGAGAGAGACAGAGAGACAGAGACAGAGACACACAGAGAGAGACAGAGATGGAGACACAGGGACAGAGACGGAGATACAGAGAGAGAGAGAGAGAGAGAGAGAGAGAGAGAGAGAGAGAGAACACATAATTGGGGAGAAATGGGCAGAGGACAATCTCAGCAGAATAGGCTGCTTCCCCCCCCCAACAAAAAAAACCCACCCAGGGGAGATGTAAGCCCTCCCCAAACAATCAACAACTTGGGAGAAAGACAGAACCTAGAATTGCATGAATCTGGTGCAACAGGGCTTAAAGTAGACATTAAATGAAGACACAATAGGTCATATTTCTTCCATTCCTGAGCTGAGGGCTGGGATTCGCACCTCCCACACTTTTGGGAAAAGGTGGTTCTGTGCCTGGCGCAGCCTTTGCTGTGTGCAGAGCCTGTTGAAATTCTTCTGGAAAGGTCTGCTGTAGTAGGATGCGTCTCTGAGATTGGCTTTTTTCCCCTGTATCCAGGCAACCGGCGTCCATTCTCACCGCCTCTCTCAGGAAACTAGTCCCTGCACAAGCGCAGCATGGAGCAGGGTAGAGGAGCCAGAGTGTGGCCCACAGTGGCAGAAATCCAACAGCTGTGAGGTAGCCAACCCCCAGTGTCCCCGTGCATA